TTGTTGTTGTTGTTGTATTTTTTTTGTTGGTGTTTGACTTCCGAGACTTCCTTTGCTTTCCTTCAGAGAGGTACCTCTGTCAAGCCAACGAATGGCACTTGAACAAACAATAAGAGGTAAAGAAGAGGATGATGTATCGTTGTTGTCTTGAGGTGAAACTCGTTTCATTAGAAGGTGTATGTAAAACAATGAAATGACACTCATCATAAATATCTCAAGAAGCTGACAATAGACAGTTAATGGTTGATTTGGAAAAGGCTAAAAACTAACCCTCATCAGAAGAAGAGGTCTACGACTAGTTAAAGGCTTAAGTCTCGTTCGTTATATGAATTAACAAGACAGATCACTCTGGGATGAGCCGAATAGTTATGAATCTTTGAGCTTTTCTACTGATGTATTGTTTTTTTGCAGTTTCCATTTTATAAGGTTCATACCGCAGAGTGGCATTTTCGTTGTTTGGGAAAAACAACACTATTTGGAAGTATCCAAGAATTTCTTCTTTCTCTTCCTTAGCCATGACTGTATTTGCCTTAGTTAAGCTTTCAAGGAACGAAGATGAGATAAACGTGTTTGCTTTGAAAAAACTTTATGTGAAAAAAATTCTGAACAGGATTCCTCTCTCTATTTCTTTAGAGTCAGGAGCGTCTCTCTTTGAAAGTATAACGAGAAGTAATAATTTTTTCGAGTGATTTTTGTTTGACGACATCCATCATCATGCCTCCAACAAGGCAAACGAGACATTCGACTCGGACGAAAACGGATCATCTTCTCCATCATCATCATGACTCAAATGGAATACATAAAACAACATCATCGTCGTTATCGGATGGATACAATAACGATGGTTCCACGCATAACAACCTATTAACTCCACGGCTAGCGATAGAGTAAGTATTTGTTTTATTATTGTTGATATATGAATGTTGATCAATTTTAAATCCGCTTTGTTGTACTAATCATCTAGAATTCTCCAAAAGCATCATCAAAGTATCCAAAATGAAATTACATTCATTAAATCAAACCACCATCCAAATTATTCTCGATATCATTCTCAGACTTTGGATGCATCCTCTAGAATTGATTTTTCCATCATGGAAGCCTTGCAGCAGAGTTTAGAGCCTCATCAACCATTCAGTCATCATAGCGACACCATAATGCCCACACAATCATCATCACCAACAACGACAATGACCACCAACAACATCACCACTACAACGCCACCAACAACATCAGCTACTGACACTTCCTCCTCTCCTATCACAACGCCAACAGTGCTTCCTTCTTCTCCGACCACTCAATCACCTACCATCAAACCTACTCATGTCATTGCCAGTAGTAGTAATAATCAAAACTCTGATTCGACAATAGATGCAACACGATTATCATCCCGATCAGACAATGAAGAGTCAAACAATAAAGAGAAAGATCAACCATTCGATACACCATCAGCACCTACAACAATTTCCGAGGAAGACGATCTTCAAAACTCTGATGAAGAGTTTGAACATCAACCCTCCCGAAAGAAAGTAAAAACAGCAACAGAGGAAGAGGATGAACAAAAAAGAATGGAGGATGAGTTACTTGCAAAAGAACAAAAAATTCTTCAAGAAATTAAAGACATGCAAAGAAAAGGCGAATGGATTCCACAGACACAACAAAAGATTGGAAAGGAACCAAAAAGAAATAGAAGCCACTGGGATTATTTACTTGATGAAATGGAATTTATTGCCAAAGATTTTGCTCAAAGTAGAAAGTGGAAAGTCACAACAGCAAAAAAATATGCTAAAAGTGTTTCAAAATATCATCAACAATTGGAGCAACAGGAAATTAAGAAGCAGAAAGAAATTGAATTGAATTTAAGAAAACAAGCTTCCAAGCTTGCGAAATTGGTAAAAAAAGAATTCTGGGAAAAGATTGCTAAATTAGTCAAATACAAAAATCAATCCATTATTGATGATACGAAACAACAACTATTGGCCGAAAAGAGAGATTTGCTGGTAAAGCAAACAGAAAAATATACTCAACTCATATCTCAAGATTTGGTATCTGTGACAAGTGAAGCAACTAATTCCACTCTCTCCGCACAAGATGACACAAGTGTTTCTCAGCAAGGTGAAGAAGTGAACAATCAAGAAGAAGATTTTACACCATCCAGTGAGGAAGATGAGGCTGACAGCGATCACATCATTGACACAGAGGATGAAGATGAGGATTATGAAGATGAAATTGAACAACTAAAGAAAGAAAGTGAAATGGACATTGATACCATTATGAAACAAAACTATAACAATGCACCTGTTGAAGATGAAATGATCAAGGAACCATTAGAAACCATCAGCAATGAGGACAAGACTAATGAAAAGATGAGAGATTCTGGTGATATTCAATATACTGAATCTGCTGATTCACAATCCTCTTTAATGAACCAAGTGGCTGAAGATGCCAAGCAATACCAGCCAACAGGTTTCACATTAACCACTTCCAAGGTGAAAACACCCATTCCATTTCTCCTCAATGAAAATCTCAAATTAAGAGAATATCAACAAATTGGTCTTGATTGGCTAGTAACCATGCATGACAAAGGATTGAATGGTATTCTAGCAGATGAAATGGGTCTAGGTAAAACCATCATGACTATTTCCTTAATTGCTCATTTAGCATGTAAGGAAAAAATTTGGGGACCTCATTTAGTTGTAGTTCCATCGAGTGTTTTATTGAATTGGGAAATTGAATTTAAACGATGGTGTCCATCATTGAAAATTCTAGCCTATCATGGAACACAAAAACAACGCAAAGATAAGAGAGTTGGGTGGAATAAGCCAAACGCATTTCATGTTTGCATTACTTCCTACAATTTGGTGGTTCAAGACAAGATCATGTTCAAACGTAAAAAATGGCACTATTTAATCTTGGATGAGGCTCATCACATTCGAAACTTTAAAGGTCAAACATGGCAAACCTTGCTCAACTTTAATACTGAAAGAAGGCTTTTATTGACAGGAACACCTCTTCAAAACAATGTCATGGAATTATGGTCTTTGATGCACTTTATCATGCCTCATGTTTTTCAATCCCATTCCGAATTTAAAGATTGGTTTTCAAATTCCATTCAAGGCATGGTGGAAGGAAAACAAGAGATGAACAAGGAACTCATCTCTCGGTTACATACTATTTTGAGACCTTTCATTTTGAGAAGATTGAAAAAAGAAGTTTCTGAACAATTACCTTCCAAACAAGAACATGTGGTTCGTGTGAGGCTTTCAAAGAGGCAACGTAATCTCTATGAGGATTTTATTTCTAGAGCAGATACTAGAGAGACTTTAGCATCGGGAAATGTTTTCAAAATGATTAATGTGGTCATGCAATTAAGAAAAGTTTGTAACCATCCCGATTTATTTGAACCAAGACCAATCATTTCTCCATTTGCTACTATACCACTTTCTCTTCTATCAGTACCAATTCATTTGATCGCTCTAGATCCTATTTATTACGGCACCGATGATTATTTGATTTCCTATCACGATTTACAATCACGATATTTTACTCTTTCTAATTATTTTAATTTTGTGTTCACTCAACACGAGAATCGAATGAGTGTGGAAAATTTTGAACAAATCTCATCACTACGACCAATGATGAGCAGTAGTAACAGTGCCAGTTCCACTCCCATGCCGACATTATCCTCTGCCATGACTCCAACAACATCCCAGACGGACTCTACTCTTCTCAAATTAGAAGACCTTTCTGCTGATGATCAAGATCAATTATACAAAATGTATATTCATGATTTGAACGTTGATCAACACACAGATAATCCCTTCTTCAAGAGGAGAACACTCGAAATGGCTCTGGATAGATATAGAGAGAGAGTGGAAAGAGCAAACTACATGCAAATGGTGAATAATCATAGATGTGAAAGAAGACCAATTTATGGTTACAATTTCATCAAGATTCTGGAATCCATTGTGCTTGAAAAGGAAATGAAACGTTTCCATCAATGTAACGAATTTGAAGATGATCTCTTTTCTTATACACTTCATTCTATGTGCAAATCTTTAGAAGAACGAGAACAAGAACTCTCTTTTGAATTAGATAATTTTGTTTGTTTCATTCCTCATGCGAGAAGTGAATCTCCTGAAATTCGTGAAGTCTCCACCATACGATACAAGAAAGATTTGATTGAACAACATGTTGTTCGAAGCGTACTTTCTCCAACGTTAGATCTCATTAGAAAACCTTCGATTCGAATGCAAATGCAATTCCCTGACAAGAGATTACTTCAATATGATTGTGGTAAACTTCAAAAGCTTGCTTCAATGTTGAAAGATTTAAAACGTGAAGGACATCGTGTCTTAATTTTCACACAAATGAGCAAAATGCTGGATGTTCTTGAATCTTTCATGTCTATGAATGGACATTCCTATTTTAGACTCGATGGACAAACAAAACTTGAAGAAAGACAGTACATGATGGAATGTTTCAATAACAATCCAAAAATCTTTGCTTTCATTTTATCCACAAGAAGCGGTGGTGTTGGTATCAATTTAACAGGAGCAGATACTGTTATATTTTATGATAGTGATTGGAATCCAGCAATGGATGCACAAGCACAAGATAGATGCCATCGAATTGGACAAACTAGGAATGTCAATATTTATCGTCTTATTAGTGAATCCACTATTGAAGAAAGAATTTTATTGAAAGCTAATCAAAAGAGACATATGAATGAAATTGTGATTCATAATGGTGCATTTACTCCTGATTTCTTAAAGAATCAAATGGAAGTGAGAGATTTATTTAAAGATTCAGAGAAGAGTTTTTCGAATGCTCTACTTGATGCAGAAGAACAAATGAGTGCTTATAATAACATGATGATAGAGAACAGACAAAAAGAATCAGAGACAGAAACATACAATGAGAAAGATTTGGATCGTATTCTTACAAGTGCAGAAGATGAGAATGACGTGGAAGGTTTGTATTTTATTTTGTTTTTTTGAAAATGATCTAACCTTGATAGCACTTCGTAATGCAAGAAAAGAGCAAACAGAACAATCTCAAAATGATTTTGCAGATGTTGAAGCAAGTGCAGAAGATGATATTATCAATCACTTAACATCAGTTGAACAGTAAGTTTTTTTAAAGTATAATTTACATTCTTTACATACCTTAACACACGTATAATAGATATGCATATGACTTACTCACTGTTCGTACAATGGATGCCGTAAACCAAGAAATTGAAGAAATCAAACAAAACGAAAAGGAGAGAACAGAAAATTGGAAAAATCAATTACAAACAGATTTGGATGTGTCTTTGGATGAAAATAATGAGGAGAATGCGGATAATGAATCAAAAGATGTCGAATCATCGGATGAATCAACAACACAAAATTTTTATGAGGTACTGCATCAATCATCACATCAATCACACAACACTGACACACACTCAACTAACATCACACGATCCTCTAAAAGGTCTTCTAGAAAGTCGTCTTCAATATCACCTAAGCGTGATAGTGAGGATGATACATCAAATTCTAGAAGATCTTCCAGAAAAAAGGAAAGACTAAGGAATAATGATGATTCTCACAACAACACTCTTCACGTAATTACTTCTATAAACGATTTTATGATTTTTTCACATACTGACCTTTTTATTTTTATGAACATTCATGATGAATATGATTTTATAATATTGAAATTAATATTGAAACAATACTTTAATACATACATTAATAACTATTGAAAATCTTAATAATATTCACTTGCATAGTATGAGGATCAGAGAGAATTATGGAATTCACTACAAATTTATATTCCAACCTCTATTCTAAGAGATTTATATGGAGATATTGATGAATTATTCCTTCAGAATGAAACACTTCCATCCTCACCTTCACCTTCACAACACCTATCATCGATTCAGCAACATGAACAAACATCATTGTATTCATCATCTCAATTAGAGAATGATTCCTCCTCCTCCACAATCACAACAATCATGAAGCATGAAGCAATGAAAGAATGTATCAATAACAACCATTCTTCTTCTACATCGGACATGAATGTCAGTAACAGTTCGAATAGCCATGGTAATAGTGGTAATAATACAAGGAAAGAACAATCAAACCAGTCATCCTTATCGTCCTCCTCACATCTTGAAGAGAATTATTGTGATTTCAGTGAAATTGGATCTATTGATGAAATGATGATGTTTGATGACCCTATTGGTTCAACACTTTCAAATCCACACCATTTGACAAGTAGTACAAATCTGAATGAACAAGCACCACAACAAACTAAGTTCGATGAAACCATTGAAGTCACTCTAAAACGACGTCCTAAACAGAGAGTTCAGAAATCGGATCATCATGACAAGAAACAACCATTGTCAGACATGGCCATCTCTGGTTCTTCATTCAACAACAACTCTGAAAATGTTGCGAGTAGTGATGACCCTACCATCGATCCACCAACAATGACAACAACAACCACCACTACCACCACCACTCAACAACAACCATCACATGTAAATACCACCACCTCCTCTAGTCATCATAACAATCCTTCAAAAAGCACTAGGACTTCACAACAACCAACTAGGTCAACAAATTCATCATCAATGACGAGTAGCAGTCTAAAGAAACCAACATCACGTTTGGCCAAATTACAACAACAATCTGCGAGTAGTACTTGCTCGTTCATACCTTCTTCTAATACCACTACTACAGTCATTATTCAACCACATGGTAGTCCTCTTAAACCTCCTTCTCGATCTCTTCAAAGAACTTCTACTAAAATCATGGTCATTCCACAAGGTATGAATCGCATGAGTAGTAGTAGTGGTGGTAGTAGTAGTATGGGTAGTGTTGGTAGTGTTGGTACATCATCTTCGACTGGACAGTCCTTATCATCATCATCATCATCGTTGAACACTTCCTCTAACAGTAACGCTAGTAGTACCTTACTGTCTTCCTCCTCGACGACGACGACGACGACAACAACGACAACAACGACGACTTGTCATACGCTCACCACCAACCTCACCAATAATAATACCACCACAACAACAACAACCATGAATCCTCTCAGTCCACCAAGAAGAAAAAAGAACTTGTCAACAATTGTTCCAACATTCCCACCACTTGGACCACCTTCATCATCAAACACAGGATCAACATTAGAGGATTCCATTCCTTGGTCTCAAGAAGAAGAAGTTCTTCTAATGAAAATTGTAAAGAATATGATCACTGATGATTTACAACAAGGAGAGTTTGTTGTGAATTGGAATTCTGTTTCAGATACTCTTTCAAATTATTTAGAGCGTTTAGAAACAAATACACTCGTACCATTTCGAAGTGCTGAATCATGTTATCACAAATATCATCAACTTGCATCCAAGTTAGATTTCACACCAAAAGCATCTCATGTATATTCTCATCCAATGGATTTGTCAAGATATCATGATAAATCTGAGAGTGAAATCATTGAGGCATTAAGGATTAATCGTTTACGAAAAATTCACACCTCAATGGGTGGAATTATTGGTAGTAGTAGTGGAAGTGCTAGTAGTAGTGGTAGCAGTAGTGTTCATGTCGGCAGTAGTGCTATTAGTGGTAGTGTTGGTGGTGTTGGTGGTGTTGGAGGTAGCAGTACTTTCAATCCTTCTTCTTCCTCAATCCCCACCACTCCATTCACACCCACACCACCTACACCCACACTCACAACATCCAACAGTGGATCACTCATGTCTCCTCCAAAGACAACCCTCAGAAAACTTCGAACACCAATCATTAATTCACTTGTATCATCGATATGTATGATTCCAAAGAAGAAAAAGAAGAAGGAGAAGAATGAATCATCCTTTGTATTCATGTCTGCAGCACAATCTAAAAAGTTACAACCACCAAAATTGATACTCGACCAACAAGCGTCCAATATGAGTCAACAACAACAACCACATTCAGAGAAATCTACTAGTAGTAGTAGTAGTAGTAGTAATTCTAACTTTATGGAATCCATACAGTATTCTGAATTGGAAAAGAATTCTCTCTACGATTCCTATTTTGTTGATAATTTTGATTTTATGAAAACAAATGAATCGTCTTCAACTCGTACGATGGACAAGACACCAAGATATGAAAATGATCAGCAACCACCAACATGTTTACTATTAGAAGAGAAGGATGAGGAAACCGTGATGACGAGTATCGCTCCTTCACCACTTTCACTATTGGATGCATTGGATGAAATGCAACTTGAAAGCTCTCTGAGCAGTAGTCTTAATCTGGCAAATTCATGGACAGGTTCTATGAATTTACAGAGTAATAGTAGTACTATTCCTACCGGAACAGCTGCTAGCAGTAGTACCTTACAACCATCCAGTAGTAGTAGTGATAGTTCGACTGCTGTTATTGCTTCCTCGATTGGTACTTCCACCACGTCGACGAATACCTCAAACCTGATCAGTTGCACCTCAAGCAATTTTACTCATTCAACACCAACAACAACAAGTAGCAACAGCAATGGCACGACCGCAACGACAACCACAACCAACACTAGTGGTGCCATGACTACAACCACTACTGCAAGTGTTGTTGAACCATCCAAAAAACGAGGAAGACCAAAGAAAGATTCCACACAACAACGGAATCGTTCTTCCTCGACGACGAATGCTTCCAACACTACTTCTCTCACTACGACTCACAACATTCCAACTTCAACTCCACCAGCACTATCACAACAAGGAATTAATTTAGGAGTGATGAATGCTCAACCATTACCACTTGGTTTTGTTTCTCAACCTCATCCATTCATGATTCCAATGTTTAATATTCATCCGTCCTATGCATTTGGATTTCCAGGATTTGCAACAACAACAACAACAGGAACTCCTTTACAAGCAACACCTTTTATGTTGGCAACTTCAACCACAGCACCACCACTACTATCCTCTTCTAATATGACACCATCCACGGGAGGTGCTGCTATTGCAAGCAGTGGTGGTAGTAGTAGTACTGCTGGAGGAGGATTCAGTACTTATACTCCAAACACTACTATGAGCAGCACGACGACAAATCCTAATGGAAATATGAGAATGACCTCAACACAACAACTAGCACCACCATCCATTCAAGTCGTCTCCTCTTCCACACCCACTGTTATGCATCATGTTCATGCACCACCTCCACCACCACCTTCTTCTAACATTACATTAGCTACAGCGACGAGACAGCCCCATCCTGCTTTTCAACACCACCACACCAAACAAACGAAAAAGTAACCAATTAGAGAGTTGGCAACATTGATAATAGTTCATAATTAAATTTCTAAATTTCATAATACCAAACAAACATCACTTTCCTCATCCTTGAATCATGCATTTGGAGTGTTCTGTGTTTCATAACAAAAATTCCCAAAAAGAATTCAAACCGCAACAGATCTGGTTAAAAAAAATGATACAAACGACTCTTGCCAAATGCCTTCAAGTCTCTTCAAGCAAAGCCTTTCATCATTATCATTACTTGTCTAAAAGTAATAATACTCTTCGACTCTTAGTTGGTGGATATCCACAACATCATGATCCCAATGGAAACACATTTTTCAACAATCTTCATCATCGCTTCTTCTCAACTTGTTCCATCACCTTTGCCACTCCAAAAATTGTCGGAGTGAGTGGTCAGAGCGTTGAAGGTCTTGTATTCTCTCTTGCTCTCTCTCAATTAAATTCTACGAGTAACAATACACAGCAAGAAAATCAGATTAAATCGATTGAAGTTTATTCCAATCCAAATCCTCTCAAAGATGAAGCATGTATTTTGTCCCAACAATGCGTAAACATGCTGCGAGATTATTGTGGAGTTGATGTAACAAAATCACCCTATGCTAAGAATCTATCACATTATCATATTATTAGAGCCGATATTAGGAATCCAATTACTGTAATGGACTTGAAACATATTGCACCTCCTGAAGGCTTGTATAGCATTCAAAAGAGTTTCCTTTTACAGCTCTTATTAGAAAAGGCTCAACAAAATCAAAATATTAACCTTGTGAATGATAATGTCAGAGCTATCACTGAAAGTAATGGTAAAATTGCTATTTCATCAAAGAAGGCCATCACAAAGAGACATGTGGACTTGTTGGTTGCTGCTGAAGAAGATATTCAACATTCTACAGCATTGAAATATTTACAATCTAAATTAGGAAATGAATCAACCATGGTTCGCTCTCGTTTCTATGAATGCGATTCCATTATTATGCCATGTCCATCTGATATTGATTATGAATCAAGAATGTTTGAATGGTGGAATAATTCCAGTCGACTTACAATCATTCCTCTTCCAAATCAACAACTTGGATTGAATAGCATTCAATACATTCCAAAACACAGTGCACTTGGTGCAGAAAGAGTGAATACTAATTGTTTACATTTTGTTTTCAAAATTCACTCTAATTTGAGAGACAATGGTGTTGATTCTGTTTTGGATAACATGAGACAATTATTCTATACTAGAGATCGAGTGGGTGTTGTTGCATCCTCAAAAATTGCCTATGACCATGAATTGAAACAATTGTATCACACAATGGATGATTCAAGTGTCGTTGCCATTGGAAATGTTGCTCACAGTGTTGATCCAACATTGTATCAACAAACATTTGTTGCCATTCATGATGCAGTACAATTAGCAATTCATTTGAAGGAACATGGTTTTACACGTGAAGCACTCGCACTCTATGAACAAGCATCTAAATTGAGTTTTGATAAATGTCAGAAGTACAGTGAAGGAATGGCAACAATTGGATTTAAGAAGAGAGTGAACAAGATTACCTTCATGTTCAAATTTATTTTAGAAAAGTTAAATGTCATGAGATTTAGAAGAATTGTTTCAAAGGTCATGAATGAATAAATCATTCAATGAGTTCACGAGTTGTTTGAAACGTTCAAATTTAACCATAATTGGTATGATGGTTATTCTTGGGCAGTACTCGATTCATCATAAAGACATATGATCTTAAAAATCAATACATCTTCCACTCTTTTCCCAATCACCAAATCTTGTTGGTTCTGCACCTTTTGGTCCATTCACTTCACCAGTCTCTGGATTGTATGGATTGACATATTTAGCAAGTTCTTCCTTGTCCACACCCACTTCAAAGTCATCTGAATTTTCCTCGTCACCTTGAATTTGTGATTGTTCGAGGAGGGTTATTGTTGCACGCTTTGGTTTCGTTGTCTGCCTTGTTGATTTGTATAATTTTTGTAAATTTTCATCATCTTTAGTATTTGTTAATCTCCATTGTTTGGTTGCTTCATCGACAACTGAATTACCACTTGATTTTCCTGGAGAGGGTAATGGCAATCGTGAATTTTCTTGTTGCACAATTGTTTGTACTAATTGTTCTTTGACTTTTTCTAAATCCTCCAATGAAAAGATAAAATCATCGGATTTTTTGTTTGAACTTGATATGGTATGATTGTTGTTATGATTGTTATTATTATTACTATAATGATTGTTATTATTATTATTATTACTATCATGATTGTTAGGATCGGATAACATGTTGTTATAGGTCATTGATGTTCTCAATGAAAAGTATCGGAATGGTGTCATAGTGGTGGTGGTACAAGCAGAAATTGATGCTGTTGATTTCTGAGAGAGGTAATAGCAGCTGAACGAGAGGTGGTGGCGTGCTTGTTTGATGACAACACCTGTCATTGTTGAGGTGGTGGTGGTGGTGTTGAACACACGTGTGGGTTGGAAATGATGCATTTTTAGTTTTTTTTTAATAAAAAAAATTGTGTATGCACTTTCCTTTTTCCTGTCTACGCGCGATCCCAACCACACACACACATACTCACACTCATACACTCATACTCACACACATGTTTGAATATTTCAAAACCATCACAGAGACCATCACAGAGACGGTTACTCAAAATGGTGCCACTCTCATTGAATTATACAAGAAGGATTTAAATGAATTCGCTGCTGCCGTTTCAACGGAATTACAACTGCCATCTTCGGATCAACAACAAGATCACTCCTCCGCTCATTCCTCTTCTCTCACAACAACAACAACAACAACAACACTCTCGGAAATACTTCACAATGAACAATCCTATTTGCAACCCATCTATTTAACAGATGAAAATGATTTAAATACCATTCAAATCGATGTCAATTCAGATCAAGTGACAAAGGATATTACATCACTATTAGAAAATGATTCAATTCTAAAAGATATTCATACTAAATTAGTTCCTTCACAAATTTCATATCCATTATTTTGGAAGAGATATTTTCAATTGAAAAATAATTTTGAAGAATTTGAAAAGAAGAGAAAATTATTTGAATCATTGAAAGAAGAAACAAACAAGTCAACAACAACTCGTGAAGAATTTTATTTAAATGTTTTAAATGAAATACTTGAAAGTGATGATTTTAAAACAGTCCAGGATGTGAAAGAATTTATTAAGGCACAATTAGCAGGTATCAATGATGATGATTCTGGTCAAAGTGGTGTTCAAAGTGGTGTTCATGGTGGTGGTCATAGTGGTGGTCAAAGTGGTGGTGGTACCCGTCATGGTCATGGTGGTACAGTATTAATGGACTCTAAAAGTGGTGATGCTAGTGGTATTGTTGAATCCAACCTTTCTCAAACAACTTCAGATTTGAATACCACCAACAGCAACACCAATGTCATGACTGAAGAAGAAGACGAAGAAGATTGGGAGTAAAATATTGTATCTCTAGAAATGATTTATAAAATGAATGTACAAAAACGTCTCTCTTGTATCATTTTGCCATAAATGTTTCAAATGAAATACTATTGAATGTACAACGACATTGATTATGTTCAATATATTCACTACAATAAAGACGTCTCTTTTATCAATATATTCATTACAATAAACAACATTTAAATAAAGAATGGATTGTATGGATTTTGCAACAGGTTTGGTAAATTCTCGGTTTGTGCTTTCAAAATTAAATTTGATAAATACTTGTAATACTCTTTTGGAAAGGATTGACTCAATTGTTTCATCAAATACTTGCTCGTGTAATAGAGAATGGTCGCATTGTATCTCTCTTGTTGAAGTAAATTCTTAAAGAATGTAATACCACCAATACTAGCCAATACATGTGGAGATTTGTTACACTTTTCAATAATGAGAATGAGTAGAATGGAAGAAATAGAAGAGAGTTGACGAGATTGTTGAGTGGAATGTAAGGATTCAAACAAGTAATATAAAATACTAATACTAATGTCTTTCAATAAATAGAATGGAATGCTCACATGACCATTCAAGAATAAATCATAAACATCCATATTAAAGATTTGATGATAGAGTGGAGGAGAGGAGGAGTGACTATTACTACTAGTAGTAGTATTAGGGTGAGTATGAGTCGATGGTGTATCATTGCCACATTGACCACCACCACCATTGGAATAGACTGAAGCATCATGTCCTGGAGAGTAGTGTTGTTGTTGTTGTTGTTGTTGTTGTTGAGGTGGTGGCACGTTGGAATGATGACCACTTTGATGACCACTTTGATGACCACTACTACCACTCTGACCATTACCACTCCAACTGTTGTTCATCATTTGATGATATGAATGTGGAAAGGTACACACAGATATAAAATCAAATACCAAATGAAATGCTTTCATCAATATTCTTGTATCTGTTTCTTTTCTATTCACAATACATTCCAATAGAGATTCATTCAATGTTTTGATCATGAGTTTCACTTTTTCAGAATCACCATGTGTGGTACATTTTGATTTCAATAATTGAATCTTCTTTTCTAATAAATTTAAATACATCATTCGAATGGGAGTATATTCATGATGAATCATTTCATTGAGTAATTGATTCATTCGTTGTCTTAATTCTGAATAGTAGGAGTGTGGTTGTTGTTGTGATGGTTGTTGTTGTGATGGTTGTTGTTGTGATGGTTGTTGTGATTGGTTATTATTAGGATTGGAGAGTAGATTCAAAGTAGTAGTAGTAGTAGTAGTATTCATTGTTGTATTATGATTCACAGTATGACTCATTCCATAATAACTAATATTAGTAATCCATGAATCATAATCTTCATTAAATTTCATAATATTAAATAACATGAGTTCACCTTGTCTTTGATTGTCTTGATCATGTACGTCAAAAATTAAATTTTTTAAAAGATCAAAGATAGGATTGAATAATGATGCATTACCAAAAGTAGTACTATTACTATTATTACCAACAGTAGTACTATTACTCATTCCCATACGTGGAGTGCATACCATCATGACACTACTCGGTGGTGATAATAGTTGAGAAATATATGATTTAAATTCACAATTTAAATAGTGACATGATAATCGTTGTAATCCTATAATAAATTTCATCATACTCTCCATATCAAAATTATTTCCAAGTGGTATCATGGTATTCTCTGATTTCATTACAAAATTAGAATATAAGAATTTAGTAAATAATTTAACAAAGGTAAAATTCTTATCCACATTTGGAATGTATTTGAATAACGAGTGTCCATAGATTGGTAAATTACTTTTATCAAATATTAAAAATAATAAATCTCTCTGAAATGGATCTATATTTGGTATTTCCTTTTGAATGATATAATCAAAAATAATTAAAAATAGATTATATTTGCTATTCATATTCAATAAATAGTCATAGGTACTATAGAGTTCAATAATTGAATATATTTTGGATGGTAATTTTTGTAATAATTGTGGTTGTTGATTGAGTTGAAAACATAATAATGCTATTAATAGATCATGGTGCTCACTCAGAGAGGATGGTAATGTCAAGGTTGAGAAGGATCTTCTTGTCTCATTGCTAAAGTGATTCATATTCATATTTGTACTACTACTACTACTATTCATTGTTGCAGCAGCAGCACCACCACCACCACTAGTAGTAGTAGTAGTAGTTGTTGTCATGGAAATGTCTGGAATGGTATATCCTTCTCCTCCTCCTCCTCCTCCACTATTGTTCAAACTATAAAGTATCAAATCATAGACCACTCGAATATCTAAACAATCAATGAGTATTTGTGGATTCAATTCAATAACCAATACATTTTGCATATTTAAAAGTGGCCAATGATTGTAATTGGTGTTGTAAATAATAAAATGATGATATAAAAAGAAGGATAATATTTCACAGATGGATGATTTGATTTGTTCGAATAATTGTTGATCATGTTCAGAGAGAATTTTAAAAGTATGATTATTAGTATTATTAGTAGTAGTTGTATTATTTGTAGTAGTATTATTAGTAGTAGTAGTAGTACTATTACTAGTAGTACTATTAAAAGAATTATTATTGAAATGATGAGTACTACTACTAGTATTGAAATGACTTGTGTAGAATACCATTGCCATATCACAAAATTTAGAAAATAAATCACTCAACACAACTTCAATACTTGGAATATTTTGATACATTTCATATAAACTTAAATTATAATAATAAATATTAAATATAATTTTAAATACATAATAGATGGATAGAAGTGAATGATTATCCATCATTTCTAAAAAGAAACTATTCAATTGTTTCATGGTGAGTTTGTTAGAGTGTGAATGCTTCATGTTGACATGAGGAGAGTGTTCATTTTGATTCATTGTTGTTGTTACATTGCTTTGATTCAATGACATATTTGAATGATAAATGGCATGTGAAATCATCATGACAAATAATAGACATGCATCATTGAGTTTGTTCTCATCTTCAATATAATGATTATTCATACATCCATTCACTATTTGATTCAAAATGGTATTAAATTGATCATAATTATCAATAATAGATTCAATATATTGATCATTGTTATCCTTATATTCATAATATTGTTCAATATATTGAGAAATATTTGGAAGAAGTAATTCATCCAATATGGCACTTGAAGTCGTTGAAATAGTTGTGTCATTGTTACTATTGTTACTATTATTGTTGTTACTATTACTGCTATAAGTATTACTGCTATTACTAGTATTAGTAGTAGTAGTAGTAGTAGTAGAATTACCACCACCTCCTCTTCTTCTCAATAAATTCCTCTGAACAATTTCATATTCAATACTTGCAATTTGATGTTTGATCGTATCCATATTCTCAATATTCAACACTCGATGACTCAAATCCAATTCTGCTTGTTTATCTTCAAATTTAGTAAATTTTCTAAATTGAGATCCAAAATAGACAAAATCCATCACACTCATCATGTTTGGTTTTTGTTTCATCATCACATCTTCTTGTTGATATAGTTTCAAAATTTCATTATTCAATAATCGATTCTTATATAAATAATATTCAAATACTCTTGATGTTAATCCTGATATTCTCTTATCATAATTTAACATGTTGAGAATATACAATTGATTCTTTTGTAATATTTTAATCAAATATCTATACAAGTATTTGATTGTAAATGATAGTTGAGATTGTAAATGAGCATTTCTATGTTTCTTTACCAATACATCTTTACAATAATAATAAATACTCTTATATTGATCGACTAATCGATCATCTCTTTTAAATGTTGTTAATATTGTTTTTAATAAATAGAGACAATAGAGTAGAGTGATCACATTCTCTTCATTTTCTTGCATTCTTTTAAGAATTTCCTTATAAATAAATACTTTGGAAATGATATTTTCATTGTGATATTTGAAGAGTAATTTCAAAGAATGTGAATTGTTGAAATAAATATTGGTGTACTTGTCTAAATTTAGAATTTTCAAAGAATGTGAGTTGGAATGTATGGAATGTATTCATTATGGAATGTCATTGGTGAGTGTGTGAGGAATGTATTCATCATTATGGAATGTATTCATTGGAGTGAGGAATGTTCACATCATCGAGTTGGTGAATAGTACTTACTGTTATTCTCATTCGTTGTCATGATTGGCATGACACCAATGTGATGTTCATTCAATACACCACTTGATGTTGTACTTGTTGTTGTTGAATAGATGGATGGTGTTGAATGGTTATTGTTATTGACATTCAAATGACCACTCAACATGTTGGTTGTTGTCGATGATAATAATGATGCTGAAGATGATAATGCAAGACTTGATGCAGATCCTAATCCAATACCACTCAAATTTGAGAATGAATTTAAATTACTATTACCCATCAATAGTCCAGAACTATTAGAACTATTTTGAGCAGAAATTGATGAGTTTGTGAAAGTAGTATTACTAGTAGTAGTACTCATCATCATTCCATTATTGGTACCACCAATGTTGTTGTTGTTGTTGCTCTGAGTATTCATGAATAATCCACCTGTTCCACCAATCATCATCATGTTACTAGGAAGTATGACATTGTTGGTGGTAATGTTGGAGGAAGAATTGTTACTCATGTTGTTAGTAGTAGTAGTAGTAGTACTATTACCTCCAACTGCACCACCACCACTATTGATACCACCACTATTGATACCACCACTATTGATACCACCACTTAGTGTAGGATTCAAATTTGAAGTAGTCGTCATTGTTGGATTAGGTATGACATGACCACTTGTCGTAGTAGTACTACCAGTACCACTACTATTACCACCTAGTGTAAGATTCATTTGAAAAATGGTATTACTATTCACTCCAGAATAGGATGAATCCATCATCATGTGACTTGCATGACCACTACTAGATATTAAATGTGCGAATGAATATTGTCCACTATTGTGATGGTATGGATGGTGTTGATGGTGGTGTGACAGGGAAGAATGACCACCACCACCACCACCACCATGACCACTACTACTACTACTACTACTACTATTCGTATGTGAATCTTTTTTAATAATACTTGTCAATTCTTCAATTAAATCATGAATAATGTTTTGAATTAACATTGATTTAGGTGCATTCTTATCATGATTGTTACTATTATTACCAGTACTACTAGTACTTGGATCATATTTCAATGATGTTCGAATACTTGAGGATTGATTAATAATCGATTGATCCATCATCATGAACATTAAATTCATATCACTATTCGTTGAATCTGTTGAAGAATCATTGATGGAATGATTCGTATGAGATAGAACTGAAAGATCAGATCCTCCAAATAAACCACCACTAACACCACCACCACCAATAGGTGTGATGACACCACCATGACTCACACTATGATGTCTTGAAGAGGTGGATGTGTAATTGTTGGAGAGTGGTTGAGAGAACACTCTTGGAGAATTGGTACTAGTAGTAGTATTGGTATTAGTACTAGTAGTAGTATTGGCCGAATTGGTAGTGTATGTCGACGTTGTAGGTGGATGATACTGCTGGGTGGCAGCACTGCTTGGACTATTCACAATTTTAGATTCACTCATTCCTCGATGAAGAGGTGTTGCAGGAAATGCTGATGCAGTTCTTTGATGAAGGTTCTGATGATGATGAGGTGAAGAGGATAACAGTGGTGGTGATTGTTGTGATTGTTGTGGTGGTGATTGCATCCATTGTTGACGACTCATGTTTTGTTGTGGAAGAGAGGATGATAGTACTGAAGTGGTGGTGGTGCTGGTGCTGGTGGTATTAGTAATTCCAGATGTTGTTGTTGGTGTTGTTGTTGCAGTATACTGTACTCTAGTCGAAGAAATTGGAGTGTTGTTGTTGTTGTTGTTGTTATTATTTGGTGAACTTGTAGTAGAACCTTCAAAAGAGTGTCTCCTTGCTTGATTGATATCTACAGGTGGAGAGAGTGATGATCCATTATTGATGATGATGTTGTTGTTGTTGTTATGATGCTGTTGTTGTTGATTGAAGAGTCGGTGAGCCATGATGATATATCTACACAGGTTCAATAATAATAATATACAATAGAATAGGTCCAATAATAGTGATCGAATATAATATAATATATAATAGGTCCAATAATAATGAATGTGGAATCTTCGGGAGATTTGTTTCAAATAAAATTTGGTGATGTCTTATCTTTATTTAAAACAACACAATGAGAAAGGTGTGACCGTTGTACTATTATTATTATAATAATAATAATAATTTTAAAGTACTATGAATAATAATAATTGACCGATCGATTAGTTTCAATAATTAAATTTGACACTGAACTCAGTGTGATTCACAATTCAATAAAATTTTTTTTGATGTTTGAAAAAACAATGCCAGCCGACTCTTCTTCTTGTCCATCATCATCATCATCATCATTGAATGTTGATGAACAACCCATTCAAATCCTTCCTCTTGATTTCTTCTCAACCATTGAAAGTGCTGATTGTGTTGAGACATGTCCTTTCAATCCTTCAATTATTACCTGTTGCACCTATCAGTTAATAACTCGTGAACTAACGAGTAGTACAGCAGAACAAGAACCATCCTCCTCCTCCTCCTCCTCATCTTCATCATCACCACCACCACCACCACAACAACAACAACAACATCGAGGATCCATTTATCATTTCAAAATAGTCACCACCAACACCACACAACCACCACAACTTTCTCTTCTTCAAACCATATCTTCTCTACCATATGGTATATTTGATATGAAATATAATTCTTGTTATCCACTGTTGGCTGTTGGACAAACCAATCGAACACTCTCCATCTATCGAGTTAAGGGTATCGATTATTCCGAATTGGAATTTATGTGTGACTATCAATTTCAGGAAGGATGTGGCCACATGATGATTACAAGTGTGGATTGGAGTAATATTCCAGGACACTGTATTAATACTCTTCATCATCGGGGTAGTGGTGGTGGTAGTAGTAGTGATGGTGATGATGATGGTGATAGTGGTGATCAATCATCATTCTCTCAAACACTTCCAATTCCTTCATCATCGTCTCCATTGTTGTTGTTGTTGACTTGTGGAGATTCTAGTGGACGAGTTCATATCTTGCAATTATCTTATTTCAACAGTCATCATCATCATAGTAGTAGTAGTAGTATTCAAATTCAATCCTATTCCTCATCCTCTCTGAATCTTATTCACACCTTTTCCAATGCACATGAATGTGAATGTTGGGCCAGTGCCTTTCATTCTTTCAATTCTCAACTCATGTACAGTGGTGGAGATGATTCTATATTCAAATTATATGATATTCATAATAGAAAGTGTATATTCAAGTCATCGAATATGCATTCCTCTGGTATTTGTTGCATTCAACATTCTCCTTTTAAAGAATATGAATTTTACACAGGTTCTTATGATGACACTTTGAAAGTTTGGGATTGTCGAATGTTCTCAAATTCGAATAGTGGTAGTAGTGGTAGTATTAGTGGTAGTAGTAGTATTAGTGGTCGATTTCAACCCATTCATACGTTTGAATTGGGTGGTGGAGTGTGGAATATTAAACCCATTCCTCTTACTCACAATCCTCTCAAGAATCCTTTTTCCTTCAATACTAGTAGTAGTAATGATGCGACTTTCAAACACAATTTCATTGCTACAGCCACCATGTATAATGGTTTTCATGTGTTGGACGTTTCAAACAATAGTATTGTTGCTCATTACATCCCAGGAGAAGATTTACTTTCGTATGGAATTGATTGGTGTGTTCCATCATTATCACTCGATGATTCTCACAAGGACAGTAATTGCAGCAGTAGTATCATGGATCAGCAGACACCACCTCACTCAAAGGATTTCACCACCACCACCACCACCAACTGCATTTCAGAAGAAGATTCTTTTTATTTGGCGACATGCACTTTTTATGATGGGACACTTCGATTGACTCAATTCAAAACAACGAGTGGAGATTTGTAAACTCACAAAATGTATATATTCAACATGTTCATGGGCATCACCACCACCAATATATACAAGATACAGTCTGAATATATATATAATATTAATATTACGATTATCAGCAGTGCCAGTTCCTTAGTCTTTCGGCCGAGCAAGAGTCTCTCTCATTATAATGTGTGTGTGTGCCCAAAGCCAAGTAAGCTCCTTTTCCATGATGATGTGGTTGGTGGTTTCCTCGTCGTTTTTCATCGTAAAAAAATGTCTTCATCATCACAAAGGGCTACTGCTCTCGCTCTCAAGTCAATCACTTCGCTCACTGGCCAGCCTCATTTACTTCGAAAGAAATTCTCTCTTCGTATGATTAAAAAAGTACACTTTGAATATTGTCCACTCATGCTTCGAGAAGTAAACAAGGGTGCTAAAGACTTTTATGATAGATGTTGGGCTCCGAAAGTGAAGAATACAAATCCCGATTGTGCTATTACAATCAATGTTTATGATAATAACAAAGATGCTAAACCTCCATCTCTTTTGATTGAATTTGAAGACGGAAGAAAATTAGACTTTACAGATGTTAGTTATGTGTCTACGGCAGCCATCATGGAGGCTATTCAATTAAAAAAGAAGAAAATTAAAACCTATTATCAAACAATTGGAAAGGATTATTATGACACTGAAGATGAAGAAAATCCTTTGGCATTACAAGACAAGAAGGAAGAAGCAGAGGCCATGGCCGGAACAAAGAAGAAAAAGAAGTAATCGCTCTACGTTTTCATGATGAAATGACTATAAAATTCACCCTAGCTTTTTTTACTGGAATTGCCCGTATTAACCACATGTTTCATGGTCTGAATATTCATGCATGCAAATGGAACAAAATTGGATCTAAACAAAGAATAAAAATGAATTCAAAAAATTTAAGTCTTTCATCAAAGAGAAATGATTTCCTCATTTGGTTTAGCGACCATTTCAAATGTTGACGTGAGCGCTCTTCACAGTGAGGATTGGAGGGCTTGAAAGAACTTGCACTGGAGTATGTTGAGCGAGGATTGTTTTGCATGGTCTTGTTTAATTCAAACTACAAACGGAAATCAAATTCATACCATTCTCAAAGACTGAAATGAAGCACGGGAAAAGAAGAGCTCAGACACGAAATGGTTTAGTGCACAAGACAGAGAGAGATATAATATTTCGTTTGACAAGAGAGTTTCTTCTTCTGGAACTAGACAACATTCTCTACATTATTCACCTTTAATTTTAAACTTTTGCTTGAACAATTTTTTGATCAACAATTTCATCCTTGAATCTTTGACACAAGACTTTCATGTTCTTCCATCCCTTAATTACAGATTTTTGAGACTAACGATTTTAATCAAACATTATGTTCGATAAACATCATCGATTAGGCTTATTAATCAAGATTCTAAATACGCATAATTAGAAATCATACCCTCGAAACATTATATTGATTCTACTAATACTATCATCACAAGAGATTTACATTGAACAAACTATATTTACAACTTCAGACTAATCTATAGAATAAACAAATATATTTTGGAAATATACAGTGCAGTTACATCATTAGTACATGATATAATCTTTAAACCAAATGTTACCAATAAGATAGATTAACGTTAAATGGTAGTTACTTTAACAAAAATAATATATCTAATGGGCATTATCGAATTTTGAATTATGCTCGAAGTTTAAATAATTTCCCTTGGTACAAATATCAAAAAATAAATATAATAATGTATCATTTCTTATGTAATTTTATTTAGAATTTACCTTGATAAAGTCTATTAGGTATATGCTCTATCTTTCTATGTCACTCAACAATAATTAGTTAAAATTTATGAGTTAGTCATGTCTCCTCTTCAAACTACCACTACATCTCTAAAGTGATGAGATTGTGTCGAACAACAAGATTATTTGTTGAAAAAGAAATAAAAAACAAAGCCTGTAATGATATCCTATTCAATAATGTTAGTTCAATTGACCTGTAAAGCGACGAAAGCATCATTAAACATAAAAATTCTGAATAGTAAATCAAAAAACTTTTATCACTGTTTTAGAAGAGAATTGGATGCATGAACCGGTTGTTAAGAGCAACAATTGACTTCTGCGTTGGGGTCACATTCAACCAGGTTGGTCCAGCAAAAGAAAAAAATTTAACTAATGCAAACAAACATCATTAAGAAGTGACAATTCTCAAATTTAGAATGGTAAATTGATGACCTAATTGGTCTTTGGTGGATTCAGATGAAAAGTCATACTCCTAGAATTCATCCAATGATCATAGCATGTTTGGGACCTATGAGATATGATTGATTCATTTATTGCTTCAAAGCTTGCTCCAATCCAGCCACAGTTCTAATTTGAACCCAGTCAGTCAAGTCTCCTCCATACACATGGGTATCTGGCTTAATTTCACCACTCTTGAACTTTTGTTGCATGGTTTTGAATGACACTGGTCCTTGAGTCTCAACATTGGAATCCACATAGAACCATTCACAATCAAAGGCAGGAGGAATAGCACCACCACCCATCACCGATTGAGATCGACTATTGCTGGTCTTGTCACTACCACCGCCACTACTCACCGATTGAGTGTGAGCATGAGAACCACTACTAATACCACCACTGGAAGATGTCGTCGTGACTGGAGAGACAATCAAAGTACTTGAATGATTCTTCAATTCAGCCATGCAAGTTGCCAATTTTGAATTCCATTCTAATAAATTTGCACATAATTGTTGAATGGCTGGTTCAAATACACCTTGTTCCTTTTCAAGAATATCAAGAATGTGTTGTTTACATTGTAAATTGATTTCATCCCACTTTTCTTTAAAAGTATTCATCTTCTCTTTAGCCTTTGGCAATTCAAGAGGATTCTTGGATTGTTTTTCACTCAACTTTTCAACTTGTTGTCTATAATAATCATACTGTAAAGTAATTTCTTTTCTCTCCTTAAATAGTTTCTTTGCAGGCTCAAAAAGGACATAGTATTCGTTGGCGGGTGTTGCTACGTTGGCAGTGACATTGCTCTGAAAAGGTAAAACACAGTTCGTTTCGACAGATTTGGCGACCTTTTCTAAAACAGCACCTGCTTGTTCTATTTTTGGTGAATTTTGAGTATTCACATCACGAAAATCTTCAGCGAGAAAGGCCAAGGTAGTAGAAAAGGCATGGAAATTCTCAATCAATTGGTTGGTATGTTTTACAAAGTTTTCAGAAGCCTTTTCAGATGATTTGAATTTGTTATGGAGCATTATAAATTCATCATCTTCAGTCTGTTCAGCCTTTCCTAATTTTGTTTTAATAGTTTGAGTTCCAATGACCCAGAGTTTTTTCATTTTGTGTTTTTGGTGATGAAACAGAAGGGTTCAATAACTCTATGATTGGGAATCAATGAATTTTAGATGTGAATCAAGTGAGTGAATGAGTTGTAGTTCCCAACAGATTACAGATAGGAACAAGTCATGACAATTGATGAACGAGTCATGATGAAAGAGATGAATGTATGGAAAAACATGATCAAAGTATGTGTGGAATAGATAACGGTAATGATCAAAAAACGTCCATCATCATCATGGATTTGTTGTTGTTGTACAATATATACCCACGAGGAGCCATCAAAATACGTTAGCAGAGTTGTGGTATGATTATAATATTGTTGGTAATATTGTTGGTAATAGTATTGGTAATAGTATTGGTGGTGATGGTGGTGATGGTGGTGATGGTGGTGGTGTGGTTTGATCATTATTTGGTTCGGACAGATTCAGAATCATCATCACAAAATGCTACTTTTGAATCCACTTACCCTCAACAATAGCGAGTAAGAATATTTTTTGCGAATAATGTGTTTTCGAAAACAAGAAGAGCGATACGACGTCGAAGAGCACGCACTCACCAGTTCGAAGATTCCTTTTCCATTCCTTCGCAACAGGAGGTGACTGAGACGCGCGTGCAGATAAAAACCAATAACGTTCTAATCGTGTTCGAGTTCAGGGAATCAACATCGCTGATTTTGATGACTTGTATCAATAAATATAGGGCATGAATTTATTCTTTTCTTCTTCTGATAGATCAAAATTAGAAATCAGAAAATTCAACTCGTCGTTATATTCAAAGTTTTCATCCTCTTCACACATTTCGTCAATATTATTATCGGTATTATTCTCGAGTAATCCAAGTGATGATGGTGGTGTTACCGGAATGGAGGAACTGATTGGTGTGTCACGTTGGTGAGATGGTGTTGTTGTTACTGATGAAGACGAGGAATGGAATGATTGTTTTGAGCAAGAGGTCATGATTGGTTCTTGTGGTTGGAGCATTTGTTGGTTATTGGACGACCATCTATTTGTCGTATTCAAAACCATCAAATTATTACTTCTATTGCTACTACTGGAGAGAGTCATGGTTGTTGTTGTGGGATGAGGTTGTTGTTGTTGTTGTTGAGGATGAATAGGAGTTGGAGGTACAATATGGTCGCCATGATCAAAATTATTCGCGAGTGGATTCATCCGATCGGAATGTGAAGACGATGATGACTGATCACTCAATTTAATGTTTTGAAGAGAATGAATGATCATTGATTGAGAAATATCTATTTTAATATTTGGATTAATTCCATTGCAATTAGGTATGATACATGGTTGTTCTTCTTCGTATAATCCATCATCATAGTATTTATAATGCCGACGATGAACGTCTAGACTGGTAGAAGAGTCTGAGAGATCATGGTTGTAATTGTGTAGATTGTTGATAGTAGAAAAAGACATGATGATAGGCCTGTGTTGAGTGAGTTCACTGAGAGTAGTAGTAGTCGGAGTAGTTACAATCCAAGAGGATGACCACCAACCAACAAGAGAAGTGCTTGCGGTTCGGAACTCCTTAAGCGAGTCGTTGTTGTGATATTTTTAATAAATTTGTTGAATGGAATCCACAGACAGACAGTGAATTGGGACATTCGAGACCTGCCACTGACCTAGGTGCTGATCAACATGGAGGAATGATCTACTGTAGCCCTACAATGAGGAAATTTAATTAGATCGGATTTTGGATTGACCCATAGAAGGTTCAAAAATAATCGCTGGAGCAACCCGACCCAAGCCGTCGAGACCCTGGTTAATTAAATTACCTCCAAATGCCAATAAACCAAGAGATTCGCTCGGATTGTGGTTCGAGTTGCGTACAAAAACCCAACGAACGGAAACTGTTACAAAAAAATGAACACTCCCACACCCTCGCAATTAGAACGCATCCGAAAAGATGCTCTTCTTTATCCTTTCACCAATTATCTGTTCAAAATTACAACCAATGTCAATGAATTGTTATCGAGCAATAATAGTAGTAGTGGTAGTAGTGGTAACAACAATAATAGTAGTAGTGGTAGTAGTGGTAGTAGTAGTGGTGGTGGTGATGGTGAGAAGGATCATCATGATGACGACAATGAACAACAACAACATCCTTTGACTATTTTAACACCCTCTCCATCGATGAGATATTTCTTATTGCATCGAGATGAAATATTCAAATGTTGGAAAGGATTTATTGGAATACCATATCCTAGCAATACTACTATGATGACAGACAGTAGCAATAACATTACAACCATCAATAATAATAACAACAACAATCATAATGAACACTTTACAGCAATAGATTCATTACATTCTTTAAACTCATCATCCACAATGATGAATACTATTATTTCTCCACTCATTGGAATGAATGTCAATGATTTATGTCAAGATGGATTTATTCATGAAATGAATCATTTTGAAAAACCAATTGAATATCATGGATATTCACAAACCATATTTTCAAAATTAAATATTTCCTATGATGATGATGAAATGACTGTTGTGAATAAGAAGATGAATAGTAATACTACTATTACTATTGGCGATGATAGTACTACGACGACTACTACTACTATGAATACTACTATAAATACTACTATAAATACTACTATGAATACAATCTCCACCATTCCTATGAATCATGATACGAGTAATTGTGTCAATGACATGACCACCAATTCTACCATTCAATATATGGAAATGAATTCACAAGATATTTCTCAATTTAAAAAACATTTCAAATCCATTTATTGGTTTGGATTTGATTGTAATCATTCACTTGCATTGAATTTATTTGTATTAAATCGAATGAGTCATGAAACTGATCTATTTGAAATGTTAATGGAATTATTAGAAAATTCACCCATGGATTTTATCGATGTATCACCCATTGAATATCTCAATGATGATGATGATGATATTCATGAGAAGAAGAAGAATAGTACTCCTCATGATGATAGCACCACTACTCTGACCACCACTGAGAATGATAACAACAACAACAACAATATTGAAATTGTAAGACAAATGATTGATGAATATTTACCTGAAAGGTCATACAAAACTTTTGAAGATTGTCTTCAACTCACTCACACTCTAAATAATATATTATATAGTTATGAAGAGATGAAGAGACAACAACAAGATTTACAATTGAAGAGTGGAAAATATATTGATTTGAAAAGTGTTGTTGTACAAACTATGATGGGAGATGAATCTAATATTAGGAGGAAGAGACATGATCAATCCTTATGATATCTTATATTCAGGTGAATGATCAAATCTTATTCAGATGAGAAGGATGCATTGAAATAAGGAGGATGATGAATAGATGATTATTGAAAGAGATGGATGTGAGTCACATGAGGGTCAATGATGATGGATTGGTGTAAACTGAACGGAATCACACAACGGAATCACACACACACACGTCTACGCAACACCTGAGATTGTTGTTGTGTTGTCTCATAGATCGCGTGTCGACACGGACCAGAATTGGCGCTTCTCTCTCTTTTCAAGCGCAGTAGAGAGAGACACTCAAAAGAAGCGCCAAAACACTCCAACACAAAAAAAAGTGAGTATATGCACTCAGAAGGTCGACGTGTATATATACTTGTACTGTTGGGTTCTTCTCGAAATTTGAACGTATTATACGACGACTACGACGTACAACCTCCAAACAAAAGGTCTTGAATCATCCTACTACCTCTTTGAAGAAAATATCAATTGACCACCTCAACGAGTGTCGTATACACCCATCAATTCCTCCTCCTCCTCCTCCTCCTCCTCCTCCTACTTTAAAAGCTATCTTTGACCATGTTGTTATTGACACAATCATCCTCTCTGAATGCTTCCTTTGAGTCACCACCACCACCTTCGTTCAAAGTTGTTCCATCATCCTCTCATCCTCCGAGTAAAGATGGTGCTAATGGTGGTGGTGCTAGTATTAATACTACTAGTACTACTAGTACGACAAATCGTACCAACACTCGGAATGGTCGTAATGATGAAAAATCGAAAGAAAATCAAAAACCCTTAGAAACAAATGTGATTTCCAACAACAACAACAACACTCGACTCAACAGTAAGCCATCATCCTCCTCCTCTTCAAACAAGAGTAATATCACAACAAGAAGCACTAAGAATGTCACTACAACCAAGAATACCAATAATAATTCTAATATTAATTCTAATACCAATAATAATAATACCAATAACAACACTAGTAATACAACACCAACATCATCGACTTGCTCTTCCTCTTCTTCCAATCGATCTTCCTCAAGTGCTCACAGTCACCATTCTTCATCATCATCTGCATCCTCTCTTGGATCTAACACGAGTACTATCATCACCACTACTACTAATACCACCACTAATACCACCAATCATCTCCTTTCACCTGAAGAAACACTCCTTCTTCAAGAAGTGTGTTCAGAATCTTACTGTCCTTTACTCATGTCATCCAAACATCAAGATCGTGAAGAATTCATGACTCGATTAATTCAATGGATTGAACAATCTTCAAATTTACCACATGGATTCATGTTATTTCCATCTGTTCATTTACCTATAGAAAAATCAAAAGTGTTAAAAGCAATTGCTATTATTTTGAAAATGACACTTGCTGACAAGACCATCAAGATTGTAAAATTAGCCTTTTCAGCATGTACTTGTTTATTTGAATCAGCTCCAGTGACATCTGCTAAAAATTTAACCCATTTGAAAGAAGGTCTCTCTCTCATTCTTCCATTACTCATGGAAAAGGTTATTGATTCCAATGATCGAAATAGAAAGAGTGCAGTTACAACCCTAACAAGAATGTCAATGGTTCAAGTCATTTCAAAATTAGTCATTCATGAAGCATTGCAATCATTGAGAAAGACACTTTCACCAAAGGCCATTCAAGGAAGATTATCTCTCATTGAATCACTAATTTTAAAACATGGTTTGAATGTTCCTATGAATCATGCAATGAATAGTAGTACTATGGCTACTACTCCTAATACTATTCATACTAATCATACTAATCATGGACCAACCAGTACGACAACAACAACTACCACCAATTCAACCACAACCCAAACTCACACCAACTCCACCACACATCCCATTGAAGTGAATGGTCCTCTTCTTCAAATACTCAATGAATGTCTCTCTCATAAAACAGCTCAAGTCAAAGATTCATGTATTGACTTGTTAGTCATGATTCACAAATTAATTGGAAGAGAATACTTTGAACATGTCATTTTAGATTCATTAACATGTAAAACAAGTGCAACCATTCAAAAAATTGAACAAAAAGTGAGAGCTAAAAAACAAGAAGAATTAGAATTAGAAAAAAAGAAGGAAGAAGCTAAAAAGAGACAACAATTTGAAGAAAGTCATATTGAATTCAAACCAGGTGAAATTAATCGAGAATTATTTTTGAAAAAATCATTAAGAAAACATTCAAGTGGTGAATCGATTCGATCCTATTTGAAATCACTGACTCATTTACATTTTGATTCTTGTAATATTTCTCAAATTGTTAATTTAGAATTTTGTCCTAATTTGAGAGTACTCTATTTATATGATAATAAGATTTCAAAAATTGAAGGTCTCTCTCAAAATAAGAATCTCATTCATTTACATTTACATCATAATTTAATTGAAAAGATTGAAGGATTGGATGCATTGGTGAATTTACAAAAATTATATTTAAATCATAATCGAATTAGTCGATTAGAAGGTTTAAATCAATTAACAAAATTAGAAGAATTGTATCTACAACATCAAGACACTCAAGGAATGACCATTGATGAGACAGTCATTCCATGTTTAAAGGTAAGTGAAGGATTAAATCTCAATGATGATGACGATGAAATATTGAATGTCATGATGAATGGTATCAACTGTATCCATTTCAATCAATATAATTATGAATGCTTGGATCCATTTCAATCATGATGAATGAATGAATGGTAATTGTATCAAATCTCAATGAATGTCTGTATTCATTTCAATCATGATGAATGTCAATCATGATGATGTCCAATCTAAAAGTCCCTCACTCTTCTCGATCTCAGTCATAACAAGATTGAGAATATACTTCCAATTGCTACTGCTCACTTGGATCATCTCATTGAATTGGATTTGAGTAAGAATAGAATTCATCAAATAGAACCAATTTTACTTTTATTAGAAAATCACACTCGATTACATTCTCTCAATTTATTGAATAATCCAATCTGTGCACAGAGTACGAGTGGTGGTGGTGGTGGTGGTGGTGGTCATGATGGTCCTTTTGATACTACCAGCACCACCACTATTCCAACCACTACCAGCACCACCACTATTCCAACTACTCCTCAGATGAGTTACAAGATGAGAGATTTACTCATTCTTGCGAGTAGTTCAAATCTCACTCGATTGAATCAAATTGAAATTACGGACATTCAGAGAGATTTTCTACTTGGAAAAAAGAATAGAAGTACTACAACAAGTGGAGGTGGTGTCAATTTGGGTGGTAATTCAACTCTAGAATCATCACCTGAATCATCATCTTGTCAACAACAACAACAACAACACTGTACAATGACTCACTCAATCATTCCTCATCATCTACATTCTAAAATGATCAAAGATTCTTCTGTGATTCATGCAACCAACAACAACAACAAGAACCACAAGTTAGATTCTCCTTTGAGTGATCTCTTGACCATTAACAAATGAGTGGTTGTTATTAATTTATTGTTGTATTATTAAGAGTTGTCAATCCTAGGAGTTCATGATGGTTTATGGTTGTCCAACTCGATTCATCATACTTGATATATCCTAGTAATCCTAATAATAAATCATATGATGATGTACTGTTACTGCGATTCAGGTGGTGGTGGTGGTGGTGATCCTCATTATTTGTACTTTCCTCTTTTTTGAATCAAACTCACCAAACACATATAAAAATGCATTCATCCTCCCATCCTCCTCCTCCTCATGCTTCATCCTCCTCTCCCCTGTCATTCGGATCAACATCATCACTACCATCCTCATTCTCATCACTCTCATCATTCTCATCATTCATCAGTCAACAACAACAACAACAACAACAACAATCAACAACCAATCCTCCTCCTCCTCCTCCTCAGAATGATTCTCTTCTCTTAAATTCTGTTCGTATCACTCATGATTGTTATCTTTCATGTCTCTCTCATGCATTGACATGCAGTGAAGAAGAAATTATGGGTCTATTAATAGGATATGTGGATGAAGTGAATGGAGTGAGTACAGTGTATGATTGTTGTCCGTTGAGAAGATTGGATAAGGTATGGATTAAGATAGTATTATTATTGTTGTGAAGTGTATATATGGGAAGGAATATTGATTGTTTTGAAAATATGATGAACTTGACATATTTAAATATTTAATATAATATTTAATATAATATTTAATATAATAATAATAATAATAATTATTCATGAATATTCAAAAAATAATAATAATAATTCAAATAATTTCATGAATATTCAAACAAACATACCATTCACATATACCATTCACAGAGAAGAGATCGAGTCGAAATTTCACCAGAACAACTTGTCCATGCTGCACAAATGGCTGAACATTTATCAACTAATTTCAAGTTGTCACGAGTCATTGGATGGTATCATTCTCATCCTCAATTTATTCATTTACCAAGTACCATTGATTTAAATTGTCAATTTCAATATCAACAAATGGATCGAGGATTTGTAGGATTAATTATTTCTTTATTTAATCATGAAAAGAGAGAATTGAATCATCAACATGTTTCAATGAGAAATTTCATCGATGATAATGACAACAACAACTCCTCCTCGAGGATTGGAAGTATTAAATTACATGCCTTTCAATCGAGAAGAGCTTTCAGACGACCATTCATTGCTGGTGTGAGTGCTGCTGGACATTTCAATCATCACCGTGATGATGAAATCGATCCGAATCGATTGTTGACAATTACCACTCCTCCTACTACTACCACCACCACTGGCAATACCACTCCTCCTACTACCACCAATACTCTTCATTCCTTCATGCCTTCATTCATGACGAATATGGATAACTCCATGATGTTACAAGCTGTGAGCATTCCCATAGAAATTATTGATGATGAGATGTTGAAAAGTGAAATGATCGAGTTCTCTCACCACTCCTCGAAGAGTATTGTTGGTCATAGTGGTCATGGTGATATTGATGGTCATAGTGGTGGTGGTGGTGGTGGTGATAATAGTGATCCAACCACACAACAAGATCCTCCTTTTCATTCATCTTCCATATTGTATTGGCCAAGAAATTCTCTCCAACGAATCATTCAAATTCAAGAAGCAATTATTGATGAGGAGAGAGATGAATTTAATAGAGCTCTCTCTTCTCATCAGATATCCTCAAGCACTACCACACCTCCTACAACAAACTCATCCAACAACAACAACAACAACAAATTATTCACAAATTTCATGTACAATAGTTCCATTTATCAAGCGAATTTGGTAAATTTAATTGAAAATTGTTTAAATCCTCTCAGAGAGTCATTAATGAATGAATTGGAAAGAAACTTGAATGAAATTCATCAACTCCAAGATCAGAAACAATAATGGTACTGATGATCGCTGGTAATGAATTCCTTCAAGATGTACTACTCTAAAGTACCACCACCACCACCACCACCACGACAACAGCACATCCTCCTGTATAGTTTTTATATTAACATTTTGTTTTTACCTCAAGATATATATAGTTTTTACAAAAGATGCTGCATTATTGTTTTTACATTAAATTTTTACCTCAATGTATATGTATAATATTATAATAATAACATTGATCAATCTCTAGTTTTTCTCTTCTTTTGAGATGGTTCATGAGGATGACTTGAAGAAGCAGCAGCAGCACTACCTCTAAATCGATCATAGATATTTTCGAAATGGTCGTCATTCTCATGACCAGTGTTGTTGTTGGTTGTTGCACTATCACTTGTACATTCATTCTCATCATCTTGAGCAAATATTGGCTTTGGTTGTGTGAGTTGATAAGCAGGTGCAATAAATAAAGGATTCTTTTCAGCTTGTTCTGCATGTCTCAAAATTGCTTCACGTGCATTTTCATGTTCTGATTGTTGATGAATCACACCCATTCCTTTCATTAAGAAATGAGTAAAACTATCATTAATTCTACCACCAAATCCTGGTCCTTGAGGAGGTTGATTGGTTGGTTTGTGATATTTTGCATCTTGTTGTTGTTGTTGTTGAATTTGTTTCTTAGATCCTTTCCTTAATGGTCTATTTCTATTTCCAGATGCAAAGGGTGCAATAATTTGAGGTTGTAACATGATGGCTTGATCGATATTCTTCTTTTTAATTCCTCTACTCATACTTGTCACTAGACCACGAATGGAATGAATCATGGAAGGATTTTCATCATCACCACCATGACCATGACCACCACTCCTACTATCACCATCACCAGTATCACCAATCGAATCACTGCTACCACCACCAGTATCACCATGACCATGACCACTCCTACTATCACCATCACCAGTATCATAATACCCCGTAATGCAATGATCCGATGCTGCTACAAAGATTTGATTAATAATTGGATGCCATCTCAATTGAATTCCACTCACTCCTTCTCCCAAATCCAATCTCTTTACAATTTCATCACTCTTATAATCATAAATCATTAAATGACCATGATCTTTTTCACTTGTACAACTCGTGACACAAGCAATATAATTTCCTAATGGAGATTCAACACAATTTGAATTTTCAAAGTAATTGGGTAAATTGGAACAGATCGATACGGGTTGATTCATGGCGCGAATATCAAAAATGCGTAGACTCGTCTCATCACGCGCCATCAAGGTACGATCATCATTTAAAAATGAAACACAAGTCAACGAGGAGAAATTAGAAGAAGAAGAATAGCCTTCTCCTCTTCCTTCTTTTTTCAACGAAATATTCGGAGGAGAATAGTACAAATCACACTTTCCCTGACTCAAGGATGAATTATCCTTCCATATTTGAATAGATCCATCACTACATCCAGCTACAATTAAATTACCAGCATTGTTGTAACAGCAAGAGGTACAAGGTGTTTTGATTCCTTTTGAATTACGAGCCTTATAAACGCTCTTTTGACCCTTGCTATTAAAATATTCCATATCCCATACTCGGAGTGTACAATCCATAGAACTACTCAATACATAACGATTGGATGGATCGGGATGCCATTTCACTCCTGTCCATGATGCTGTATGTCCAGTTGTTTTACTCATATCTACAATATAGGTATCACCTTTTTTAAATCTTCCTAATTTCTGTCCATCCCTATTATACAATATGGCTTGCAATGAATTATCGGATAATATAAATTTATCACCACTGTTACTAAATTCCAAATGTTTGATCGCATAAGAACCATCTCTTGTAACTTCATCAATGGATTTAAATGGTTGTAAAGATTCATCCATGCCCTGAAAATCCCAAAATTTGAGAGCATAATCACTTGAACCCGAGATTAGACGTGATCCACTAGGATCAATGGCAATGGCAGTCACTGCTTTTTTATGTCCTCTCATTTTGACTGAGCGTGAACAACATGGAATGAACTCTTTCAATGTTGTTGTTGTTGTTGAAGAAGAATTGTTTGTTTGACTTGAATCCATCTGTGAACTGTGTTGTTCACACGAGGTTTCATCGGAATTGGTCTTTCCGTCAATAAGAGTGGAAGTAGTAACTATGCCATCATCCATTTCTTCCTCTTCTTCTTCTACCTCCTCAAAATGTCGCACTTGAGTAAATACCATTGGTTTTTGTTCTTCTTGGTGCGATTTCAATGTTCTTGATATGGCTGGTGAGTAGGAGTTTGATTTCGTAGAAGGTTGTGGTAGAATGGATATGGCCTTTTTTGTGTGTTGTTTAGTTGATACTGTTGATAAATCCGAAGATGACGATGGGTTGGTTTTGGGCTGGTGATTTCGTTGTTTTCCAAAAGAAAGAGGTAAGCTGTTGAATGCACTCATTTTTTTTCGAGTTGTGAGTTTGGCTTTGATTGAACCTGCGCGAGTGCTCATTGTCGGCTGTGCTAGATATAAACCCCCAAAAAAAATTACGATCCCTTAAACATGATTACAGTAACAGTGGTGTATGAGGATGGCTTGAAAAAGCAAGAAAAGCCTTTCATCATGGATGAATCAGAGGATTTTAAGACAGCCTTTGATAAGATATGTTCCTTATTCGAAATATCTGAATCAAGAATTGATAAATTCTCTCTTCAGTTCGACAATCCCAGCACTGGAACCTATTACTTTCGGGACAGCACAATTCCCAAAAGCACTTTGACCAAGGAGGTATGTTGAATTCTCTCATCATTATTATCGTCTCACAAAATTCTTCAGAAACTAAAAGTGTTCCTAAAATTGAAACCTGAATTAAAATCAAGGGAGTACATTTCAATCCTCAATTCGGATGATAAAGTTGGGAAAGGAAAGATCCTTTTCCACCTCAAAGAGGCCCTTCATGACACGACCTTTGCCGAAGAATTTATCTCAATGAACGGAATAGCCATTCTAGCAAAAGAAGTGGTTAGGCTGAAAGGAAATCTTCAAGGCTACTGTTTGGCAGCTCTTAGGTCGGCGCTCGTCTATGTTTCAGCTATGAATGTCATCTCCCAATCTCCCTCAACCGTTGCTGAAATTTACAATTTGACCGATACCTCCCAGCAGAACGTCCAAATTCTTAAAAATGCCCTCGAGTTGATGATCGTGTTTTGCAGCTACTTGGACAATGGCATCAAATTGGTGAAAAGAGCAGCTAAAGACATGGCTTCAAAATGTAAACAACAACCTTTTCAAAATATTATGAATATTCTCAAGAGTGATGATCTGATGGTTCAAGTTAATTGTCTGACTCTATTGAACGTAATGCTCTCCAAAGTATCCGATCAGAAGAAGAGAAAATTATTGTTTACATGGAAGCAAGCAGATTTGGAAAATGCTCTTGATTATGCAAACAGATCCGAATTTCCTGCAGTAAAGGAGCAATTGATGATTTTCCAAAAGATTTCAAAAATTGAAATTCCACGTTCATGGTTTGTTTGTGAAAAGGTAAAACGAGAATTGGACAAGATGACATGCAAGTATGAACAAACACAAGAAAAATTATTTGCTTACCAAAGACAGCAAGCAATGATCAAGGTATTGAAGCAAGAAGTTCAACGTTGCTATGAAACCATTAATTTATTTTCATTTAAATTTGGTTTCACTGATAGAATATGTACTTCTCAAAGAATAGATACATCTGCTTCACTTGAATACACTCCTGATAAGATTGTAGATTTGAGCAAATTCCAAAGAAAATCGTTAGAAATGTCAGAGCAATATCAAATGCTATCTCGAACAAGAAGAGAATTAGTGAAAATATTTCTCAATGATCCTGCTTTCTCAGATCTTATTCCAAAGCCTGAACAGCAAAAACCACCTGAAGATGACTTATTTGCAAGTGATTCAGAGGATGAGAAGCCTACCGATGAAGCACCACCTCCAACTCCTGAAGAAGCTCTCAAAGATGAGGAAATTATGAATTTAAAAGCTAAAATTGAAGAGTTGTTAAGCGAATTAAATAATGAGCGAATGAAAAACATGACACAGAGTGAACAGGCCAAAAAACAATTGGAACTCATGCAAAGCGAAATTAATCAAGCCAATAAGTTGTTGCGAGAAGCAGCTGAGAGCAATAAGAAGAATGATAAGAAACGTGCTGAGGATACGGTTTCACCCTCTGTTCCATCTGAAAGCTCTGGAACATCTGCAACTCAAGGCAATGAGGTCGGCGATGATTCCTCTAAGAAGGTTGGTTCATCGATTCCACAGCCACCAACTGCCAGTAGCAGCAGCGTTCCACCACCACCACCTCCTTCTTCCTTCTTTGGCCAGCAGAGCCTTATTCCACCACCTCCACCCATGATGACTGGCGATGTTCCACCACCTCCACCCATGATGGGTAACGTTCCACCACCACCACCACCTTCATTTGGAGTTGTACCACCACCACCCATGATGGGTAGCGTTCCGCCTCCTCCATCATTGAGTTCAGCAATTCCACCTCCTCCAATGATGACTGGCAATGTTCCACCACCACCTTCATTTGGGGTTGTACCACCTCCACCCATGATGGGTGGCGTTCCACCACCTTCATTTGGAGTTCCACCACCATCAATGAGCTCTAACATTCCTCCACCACCTGGTATGGGTATGGTTCCTCCACCTCCAGGAATGGGTGGTGTTCCTCCTCCACCTGGAATGTTGAACTCGGGTGTACCCTTACCACCAATTGGTATGATGCCTCCCATGATGAACTCTTTGTCTAAACCATCTAAACCAGTTATTAAGCCAACAAAGAAAATGAAACTATTTACATGGGAGAAGCATAATGTTAATAAGTAAGTATTATTAGCATTTTAAATTATTTACCGACACATAATTTCAGCCCAAACTCTATATGGAACAAAATTGAAGAGGCCACATTGGACGCCGAAGAATTTGAAGAATTGTTTTGTAAGAAGGAACGTAAAATCGTTCCTAAAGAAAGGAGAGAGAAAGAGCCAACAGAATCCATGTTGTTGGATTCTAAATTGTTCAACAATCTTTCAATCATGCTTAAAAAACTACCAAAGGTTTCTCATATTGAACAAGGAATCTTGAGTCTTGACTCTAACATGCTCAGCTATGAACATATTGAGTTGTTATTAGGAAATATTCCTGAAAAAGATGTTCTCAACAATTTTAAAACTGCTTGTAAGACCAAAGATGAAAGTCTCTATTCAGAACCTGAGAAATATGTTCTCATGATTACATCTATTCCTGAATATGAAACTAGAATACGTTGTTGGATGTATACATTACAGTTTGAATCTGGTCTGGTCATTGTTGAAAAGCCATTGCAAACCTTTGAACAGTCTTTGGAAGCTCTTAAAAAATCACAACATTTCAAAGTTTTATTAGGAATTGTTTTAGCTGTTGGAAATTACTTGAATGGAGGAACGAAAAAAGGTCAAGCTGATGGTTTTGGCTTGGACGTTCTTCCCAAGCTTGATGAAACAAAAGATAACGTCAATGGATCTCTTGCTGATTATTGTGTTTTGAAGGCAATGAAAAAAGATGAAAACTTTGCAGAAATTCTAGAGGAATTTGAAATATTTGGACGGTCTAAAGAGTTTAGCTTGGAAGATATCAAAAATCAGGTTGAGAGTCTAGTGAACAATTTGAATGACTTTAAAAAAAAGATTAAGACTGTCCAAGGAAAGGTTGAGCCAGATGATATCTTCCTAAAAAAGATGTCCGCTTTCTTCAAAAAAGCTAAAACTGATTGTGATAATATTGAGAAGAAGTTTGAAAGCTTTAAGAAAGATTTTAATGACTTGTTAAAATTTTTCTCTTACAAGGAAAGTGACATTGCAAAGATTGATACCAAGGACTTCTTTGGAATTATTTTCAACTTTGTAGAAATGATCAGAAAGTCCATTGATAAGATTAAGAAGGAGCAAGCAAAGAAGCAAAAGCAGCAATTAACAAAAGGACAAGGCGCAAAAATCTCATCAGCCGTTGGGGGTGAAGATGCAATGGCTGCTCTTGTGGATAAGATTAAGAGTGATCTTAAAAGTAAACAATAATGTTTGATAGTCATCGTGTGTACTGTAAATGGTGCAGCATAGGAATGTTCATCCTGTTTGTTCTGTAAAGGTGGTGAGAAGGAACACACCAAAATGTTGGATTCATGGAGGTTTTTGATTGACCCAAAAAATGCACCTTTCAACAAATCCTTTACTCACTCTGCTGAGGAATTTGATTTCTTTTCTCTTGTTTCGGAATCATCCATCCCAGTCACCACCATCATCCCTACAAACTAAAATAATTCTCTTGTTTAATACAGACTCTATTCGAAGTATTATTGGACCTAAAAATTCACAAGAATTAACAACGGTGAGCATTCCTGAATCACCTCATCATTCTTCAACAAATAATAATAGGAAAATATCAGTTCGTTTCAATTCAATGACGAGTGATAAGAATATGATCGGACAAATCGACCAAAACTTATTATCTTTTATGAGCAATACATTACTTTCACATCCCATTCAAAGTATGGTAATATTGAGACGAGAAAAACCAGAATTGAAAAAAAGAATTGAAAAAATTGCCAAAATTCCAAAGAACACTCGTGATGATGAAGATCCAACAATATTTAGGTATGGTAAATCGAGAGCTGAAAGAGAATTCCTTGAAGAGAGATTTTAATAGATTTAAAATTCATGCAAAACAATTGATTTAGTAGAATGGAAAAAATCATGGATGGTTTTTTCATGAATTCTATTGAACTCTTTTGGTTCAAATTTTCGACGAAAGATGTGACACACCACTCAAAAGAATAGTCCAACCTTAATGCAAAAATACATTGAAGATTTGTGAATCATGTATTGAAATACTCTTTTTGGAATGAACATAATGACCATCATCCCTCCATAGAGTTGTACAATTATTTAATAATAAATTCCTCCTCCCATACAAACCATTTCAGGAAATTCTTTGACCTTCTTGTACAATACTGCCACTTGACCAGGTGCAATGGCTCTTGCTTTTTCTTCTTTTAACACAATTTTAAATTTATCATCATCCATTTTCTCAATAGAGCATGCAAATGGCTCTTTTTGGTTGTATCTCACTTTCACATAATAGTCATGTTCCAAAGGATTTGTAGACTCACACACTTGATTTGATTCAACATTACTTTCCAACCAATGACATTGTGAAATTGAAAATTCAGATTTCATCAATGAATAATGATCATTTCCAGGACATGCATATAATATATTGTTTTGAATATCCTTTTCACACACAAACCATTTATCTTTCATTCCAGATAATCCAATACCTTGTCCAATCGTATAAAATGATATGCCATCATGTTTTCCTAATATAGTTTCTTTATCCAATATGGAAACAATATTTCCAGGTGTAATATTGATATATTTGGATAAAAAATCTTTAAACTTTCGTTTTCCAATAAAACATATTCCAACACTGTCCTTTCTATTCCATAATTCATTTGGAAATTTGAAATAATCTCTTGCAAGTAAACGAACATGGTCTGTCTTTAGAAATCCGCCCAATGGAAATAAGCTTGAATCAAAGGCTTGTTTCTTGACAAAGGCTAAAAAATAACTTTGATCTTTGGAGTGATCAATGGCGCGCAGTAGATGTGCGGTGTTCCTGTTTTTGGTAAAATTATTGGCGGGAGTATGGCTATACCCAATTTGGGCATAATGTCCTGTAGCAATGTAATGAGCTCCACATCGTTCTTGTGCATACTTTAACATGGCATCAAATTTGATAAATTTGTTACAAAAGAGATCTGGATTTGGTGTTTGACCTTGGATATATCCATCTAATAATCTCTCAAATACATCATTCCAATATTCATCAATAAACTCTACTGGATGCATTCCATCACCGACAAGTGGTATGTTATACTTGTCACACATTGTTTTTACATCATTCCAGTCCTTGGTAAATGTACAAAATTGTTTTGATGGATCTTCTTCTGCAGAATCCCAATTCCTCATATGAAGAGCTAATACATTAAATCCAAATTCCTTTAAGAGACATGCAGTGAGTGAGCTATCCACACCACCACTCATTCCAACGACAATGGTTATGTTGTTTCTATGAATGGTTGATGATGGTTTTGTTTCAATGGTATGGTGGAGATGGTTTTGGTGATGGTTTTGATGATGGTTTTGGTAGTTCGAGTGAATTGTTTCAATCATATGATGGTGATTATTAGGATTGGTCTGTATAGATTGTTGTTTCTTGAATAAATAGTGTTGTTCAATTTGATGGCAATAATGTTCAAATTGACAAAGTAATTCTTGTGATAACTTTGAGGAGTGAGAATTGAATGTATGATCAACAACACCAAGATGATTGTTGTCAATCTCTGAATTTAGTAAGGAGGAGGAGGAGGAGGAGGATACCATTAATTTTCTGTTACGGTATGAAGAGGAGGAGGAGGAGGAGGTACAAAAAGTTGTTCTTGTCTTCTTGTTGGAATCTGTTGCTTGCTGAAAATTTTTGCTTTCATTGTCTTTCGGAAATGAATGGTTGATGTGCACATTAATGTGTGTGGAGGAGTTACTAGTAGTAGTATTCTTGTTGAAGGTGTTGTTGTTATCAGTGGTGGTGGTGGTGGTGGTGGTGTTGTTGATGGAATGAAAAGTTGAGAGCGTTGAATAATTTGGAGAACGATAGGTCGTTCTTATTGTAAAGTGGTGATTCACGCACTTGGAGAAAGAGTAGTGTCGTAAGAATATATCAACCGGTTGATGTGATGTTCTTCCTATTGTTGGCAGCAATGCTAATCGGAGCATTTTTAAATATATTGTTGTTGAACAACAAGAGAAGCAGAGGACCATCATGATAGGGATTCAAGACTCATGAAACAAGGCCAGTCAAAATGGGTGGTGTTGTAATTTGCAAGCACTCAAAAAAATGGCTAGACGTTTTCTTCTCCCTCTCTTTATCGGTACTGGTGGTGTTCTTTTTGGCTCCCACATTTTTTCAGGAAGCCCAAAGTCAGAAATGGCTGGTGTTATTTCTGACTCACCAATGTACAAGACATTAAAGAATTGTAAGTACAACCAAGAAGAAGAATATATTGAATCATGTTTTGTATGTTTCAACGTGTTCGTGGTTTTGGTTTCCTCTTCTTTGTCGTGATTCTTCAATTCTCCAGCTTACAAGGACATTTTATCTCAACTCGATGAATTGAAAAAGACCGGAAACACATTGGACAACCAATCTCAAGTTGTTGAGACTGTCTGCTCCAAGCAATTGGACCCTGGTGTTTGCAAGACTCTCATGAATGGAAATTATGAAAAATTCAAGGCTGGAACATTCTCCAATGACGATTTACTTCAGTTTGTTGCTCAACAAATTGCAAAAGATAGAAAGCAACATGGTGGTAGCGGTCATCATTAAACGGACTAACAATTACTACTATTGGGTGTTTTGATTACATTGCGTTTATGTTTTTATTATCTATAAATAATATTTATAATTAATTGGTTTATGATGGTGTTGGGTGTGATCACAATGTCATCGTTTCGACACACCAGCAGAATTCTTTCAGCGCATCTTCACGGTCAGAACATTTTCCAAACAAAAAATGCCTCAACACTCTTCCTCCTCTTCCTCCTCTTCCTCTAACACTGAAAATTCTAATGATGCTAATCGGGAATCCTTGAACTCTCCACTCGTGTCATCGAAAAAGCAAAAATCCATGCTTGACTATGTACACCATCATCACCAAGACAATGATCTCGATCACAAAAGAAAAAGAGAAGAAAATGATTCATGGATTGAAAAAATGCGAAAATTGGCTGACAGCTCTCAAACAACAACCAACAAAAACAACACCATCCATCAAGCACCCACTTCTCCACCTCCATTCAGAGTTAAACCTTCAAAAAGTTCTTCTTCTTCAAGTGAACAACATCATGCTGCCACTCCATCTCAGTATCACAAATCCTCTACACCTCCAACAAAAAGTAACTATTCTTCCAAAAAGAAAGTCATTGAGGGATGGAATTCCAATCATGTAAAACTTCCATGTCATGAAAATAATGTATATTTTCAAAACAATAGACAATTGTCGAAATGGTATCTAATCAAAACACTTTTACAACAAAAAATTAGAAATGTCAATGATCTCATTCAAGTGATACGTTCGATTAATTCAAGTTGGACATTCAATTCATCAACTTTTTCATCACTTCAAACACTCTTTGAAGATGTATATAATGAAAGTGAAAAAGAAAGATTTTTCAACAAAACATTACCTTGTATTCAATCTCTAGCTCTAGAATTACCTAATTTATTTGACAAATCCTCAATTCCACTTTTGAAACAACAATCGGATGCGATTGTTCATTTAAGTAGAAAACAAATATGTTGCCTTTTAGCACATGCATTATTTTGCACATTTCCAAGAAGAAATCAAACCAGTAATCCATCCGATGAATACTATTCCTATCCATCCATTAATTTTATTACACTTTTTAAGAAATCACCACTCACCAAACGGTTGATTTTCAAAAAGATGCCAAACAGCAGAAGCAACAGCACTAAGGATTCCATTTTTGATGATCAAAGTAATACGACGACATCGATGACAACAACAACATCGATGAACCACACCTCCTCTCGAATGATCACACCATCCAACCTCGTTAACGAGGATGAAGATTCCTTCCACATGCCTTCTCTTTCACCTGAAAATCAACATGAAGGATCCTTCATGATTGATGATCCCACTGCACCCTCTTCAGCATTGTTAACCAGTACAGAAACTGCAACAACCACTGAGAGTTCCACTACTACTGCTACTATTCTTAGCAATACCACCACTACAAATACCACCAATACCACCAATACCACCACAACCACCACTACTCTCTCATCGATGAAAACTGAAATTCGTGCCATGGTTGATTCTACTAATAATACTACTACAATGATCAGTAGTAACAATAATCATGATGAAAGAATGGTTCAGAGTTCTTCCTCTGATGATGCTAACATTTCTATTTCTTCATTGGAAGATGATGTATTGATTGATGGAGAATTATTGAGTCCATCAACTGTTGAAGAGGATCAACACTACGAAGAAACAAGTTTATTAATTGAAAAATTGAAAACAATCTTTCATTATTTCAACAAGATGAGTGATTACATGTCAGAGAATGATCCCATTCTTGATGAAATTGTATCCTTTGAAAGAAAAATTCTCTTAGATGATCCATGTGCTATGGAAAAGATTTGGAAAACAAGTTCACAAAAATTAATCCACAAATTGACGATCACAGATTGTGGTACCATTGAGGATGATTCTCCTCACACTTATGATTGTTGTCATGTGGACTTTGCTAATAAGGTAAGTTTTATTTTTCACACATTGATTCAACAACATTTGGTATCAAATCAACCATGTTACTTTTACTACTCTTGGTATCAACTTTTCGATTGTTGAATGATTCAACAACATTTGGTATCAACCATGTGTTACTTCTACTACTCTGGTCCATATAATACTTCTTCATTATGAAATTCACATCATCATCTACCACTCTCTTAGATGATTGGAGGAGGTGTACTTCACAATGGAGCTGTTCAAGAAGAAATTCGATTCTTAATCAACACAGAATGTATTGTGAGTCGATTGTTTACAGAAGAATTACAAGACAATGAATGTTTTCTCATCAAAAACTCTAAAAGATTTGCACGCTATGAAGGTTATTCCTATACGTATCGATTCATTGGAGATTATAATTCTTGTTATGAAAAATATTCACCTATTAACCATTCTCTATTGGCCATCGATGCTCTCAATTTCAATGCTCCTCCATTCAGGAGTCCCTTGGATCAATTCAAACCAAAACATATTTTGAGAGAAGTGAACAAGATTTATTGTGGATTTTTGGGATGTGAAAGTTCAATCATTGCAACGGGTAATTTAGGTAAGTATAGCACTTGTTGTGTTTCTATTTAAAGTAATTTTGTGTGTTGTATGCTCCATACGTGTTCATCTTTTTTGCAATGATGAATTCGATCCACCGTCATCACCACCACCAATGCTCAATATCGATGACACCACCATGATGATGATGATGATGATGGTAATTGATGCTCAATATCGATGACACCATCACTACCACCAACTCTACCAACTCCTCCATCACTACCATCACTACCTTCTTCTTTCCAACAGGCTGTGGAGCATTCAAAGGAGATTTCCAACTCAAATTCCTTTGCCAGCTCATTGCTGCTTCACAAGCCTCCTTTTATCACAACAATAAGGACAATTATGAGTTGATGTATTTCACATTCTTTGATAAGGAATTGGCTCAAAAACTTAAAACAATGCATCACCTATTGGTTCAACTGGAAGTCACTGTGTCTGAACTTTATAATTTGATGGTCAAATATTGGACCGATAAGAAGGACCCTTCACATTCTGTTTTTGATTATATTGTGAGTGAGTTGGTTGGTTGTTGAAAGACAATGATCCTATTGGTGATGAACTTGGGAAGAATCTAGATAGAGGTCCTCAGATCTGATGACCATCACACCTGTGCTCACTCTTCGGATCTGATGAGGTGAGGCCTTAAAAGCAATTGCTCCTCAAGTGTGAGCCTTTTTAAGGGAAAACAAAACAACCCGAGACCAAATTCGGAGAAGAGAGCTTTCTTGGTCTGTCGAGAGAGATGTTGTTGCATCAATTTCTTGAGAGAAACATGACAGCGTTTGTGGTTTGTTGTTGTTCTCAAAGAAGTCTCATCTCGAAAAGTTGGTCTTTGCCTCCGTATCTCTTTCACCTCTTGTTTGGTTATGAGTGATGCTTTATTGTAATATTTTATCAAAAAAAAGTGACGTGATGCAAGCTTTCATTGTGTCAACGTCGGGTTGTTTTGGATTGCGAACAATAAAGGAAGGCTTGAAAGGCCTTGTTTTCGAGTTACAGACTGTACGAATTTCATGATGGATCCGTGAAGAACACTTGTTGCGCAAAATAAGTAAAACCAAAAAAAACTCAACAAAACTTCTCGCTCTCCCTTCAGATTTTCCACAAGAGGTGTTTTGTCAACCACACGTACACACAATTCGCGTCGACCGAGATGCAGCCGCCACAACCATCAAACAACCCTTCTCTTCCACCATCATCACAACAACAAGACTCACCACAAGCTGAAAAAGCTGAAAGCAAGCCTTTCACACCTTTGAGTACGTCCACGAGTGTTCATTCTTCTACTGATCATCCTTCAAGTCCATTCATCAACACTATGGATCCAATCACTCTTCCATCCATTGTTCCAGAAAACAACAACAAGAAGGATGACAAACCACCTCTGGTTCCTCCATTCAGTCATTCTTCCATGAGCCAAGAAGAAAATCATCAATCTAACACCATTACCAAGATGGAAGAATCATCATCAAACAATCATCATCCAACATCAAATTCTTCGCACCTTTCAACGACCGCACCAACCATCCCAACATCATCATCATCCATAACAACAAATAACAACAATGATGTAACCACTACTAGCACACCATCAACCCAAGGATTAGCCTCTCCACCACAACAACCCTATCATAGACCTATTGCCAAAAGTTTTAAGAGTCCTCCACCCTCTGATTTCTTCGTAAATATTGCTGCAAATTTAAGTTATTCAGCTATTGCTCAATACTTTCGATTACCTCTTCATGAGGCTTGTGTGTTCTTGCACGTCGATGAGTCCTCTCTCAAGAAGAGATGCCGAGAACTTGGTATCAGAAGGTAAGTAATGATGATGATCATCATCATGTTGTTGTTGGATTTCGAAACCTGTTTTCCATACATGTATTATGTGATGATGAAACCAAATTTGACCATCGATGACGTGATACGATGACAACTTCGGTGGAATATATTCTGGAATGAACCTTGTTCTTGTTCGATCACGATGCTGTTCATATGGCGTATTATTTGGTGGTGTGTGGTGGATCTAATGTCGTCGTCGTCGTCGTCGTCGTCTTCTTCTTCATGTTGTTTCAATTCTTCTTCTTATAGATGGCCATACAGAAAGAGAGGCATTGCTAAATCCAACAACAACAATAACAACTCGAATGGTAATAACAACAACTCGTTCAATACCAACAATGGAAACATGCAATCAAATCCTCAGAACACAGAAGAAGATTCAGAATCGTTGTTTTCATGTTTTCAATTACACAAGAAGGTATCCATCAAACATTCATCCTCCTATTCGCATCATCATCAAAATAACAACCCTACGACCTTCCATCCAAAATCGAGTGATGAAGCTGTAGCTGCTGAAGTGTTAGGTGCTATGTGCATCTCCTCTTCTCAAAGCTCACCTTCCATACACCAGAATTTGTCTTCACCAAAACCAAATGGTCCAATGATCATGTCATGTCAGCAGCAACACAACTCCAATTACTATCCGATGATGCCACCACCACCACCACAACAGCACATGGCTTGTTCCTATGGTGGTCCTCCTCCTCCCTCGTTCACACCTCATGCGTATGATACGTGCAATCGAACCATCACGGTACCACCACCACCTCCAATAATGGGCAACAATCATCAAATACCAACTACTCAACAACCTCCTTATCAGAATGGTTCCTATTGTAGTAATGCACCACCACCACCATCACTCTCAATACCTCCTCCACCATTACCACCTTATTCTCACCACTACCAACACTATCAGGGAACGAATGGAGGCACATTCACAACAAACCCACCACCACCTCAACTGCATCATCAGGTTGTATCGACTTGTGCAGCGACTCCAATTCAAACACAACCGAATGGTGGTGGAACTCCACAACAAGTTGTGAATTCACAATCGTCTGGTGGTGGTGGTGGTGGTGTTGTTGCTAGTTCTGAGACTCAACAACAGGGTATTGTTCTTGCTTCAGGAAGTGTCATGGTGAATCATAATAACAATCCATCACAACCATCATCTACACAACAGCATCCGTTGTACTATCCTCAACAGCAGCAGTCTCCACCAGGAGTGATGGGTGGCATTAACTATGGACCATATCCATCACCGCCACATTCATTACCTCCTCATAATAATGGATATGGCTACCACTATCCACCACCATATCCACCAACAACTCATGAAAATTCGACACAGCAACCCAACCATGGTGCCTCTGCTCAGCCACAACAAGTGTCCTATCCACCTGTGATGGTACCTCAACCACCACCACCATATTCACAGCCTCACCCTCAACACCAGCAGAACTATATGCCACCACCACAATCGTCATTGCCTCAACCACAGAATGAAAAGGTGATTCATGAAGACTCGTCAAATACTAATACCAATGGAGGAATGCAACCATCAGCAACAACAACAACAAATCAATCTACTTCCTCTTCTGTGAATAATAGTACTAATAGTGCCACCCCTAGCAATGCATCAAGTGGCAACCATGCAACGACCACTCCCATTGCTACAAATTCAAACACAACCACCGCAACAGCACTATCGACTCCAGCAACAAGTACTACTAATGGCTCAGCCACTCACACCATGGTGTCAACAAGTTGTTCATATCCTCCTCAACCATTGCAAACCTATGGACCACCACCACCCTCTCATTATGGATACTATTATGATCCTTATCGATCAACACCACCAACTCAATACCAACCACAACCAGGAATGTATCCATATCCTCCACAGCCACAACAGAGCACTAATGGTGGAGTGACACTTCAACCAGGAATGTATCCATATCCTCCTTCTCAACAACAACAACACTATTCGAATGGATATCCACCTCAAAGTTACCCAATGAATATGAATGGAGGTGTCAATACACCAACAATGGATGGTCCGACCTATCCATATTCACATCAGCAATATGGAGGTTATTCTCAAGTGCCACCACCACCACCACCACATCATTCATTCACGAATGCTCCTTATGGTCCTCCTCCTTCTCACTCACAACCACCGTTCATGACAGCTTCCTCCTCTTGGAATAATTATTTACAGCCTACTTGCTTACAAGGTACCACAACTCCAGCAACTGGTACCGCAACTACTACTACTGCTAATACAAGTGGCAGTGGTATCGCAAGTACTACTACTACTACCACTTTGAGTGCCAATAATAGTAATAATGGACAATCACCACCTTTGGTTGCACTCAATAGTGTTGATTCACACGTGCATGGTGTTGTTGGTGTTATTCAACCTTGCCGAACAATTGCAAGTTGTGGAACCAGTGGAGGATCATCTTCTTCTGGTGGAAGTAATAATGGAGATGTGACATCATCGACCTCACCTCAGCCTCCATCATCATCATCAGGACGAACCAAGATGATTTACGAACGTCAAAAGAAAATCATTCAACCAGTGAGGACTTATCAAGCAGAGACTGGTGTGGATTCATCTTCACCATTGACCAAACGAGATCGATCTGAGGAAGTTGAATCACCGATTGCCACAAAGAAGGTTACTTATTCTCAACCTTGTGCCTCAAGCACTTCCAATGTTGTTGCTTCTACCAATGTCAATACCACAGCAACATCAGTGACTGTCGATCAAAAGTAGGAATGTTTTTGTAATATGCTGAGAGAGATTCCATCAAAACTATTAAGAACAACAATTTTGTTATCCCCAACGAATATTTATATCTATTCATTCATACACAAAATAAACTTTTATTGAACAAACTTGTAAAAAGTGGATGGAAAGTAACACCCTCACTTCCATTCTGCTGGTTATTCCTCTTATTTGGACTGCTGGTCCAAATAAACCATAAAATCCTGAGCTTGAAAAAAATGCGTTTTCTTGTTTTTGCTTCGTCTCTGTATTTATACCTTCTGGCTGCTTTTGGTTGTTTGATCTCATGGATGTACCTTGTTAATGAGGAACCATGGTTAATCGATGAAAAGAGTAATAGAGAAATTTTAGGAGTTACATCGGATATTTCCATGGATCATTATTTTGAATCATTGCGATCATCATTGTCATCATCATCTCACGTGGGTCAATCCATCAAGGCACTACTACGAGCACATTATCAATTTTCATGCCTTGTTTTTCTTCTCTCAAGTGTTTTAATTTTATTAATTGTGTTTTTTGCTACTCGGAATCGAATGTTGACGTTACTTACACACATGGCTCTCGGTGTTTGGCTTATTGCCTTTGGGTTTGTCATGAAACCAATGAATGCAGGAGGTTCATATCATGCCAAAATTTATTGGGTGGCCGTAGCATCTAATATTGTTGGTACCATTCTATATATTTTGCATTTAACAACTTCGAGTAGTAAGAAGAGAAATCAGACCACACCAACCATAACACCAACGACTCCAACCACCGACAAAAAGACAGAATAAAGTGATTGGCATGAAAAAGTCAATCTGAATAAAAGTGTGAGCAAGTATCTTCCATAAACTCAAACATTTCTTGTTCTCCTATCATTAATCTCTTTTATTTATCTATTAGAATTTTTATATCAACAGGAAGCCGACATAGCTCAGTTGGGAGAGCGTAAGACTGAAGATCTTAAGGTCCCTGGTTCGATCCCTGGTGTCGGCATAATTTTTTGCTTTTTATTCCTTCGTCATTCATGCACATCAGGAAAATGTAGGCATGGTGATGTATGATATAACATGCGCATAGATTAGTATCGACTCGAGTTAATCTGTGGAAGAAAGAGTGAACGAGATCTTTTAAAAAGACGAATTCGACTCGGCAAATTGCCATGCTCGAAAAAAATGAATCAACTTGAGAGCAATAATTGTCCCAAATTTAAGGTGGAATGCTCTCTCCGAACTCTGTCAAAAAACAATGTGGACATCTCCAAAAAGAAACACAATGGACCTATCTATTGCATTAAATTTAGTAATGGAAATGGACAATACTGTATGAGTGCCGGAGGAGACAAAATAATTAAATTATTTAATCCTTTTAAATCATTTTTTGTACTGAAAGAATATAAAGGTCATGGATATGAAGTATTTGATTTGGATATGTATGTAGCCCATACATAATGCCATTATTTTATAATTCTTATCGGATGATGAGGACTTAATTATATTAAAAAATATGCTTTGATTCATAGATCAACGGACAACAATTTCTTTGTGAGTGCCAGTGGAGATAAATCTGTATTCTTATGGGATATTTCAACAGGAGAAGTAAAGAGAAGATTTAAAGAGCATAAAGGAGTATGTACTACAATTGTTGTTAAGAATTCGATCAAGACAAATCAATGATGATTATTCACAGAAAGTGAATTGTGTCAAATATAGCAACAATAATGAAGTGGTAATTTCAGGTTCATATGATAGAACAATGAAAATATGGGACATGCGATCCTCATCATTCAAATCCATTCAGACTATGAACGATTTTCAAGATAGTGTTTCTAGCATTGCATGCTCTGATACAAGCATTTTGGCAGGATGCGTTGATGGCACAGTTCATAATTATGACATTAGAATGGGAAAACTAAAAGTAGATCATATGGGAGCAAGTAGTATTGGTCATGTTTCATTCACCAGCGATTTTTTGTGTTATTTATGTAGTTCATTAGATTCCACAATTTCAATGGTAGAAGTAAGCAGTGGAAATATATTAAGAGTGTTTAAGGGACACCAAAACGAAAAGTATCAAATCAAACATACACTTTCGAACAATGACAAGTATGTGTTGAGTGGTGATGAGAGAGGAAGGATCTTTCGATGGGATTTAACCACTGAAGCATGTGAGGAAGTTATTGATCCTGATTACCTCCTTACATCGTCCACCAATGCATCAAGTGGCATTGACGAAATTATTTCTATTGACTATCATCCAACAGGTAGGTTATACAGACAATTTGGTACACGTTATAGTTGATTCGAATCATGCATATCACATTGTCTTTAGATGATTATTTTATTACAGGTTCAGTCAATGCAGAAATTGCTCTTTGGAACAAAAGTAACTCAATTAATTAAACCTGTTAATTTGCTACATGTTGAAATAATGTATCTTTGCATGGCTTCTCTAAATCTTGTTTTGTAATGTTTTGGAGAAATGACTGTGGGGACTTTAGATTTGTTACTAATAATTCCTGCAGACTTTACCCAAGTTTCTAATTGTTTGTCCCATGTATATTGTCTCACATAGTCAATAATTCCAACAATTAATTCTCCATTGTCTTCATCAATACCCACTAACAAACTGTAGTCCATAATGTTATGTTTGCTCAAGAACAGAGTGTCATTGAATACACTCAAAGTGAGTAAAGATTTAAATGACTCTCTTGTAATCAGTGGAGATCCATTATAAATAACTGAATGAAAGAAATTTAGAATCAACATCCATCATTGCATGAACTTACATTCCAATAAGTTTTCATCCATCAACACTGCGCCTTCTGTCTTTTGATATCTATTCCTAATAGATCCCTTTAAATCAAAAGTTCTAGATATAACTCGATTATAAAACAGATTATCCATAACAATGATATCCTTTTTCACAGATTTTCCCTTTTCATAATAACTCAATCTAAACACTCCCAAAATTTTACACAAAACACTTGGTAATTCTTGGAAAAGTGAGCTTGCGATATATTCAAAATAAGCATGTCCAATTTCTAAAAAGCTCAATAATTCAACACGAGAGTTCACCTCCTTGAGAACATACTTGGAATCCCATGTCTTTGTAAATGATGAACCTGATTTACCTCCTGTTGTATTCCATTTCACACAACGCACAAGAGAATGAATAAACGAATCATCACCACCACAATATGCTTTTCTTAAAGCAAGAAATTGTTTAGCAAAGAAGCAAGTACAGCTGAATTTCGTCTTATTCTTTGATCGATTCGACATGGATGTAGATGAATTGTTGAATGGAATTTCACCATTAAGGAGAGTCACCTTATTTCCAGAGTTTGAATTTGAAGTATCTGAGAATGAAAATTTGTAATGATTCTTTTCTTTTGATTTCAAAACTATTTCAATATCTTCATGCTCTGAATTGGAACGAATGACCTTGTCATAATCTGTTGAACTCAGAGTGTATGCGATAATAGTGGATGGTTCATCATTGTATACAATAACATTTGCATTTGTACTTCCAGATGGTAAAAACAAGTGAGCTGAAATTCCATCAATGATCGCTGGAAGTTTCACTGGTTTCAATTGAAGTTGATCAAAAATAGTGGATTGTTTGTTTTGATTTCTAAATGGTAAGAAACTAAAACCTTTTTGTGATCGACTTGAGGAAGGTAGAGGAGATGTATCATCGGATGAAGTGTTGTTGGAGGTGTTGGTGGTGGTGATTCCAGTCGTACCACTCGTGTTGTTGCCTGTGTTGACACAAAGTAGAGTATTGCTCTTATGGTGTTGGTGGTGGTTGAATTCTGTGAGTGAGGAATGATTCTCCATATTGTTTCTTAGTGTCGGATCGATGCCATCTAAACTCAAGGGTTCCATCGGTAGCAAAGTGGATGGCGTTGTTGCAGTTATAGTGGATTCACTGTCACTATTAGAACTCATGGAAGAAAGAGTGATGGAAGTTAGGAAAGTGTTTCGTTTGAGAATGACCTGAATGAGTGGTTTGGTGTTGTTGTCTTGTTGAACTGAATCATTAATAATAAATTCCACACTAATATATCGAGGAGATGTGACAATAGAAGAGGAGAGATGACCCGAGTGGTTATGACTACCATGGGTTGCAGATGAACTTTCAGAATGTTGTAACAGACTATCCTTCACAACAGGTTTTGGTTTTGTCATGGCTGTTTTCATTGAATTCATTGTCGTGGTTGATGCTGAGACGGACGACATTGAATTTGCACTAGCAACACCACTCGTATTTGAGGATGGAGCTTTTAGAATTCCAAATTTGGCAAATAATTCAATGATCATATCATTCCAACTGATCGTTGAAATGTAAACATTTCTAATAAAATCGTTGAGAGTATAAATGTTTTGCTTTTGCTTAATAGTGCTCAGAGAGGACCACAAAACAATTTGTTGATTTTTGATCTGTTCTCCAATTTCATGAAATTGCTCGATTTGTTCTTCACTTAACAATGAAAAGTTGCTTTCAATTTCAAAAACGAGTTGCATAAAATCTGCAAAAAGAATATTACATGCATCTTCAACATTTTGAACCATAATGTTAAATTGAGACGCTTGATACTTTTCATCATAAACCGCTCTATTTCCTGGAAATACAATATCATATATTTTAACAGGTTTGTACTCGAATTTTGCAATAATATCATTATATGCAAAGTATCTAATATGATCATGATGTACGCTATGATTGCATCCTCCTGTTCTGCATCTGAGAGTACTATTATAAAAGGTGCTTTCTAAGAATTTTCCAAATGAATACTTGTACGCACTTTCAGACATGGGAATGACTGGAGTAACATATCTTTCACACACTTTGCAATAATTCCACATGGCAATACCTTCATCACTTGATGAAATAATTTGTGGAGATTTTTCAACAGTGAGAATAATCTTTCCATCTCCATGTGTATACATTCGAGTTGTGTTCATATAATTCAAAATATTGTTGGGATTGAAACATTTCAATTCCAAGAATTTACCCAAAGGCATGTCATTGTCTGTGTAATATGCAATGACTACTGTTTCTGGATTTGCTAATGATTGAGTTTCAGTGATGAGAGAGGATGAAGAGAGAAGTAATTTGGGATCTACTTTTGGATGTTTTGTGAAGAGCACAATTATGTTCTGATGAACATAGGGTGTTAAGATGTCTCCAAAGATGGCCAATTCCGTTTCTGTGTAGTGATCTTCCACATTGACTTGTGAGTCTCCATGTTGTTGTTCATGAACATCGTATGCAGACGACAACGGCATTGTTGATTCCGAGTAATTGTATCTCGAATGTTGTAGTTTCTCTCGAGTGGGATTTACAATTCCAAGTTTGGCAAGGTCCAAATCTTCTAATTTCAATGAAAATTTGACATTGGGAGAGGCAGACAAAATATATGGCGAATTGGTGATATAGGGCGCATGATCAATTCTCAAAGTTCCACACTCATCAAAGAAGAATTCTGTTTCTAATTTCAAGTTATACGCCACATAAACAGCAAATTTGAAAATGGGTTTCACTAATTCGAGCTCTTTTTCATTCTCTCCTCTTAAAACAACGGTGCTTTGAGCATCTGAATATTTACCACAAACAATAAATAAATTCTTATCTCCAATGCGTTTCATGTAGGCATGAGTGCATTGAGGTGGTGGTGTTTGATTTAGGTTCATGTGGAGAATGGATTGATCATATTCATCAATAGAGGACAAAATTGGATATCCTGTACATCGTGAAATTCTTTCCAAGACTTTGCGTTTCACATTTACAACCACGGAAATGCCTTTGGATAGTAGTAATTCTTTTGCAAATCGACTCACTGATTTTTCAACAAAAACTAAATCAGGTTTCTTTTCTGCAATCTTTTCAACCAAAAGTTTCAAAAATTCTTCTTCTTGACTAATGAGAATATCCATAGAAGTCATACTTTGAGTTTCTGCTTTGTGGTATTGATACGCAATGGGACAACTAAGAATTAAGATTTTTGGATTTTTCAAATTTGTTTTCATACGTTTGTGAACTACATTCTTTGAAAATACGACACCTCCATCAACATATTCAGATTTTGACATGTTACTTCCTAACACTTTCTTCACTTTCAAATAGTGTCTAATATCCATTTTATCTCCTCTCAAAGTATTAGGATTTAAAGAGTTCACAGTTCTGAGGGCTAATCCTACAATGACTTCTTCCCATTTGGGATCAATTGGTGGTGGAGGTGTTGTAAGAGATGGAGAAACGGTAGTGCCATTGACGGTATCGATTGAAGAATCAGTAGTAGATGATAACCACATGGCATTTTCTCTTTGGATTAATTGAGAAACAATCGCCTTAAGGTGTTTTTGAGAGACTTCTTCAAGAGAATTCAAATGTTCATCAAAACCTTGCTCAAATTCTTCTCCTGAAATAATTTTAAAAGGTACTGTTCCATCCATTCCACTGTTGGGATGATTGTCTGTTTCTTCACTTGCTGCTGCAATTGCAAAATCATTATTACTCATCAAGAGTGAGTCGTCAAAGATCGTAGTTGGATTGAGTGAATTGGTATTAATTCTCATCCGTATGGAATCATTGTTTTCCTCTTCATCATCATCACTACTGGAAGCATCATTTGGAGATGTATTACCATTCTCACCTTTGGGCACTTTATCATGATTTTCCTGATAATCGTCATCTAGATCAGCTTCAAGATCTTCAGCAATACCTTTTGAACCAAATTCATCAATGCTTGAAAAGAAGGATGTAAAAGATTTGTGTGGAGCCATAGCGCCACCAGATGGGGATGCAGTAGTTGTGAGTGATCCTAACTGACCTGTGGAATTTGTTATGGGTGGAGTAGGTGTAGAATTTGATAGATTATTGGCTTGAGTGCTCGTGTTCAATGCAGTTGATGTTGAAGAGAAACTACTGATAGCAGCAGAAGCAGCAGCAGTGGATTGAGTGTTTGAGGTTCCTCCTCCACCACCCAATATTTGAGAGAGATTTTGTGACTGGCCCACCAAATTATTACAATAATTACACACTCTCATTTTTCCAGTATATCCCCATTTTTTACCTAAATGAATCCATCATAATTTTTTGAATCATTGTTTCAATCTTCTTCACTTACCATCAATAAAGTAATCAGAGCATTTCCAACAAAATATTTGTCCACAAATTCTACAATGATGTTTTCTTTTAAAAACACTAAAAGGAGTTAAACATTCATAACAATTAGTGACACGATCATCTGGCATCCAAAACTGTCTTCCACTTGACTTTCTCTGAAGCGTGTTGGCAATGAAATTTCGAAGCCCTTTTTCACGACCAGCATGATGACTCATCTCAGGAGTACCACCGCTACTACAATTGTAATAAGGTTGCGTATAAGGAGTATTTGGTGTGTTGTTATTGGATGAAGGTTGAGTTGGAATTGAGGGTGATTGAGAATTGTTTTCGAAATTTGATTGTTGAGTGTATTGGTTTGGCAAATTCTGTTTTCTTGGTGAATCTATTGGAGTACTTGTCACCTTATCTTGTTTAACGATTGGAATTATCAATGGAGATGGTTCAGGATTTTCTGTTGTCTCTGGAATTGTAAATAGCTCAGGATGAGATTTGGATCTGTTCATCCATGAATCTTGTGCTGTGTTATGTCTTCCTTGTAGATCAACCCTATTTTCCATTTTTAGAAGTTCTTTCTTGTTCACAAGAGAAAATCCAACATAGGATGAACCACCATTTTCGCTTTCGACTAGACCAGAATTGTCTTTTGAGATAGACATTGATCGTTTTTTTGTGCTAATGATACTATCAATATTCTTTAGATCCAAATGTTTCAATTGTGGGTTTTCAAGATATGAATGATTTTTAGAATGATTTAGAGAATCAATGGGAGGAGTATCAAAGGTTACTCTTGTTGACGGTAATTGTTCTTCATGATTATTTGTAGTAGTAATATTAGGACTTGACTTGAGTAATTGTTGGTGTGGAATTTGTTTATCAAAATTTGTGATGTTGTTATTATTGAAATTATTTGCTGTCTTGTACTCCTCTAAAATTTCGGAATTGGTCATGGACTTGATGAACGAAGAAGAAGTCTTCTTTTTCGACTTTTTTATAGGAACTTCATCACTCAACTTTAACGGGTTGCTACTAACATATAAATACAGAGATTGATTGGATGGATTTTCATAAAAGAAATAATTATTGTCAGACGATGATAAATTATTGGAAACCACATGATTCAATGTGGCTGATGATGAAGTGTTGTTTGGATTGTTTTGAGGATTATTAAATATTTTGGAGAGGAAAGATGAAATGTTTTGTCCTCCGTGAGCATTCGTGGTGAATTCCACGAGTTTAGGCTTTGCACTATCAAACGCCGGAATGAAGGAAGTGGTTGAAAAATTAGAAACAGATCTGTAATGCCTTGTTGTTGCAGAAGAAGAATCAACATCAGATCGTGGTGTATGTGAATGTGTGGATTGTGGAGTGATGAATGGTGGTGGTTGAGATCTCGCCGTGGTCTCTCCGTTGTTACTGTTGGGAGGGAGAGTTGAAGGAGACATTTTTTTTTATTTCACTGTCCATGCGTTTATTTGTTCGAAAATTCAAACGTTATTCATGGCTGTGTGTGCAATTAGTACAGTTAAAGGTGGTTCATGTCATCAAAGTTAGTGTAATTATTGTTGTAAATTTCAATTATTGTTTGTCATCAAGGTGAGTTGAAGGAGACATTTTTTCGGAGTTTGGAAATATCTTGTCCTCCGCTAAGAAGGGTCAAGCCTGGGCACTAAGGTTTTTGTCAAGCCTCATCCATTGAAAACAGTGTAAATGAACTGGATTGGTCGACCGGTCAATCAAGATGCTCCTGCTGCTTTTAACAATCAAAACATGTAAAGGATTCTCAACATTCAAGAGCGTGAATCCCCTCGACGTCGAGCTCCTTCCTCCACTTCTTATTAAATCGTGATGAAAAATATAAAAAAATATCGAATCTTGAGATCGTCTCATTCCAACCCGATAACAATACCTCTTCGTGTGTGGTGGTTGTCAAAGTACAACTAGTACCTCGTTCAGCATATATCATCATCATCCTATTAAAAGCATCATTCAAATCATACGAATCCGATTATTCTTACACCTTTCAGAATGAATAGCAACAAACTCTCCTCCGAAGGCAATCAGGTCCATTCTTCCATTCATACCTTCCATCCATCCCCCACGACCACCACTACGATCACGACCACCACGACCATCACTACAATCACCACAGAAGAAGAAGAACCACAACAACCATCATCCTCTTCTGTTCTTCAACAACATTTACCTTCTTCTTTAGTCGCTCCTATCAAACAAAAACATGATAAAACTATCCATGCCATTGCAGGAAGCATGAGTGGTATGGCTGCTGCCATTGCTCTTGCTCCTCTGGATGTCATTCGAACAAGACTCATGATTCAAAGAATTCCTCATAAAGCACACTATTCTCATTTACCATCACAACTTCATCAACAAACTCATCATCAACATGTTGCATCACCCTATCGAGGAGTTTTAGGAGCAATGAAACACATGATAAAGACTGAAGGATTTACGAGCTTATATAAAGGATTGGGAACTAATTTATTGGGCTATGTTCCAAATTGGGGAGTTTATTTTACGTCTTACGAACATTTTAAATCCACATTTGCACAGAGTCAATTGCTGAAAGATCATCTCATGTTAAATCATCTTGCCAGTTCAATGCTGAGTGGAATTATTACTTCATTTGTGGTATCTCCCATGTGGGTGATAAAAACAAGAATGCAAACACAAGTTGAAAGGCAATATACTGGAATTTATCATGCATTTAGAGAAATTTTAAAAAACGAAGGAGTTAGAGGTTTATATAGAGGCTTAACACCTTCTTTATTTGGAACGATACATGTTGGTGTTCAATTTCCATTATATGGTTAGTTTTTATTTTTAACATTTCATTCAACTTATAATGTTTCACGTTTTATTTGATTCGGTGTAATTTTTCTCATTTCCAAATCTGAATAGAATTTTTAAAGAAAGAGCTCAAAAAAGATACAAATCTCAATAACATGACAGTTATTATAATTTCTAGCTCAGCAAGTAAAATAGTAGCAAGTATGATTGCATATCCTCACGAAGTGTTGAGATCCAGATTGCAAGATCATGCACACGGAAAAGACATTCAACTTGCAGCTAATTATGAGCCTTACAAAGGAATGAAAGATGCAATATACAGGATATGGCATGAAGAAGGATATAGAGGATTTTATAGAGGAATGACAGCTAATTTTGTTCGAGTAGTACCGGCAGCAGTTTTAACATTAGGAAGTTTTGAACTATTTGCACAATATTTGCATAAAATCCTCGATTAATTTGAGAAGTCAGGAAATTCTCTCCAATTTCGCCATGTATTTCAATCATCTGAAGCTATGAAAGATGAACTAATTGAGCGCTTGTTTAAGTTTTAGCACTGTGTCTTTGAACATTTCATATTCAGAGTCTGAATGAGCAATTAATTTCGATGCAATACCAAATACCAACTTCCACTCTTTGTTACTTTGGTCATCATGTTGTGGTTTTTGCTTTTTCTTTATGAGCTCTTCTAAAATGATCTCACTTTCATTGATGATTGCAGAATTTATACCTAACATTTTTGCTAACTTAATTCCGTATCTATCTTCTGAGCAGCTTCCAGGTTGTAATTGGTAGAGATAATTCAACTCGCCATCTTGTGTGGTTGTCACTCTAAGGTGTGAATTTTTAATGTTGGGATATAAATTCTCCAAATCACTCATTTCAGTGTAATGAGTAGCAAAGAGTGAATATGAGCGTAATGACTTGAAACATGTTGCCAAAAATTTTAGCTCAACTCAAAACTTACACTTAGATGTTCTGCAATACTCCATGCAATTGCGGTTCCTTCAATATTGCTCGAACTTCTTCCAAGCTCGTCGATTATTATTAAGCTTTTGTTAGTTACATTTTGAACGATGTTGGTGACTTCTTTCTATTATGGTGTTGGTGGATATTTGTGAGAAACTTAACATACCATTTCAACCATGAAAGTGCTACTATTATTTTCAATATTGTCATTGTTACCAATTCTGGTAAATATTCGGTCTGCAATTCTAATATTGCAATAACTACATGGTACATAACATCCTATTTGGCTGATAATTTGGATACAAGCAACCTGTTTCAGGTAGGTAGATTTTCCTGACATGTTGGCTCCTGTTATAATGTGAAAATTACTTGATTCTGATAGATATGTGTCATTGGCGACATATTCTCCGTTTAAATTTTTTTCTAAGACAGGGTGCCTTCCTTGCTTAATGGCAGTTGGTCCTTCGGTGCAAAACTGAGGTCTGATGTAGCTATTATTTAACGTAACAAGAGTAGCAAAGGAGAATAGCATATCAAGAAGACCAATAGATTCACCTAATTTGTACAGATCACTGATATGAGTCTTAATAATTTCTGTAAGCCTGCTGACAACCATTTCTGTCATTAGATATATCTCATCAAGAATTTCTTTCATGCGCACGTTCAGAGAGTTTAGCTCTTCAGTAGAACAATGGACGATCTTCCCTTTCTTTAGTCTTTGGATCAACAACTTTTGAGCCTCATGTGACAAATGAACATTATCCTCATAAGTGAAGTGATAACCTCTTCTTACATTGTACCGAAGTTTTAGAGATGATACGCCAGTTTCTGCTTGACAATATTTGTGATGGCTCTGTATTTCTTCTACTGTCTCAATATATTTCTTTCTTCCAATATCCAACAAAGCATCCACGTTAGCTGCCACAGAAAAGATAACTTGCTGCTGCTTGTTTTTGCAGTTTACAATGCCTTTTTCATTAATGATTTCATCGATGCTTTGTTTTAGACTCGATAATTCCTGATATTCTAACGATTGAGATATAGCTTTTAAAATTGGAGTGGTGTACGATCTGAGCTTTTCTTCAAGCAGAGGAACTTTTTCAATTATTTTTCTCAAACAAATAATATTAAGCACACATGAATGAGAACATCTGGCAGAGGAAGAACGTTTGGTGTGAGTGAATTGGGTTAGTAGATGAGCAATGTCTATATTGAACTCTGAAAGAAGTGCACCGACTTCAAAAAACTCCTTTTCGTTAGCCAGTATTTCATCCACTGTATCTAACCTTGCGTTGAGAGATGTTATGTCTAATAGTGGTTGCAACAAATTGGTCCGTAAAATACGTTTACCCATTGGAGTCTTGGTGTAGTCGAGATGAGAAAGCAAAGTTGAGACTCCATTCCCATACTTCAAACTTCTCACCAATTCCAAAGACGAAATGCTTGATGAATCTATCATGAGATGCCCGTCGCATGCAACATAGGAGATTCTCAGACTTCTTGGTTGGAAGGTAATCTCCTGTACATACTCCACATATTGTATGACGGCAGATAAAGCACTAACGCTAAGGTACTTGGAAACGACGTCGGATTGAATTGAAGAATTTTCATGATCCATCAACAAGGTATTAATGTATTCATTACCCTTATTCTCATTGAAAAGCTTTCTTGCTATGAACGTTATTTTCGCCTTGTTGGAAGTTCCTTCACTGTTGCTTTCTAGCTCTTGCTTTACCACAGAGGACAACTTGGTATCGTACAACGTTTTCGGAAACAATACTTCTGCAGGTTCATACACCTTCAACATGTTGCAAGTATTGATGTAGCTGGAGCCTTCGTTGTACTGAGTAAGTCTAACCGAATTCGTTCTGAGATTGAAAACAGCAAACCCAACTTCCCTTGCTTGATTGTCGAGTAATGCAACAATATTTAAGGAAGGAGAAGCATTGGTGCCTGCTGAATGAGTGTTATACTTATGGAGTGTTGACCCTGTTGATGATTTCCTATTGGAGGGAAGAGTGCTTGATAGAGTTTGCCCAACGGGAAAGTGATTTTCATACATAGCCTTACCAGCCTTTGGAGTGCGATTGATGTTGGAGGAGGAAATGCGGGCAGTTGATGGCGTTTTCATTTTATTTTCTGTTGTAAGAGTATATTGTAAAGAGGTGATAATTATGGATTTGTTATTGCAGTAAGGCTGGATCACAGGAAGAAACTAATTGATGGAGTTGCTCGATTAGTTTTGGAAGTTCTTCACGTTTAAATTTAAGATAAGTCTTTGCTCTTTTCTCGAGGTGAGTCAATTCCGATGTAAGCTCTTGGATAGTGGTCAGGTCGTCCTCCATTTCAATCAACTCTCTCAAATACTTTCTTTTGTCCTTTTCTAATTCATAAATTGGCGTCCAATTAGTTTCAAACTCCTCCAGAACATTCTTGATTTTGTCGATTTCTTCAATTAGCTGCAATGGATCGCCGTCTCTGATATTCTCTTCAACAGCTCGTACATTTTCATGAGTATCTAACGTTTGAGGAGTTGCAGTGAGTGAGTCATCTTTGAGTTGAAAGGAATCTTGTTTTTGGTGGTGTTGATCATGATTTTGTACAAATGATTTCAATTCCTGCTCTGAGCTTGGAGGTTGAGAATGAATGGCACCATCTACAGCCACATCATCCTCGGAATGACTCATTCTCACAGGAAAGTTGAGAAGTAACAACTCGTTTGGAATTCTTGGTGATGGTCTTCTTTTTGGTGGACCTTTGCTGAGCGTTAGTACATCTCGAGATGTGACACCATTATTCGGTTGGTGATGATGATCGGATTGAATCATGTTTGTTGCTTTTCTGTAACCACTGAATAAATAGGACCCTCGTTTTTGAGCGTTTCGAATGGTAATGTACAACCAATGTCGAGCGAACTTTTCAACCTTCTTCAAAGAGTCGAACTCACTCATGGTATGATTCAATTGAAGGTTTCTCATTCGTTGAGTGTGGTGGTCATAGGCAGACTTTCAAATCTCAGGTCATTGATCATCTCAATGAAAAACAATTAAAACTTACTTCAATCCATTGAATTAATCCTCTCCGCATCAATAGTGCATTTCTGTTCTCCAATGCTTCAATTTCTAATTTACTCTTAGCTCGAGCATAGTAAACATAATTCTTCAAGGCTGCAAATGTTTTCTTTGCCAAATGTTTCTTCATGAGAAAATCTGCTTTTTTCAAACTACATTTCTCGTTCAGTCGTTTTTGGACAATTCCATTCCAAATATCGAACATTGGTTTCACTAAATGTTTCAATGAAAATTGTAGAGCTTTTCTATGCAATTCCTCATTTCTTCTCCTGAATAGAACATAGGCAAATAATTGTTTCATTGTCTTTTCTTTCAGTATACGATTGTGATGAAGAGCTGCTCTCTCAAAATTGATTCTCTGCACTACCTTGTTCTCATAATAGTGTCTCCAAGCTTTAAAAACTCTGGAAAGTTTTGAGCATTCCAATTTAGCTTTTAATTCGGAAACTCGAATGTCTTCCTTCTCTTTTTTTTCTTTTCGAACCAGAGTATATTGAATCAATGCTCGGAAAGCTGTAGAAGCTAGATATTTGTTTCTTCTTCTCAAGATGGGTTGAATTTTATCATTGAGTGATTGGTTTCTCTCTTCTTCAAGTAAGTAATTATTCTAATAAGATTGATCCATCATTAGATGCTCATAGATTTCAATGGGACTTACCTTCCAATGTCTAAAACTCTTATACAAACATGAGAAACGGTAAAAAATGTCTGCCTTGTGACAATTTTGATATTTTTCTTTTCTTAATTGGCAATACTGGAATTATGAAAATAAGATTTTGAAAGAAAAATTATATGTCACTTACATTGCTAAGAGCAAACAAAGACTTTCTGATCAAGGATTCCCAACGGAAACATTCCGCTCTCTCTGTTAAAAAGAATGCTTGTCTTTGAGACGAAAGTTTGTCTTTCCAGGTAATTAAAACCTGTTTCAGCTCTCTCTTTCTTTGTTTTTGAAGAACAACTTTCTATTGCCTTGTTTGAAATAACCAAAGCAGCATGTGAAAAACATACCTCTAATTCGTTGAAATGAATCCTATTTTGTAAAGTAATTTTCCAATTATTGAAGTATGACGACAAATATTTCGTTCTAAAATATTCTTCGGCTTGCTTCAATTTCAATTTCTTTTCTTTTTTGGTGTTGCAATACTTTGCCAGGCAATCAAACGCCATTCTCAATTTCTTATTATTGAAAAATCGATCCACAATTTCTTGTTTTGTTGCCATGATTTTTCTCTTCTCTGTATTTTTCATTACCTGGTGTCGTAATGAATTGAAGATCCTTCTTTTAATTGAACGATCATAGTATTCGGTAGCCTTTCTGGTCTTTATATCAGCTTCTTCTTGAATGTGTTTTTTTAGTGCTGACCATGCTTTACAGAGTAAAACCTTTGTGTAAAAGGATTCCGCAATGTTTACCTTATCTCTCAAAATTTTAACTGCAATTTTTTGTTTTTGAAAATTTCCACACGATCAGACACTTACTTCCTTTAATAGCAGCAACCACTCGTCTCACATTTCTGTGATATTCAAAATTCTCAGCAACGAGTATTGAATCACGCTTGATGCGTTGAATGTCACAATTTGTCTGCAACGATTTTAATACTCGAATTTGTAAAATTTTGTTAAAATGTTGGTAGGCCATTTCTTCATTTTCCAATGAGATCAAACCAAAAACGTTAAATTATGGAATGTACATACCTGTAAGCTCTTGTTCTTTCTTTAAACTAAGGTTTAGCCGTTGCCTCCATGCCAAAAAAAAGTATTGCATGACAGAAAATTTGTGACGAGTTTGCATAATGAATTCTCGTTTCCAAATACTTTCTCTATCTTCTTTTCTTCGTTTCCAATGTTGAAAGCATTTAAAAATCAGAGTCGTATTTCTCCTATTTTTTGCCTTAATTTCATTCAAGCCCTTTCGAGCAAACCACTTCCAATGATTTATAACTTTTCTTGCTAATTCTTCGCTACGCAATTTGATTTTTCGTCTTTCAATAGCTGCTTTTCTTTTTTCTCATCCACTCTTCCGAGAAGTTGTTGCAAGTAGAATATTCTTGTTGATTTACAGGAAAAACTCCAAGTCTCTTAAACTGGTTGGTAAGGGCATCCAAAGACTCCGTATTTGCAGAGCTTTTTTTAAATTGGTGCTCATCTCTAGTCATTAATTGAGGTGAGTGAGGGATTATGGATGTTTTGGTTTGAGTGTTTGATTTGGTGGTGTTCGTTTGTGGTGGTGGTAGCGATGGCTTTGATGTTGTTTTGCATAATTGTTTGTGACTACAAAATTGTTCGTTTTGTCCTATAATATTATTTACAATTACTCTAGGGTTTGTTGATAATGATGGTACATGTGGTGGTACAACTGTTTCTCTTTGATTATTATATGGCAAGGGTTTTTGAACATATATTTCATCTTCTGGATCTTCATCGTCATCAATATTGTGATATCTTACAACGGGTGCTTTGGGTGAGTTGTTGCTCGGTTGTATGATGGTGGTTGTTGTTGGTGGTGGTTTCCGAGGAACATTGGGTGCTGATAATTTGTGATTGATTGGTTTTTCTGAAGGAATCGTTGTTGTTTTCTCTGTGTTTCGTTGCCCTTGCATGGCTCGTTTTTGTATGGGTGGATGAGTTGAGATCTTCTTTGATGGTGGACCAGAAGTGGGGATCTTGTTTTGCATTTTCTTTTGGTTTAGACTTTCACTTTCGTAAAATATTTCAACTCTTGGACATCTCAGAATACGGTCCAAGGTGTGCAGTTTAATATTTACAACCACTTGATTGTTTGTACTTTGCATAAAATCCCGTATTAACGATGTAAGAATTCCCTTTCCACACTGAAAGGCTTTTTCCAATCCAAAGAGGAATGTTTTGGCGCCAAGTTGACCCGCTCAAAGTTTAATTTTCTTTTAAAAAAATTCGGAGCAGTCAAATCTGTCTTCTTCTAGGCTTTACTTCTGATCGTCATCATCAAATTTTTGAATATTTCTCAAGCCTTGTTGTGAGACCGTAATTACCGACTGCTTTTTCAATCAACCATTTAATTTATACATTCCTTTAAACATGAGTACCGCTGCCAGCCAAAGCCAAGGAACACAATCTTCTCTCTCCTCTGGCACCACCACGACAAATAATCATCATGGCCAAATTGTCAGAATCGAAGTCGAAAATTTCAAATCCTACAAGGGTCGCCAAATTATTGGTCCTTTCAACGATTTTACTTGCGTCATCGGTCCCAATGGTAGCGGCAAGTCAAATCTAATGGATGCCATCAGTTTCGTTATGGGACTAAGAGCACAATATCTCCGTTCTTCACATTTGAAACAATTAATTTTCAATGGTGACGGGTTGGCCCAACTCCAGAATAGAACAGCCTTCGTGAAGTTGGTTTTCAAAACATCTCCTGAACATGAAGAAGAAGAAGGAGCTGAAATTGAATTTACAAGAACTATTTCAGCACAAGGACAAACTGAATATAAGATTAACCAAAAGACTGTTCAAGCAAGTGATTATGAAAAAAAGTTGAAGAGCTTTGGTATTCTTACAAAAGCAAGAAACTTTTTAGTTTTTCAAGGTGATGTTGAAAATGTAGCATCAAAGTCTCCCACAGAGTTGACCAAGCTGTTCGAACAAATTTCTGGTTCAGAGGAATACAAAAAAGAATATGATAGACTTAAGGAGCTATATGAGCAATCCAACAACAAGCTCATTACGAATTTCCAAAAGAAGAAGGGAATTACCACCGAGAAAACACAATATAAAAACCAAAAGAAAGATGCTGACAGATTTGACGAAGCAACCAACCAACATACAGAATTGCAAGCTCAATTTGTTCTGTGGAAATTATACCATATTGAAAAGGACATTCGTAAGCATAGAGCTGAATTGACACGCCTCAACAAGGACAAGAATAACTTGACATCCAGACAGAAAACAACCAACGATGAAATTAATGAAAAGAAGAAAGAAATGGCCAAGTTAAAGAAACAAAATCTTCTTTCTGCAACAAAAGTTAAATCACAAAAAGATGACGTACAAAAAAAGAGAGAAGCACTTGCATCTTTAAAGGTTGAGGTTAGTCACTTGGAAAATAGTTTGAAGCAACATTCTAAGAATATGGACAAGAAGAGATCACAGCTTGATAAACACACAAAGGATGTAGAAAAGATGGAAGAAGAAATTAAAACTCTCGAAGAAGAAAGACAAGAAATGGAAAACAAATTAAAAGAAGAAAGCCAAAGAGAGTTGAAACTTTCTGGAGCAGATCTCGAAGAATATAACCAACTAATGACTCAAGCTGCTGAAAAGACAGTCAGTTTAAGACAAGAACTTGCTTCACTTAATGGAGAAAAGAGCACTCTTGTTGAATCTCAAAAAACACTACAACAAAAGGTTAGTCAAATGGAAGAAAGAAAGAAACAATTAGAAGATCAAAAGAAAACAAACCAAAAAAGACTTGAAAAGCTCGAAGAAGCACTTCAAAATCTTGAAAATGAACTCCAAGAAAAGAAGAGAAAATATGATGAACTCTCTCGGGCTAGTGACGAAAAGAAGAAGAGAAAACAAAAGGCAGAAGATGATTTACATGAAATGAGAGACAAATTAAAAGATGCCAGAGTCGAGAAACGTGACTCAGAAAGAGAACAAAAATTCAAAGAAGCTCTTGATGGCATGAAACGTCTCTTCCCTGGTGTTATTGGAAAGGTTGCTGATTTGTTTACAATTGTCCGTGAAAGATATAATGTTGCTGTCAACGTTGCAATTGGAAAACACTTGAATTCTATTGTTTGTGAAAATGAAAAGACTGCATTTGAATGCATCAAATATCTCAAGGAGCAACGTTTAGGTACTTGCACTTTCATTCCAATCGATACCGTTAAACCAAAAAAGATTAATGAAAAGTTGAGAAAGATTCCAAACACTACTGCCAAGTTGGTGATTGATGTCATTTCATTTGAAGAAAAACTCGAAACAGTTTTTAAATATGCCGTTGGTAATACCATTGTTTGTGACACTTATCAAGAAGCAGTAGACATTTGTTTCAATGATGTTGCTGGTTTAGGTTTTAAAGTTAAAGCAGTAACAATTGAAGGAACAGTTATCACTAAGGCAGGTATGGTCACTGGTGGGTTGGCAGATGCCAAGACAAGAGCTTCAAGATATAAGGAAAAGGATATCGAAAAGTTAAAGAATGACAGAGATAAGCTTGTTTCTGAAATTCAATCTCTCACAAGAGAAGAAGCTTCTGATTCAACATATCTCATCAAACTTCAAAACGATATTTCTCAAATTGAAGGAAGAATGGTGGTCAAAACAGATATTGAATTCACCAAGAAGAAGATTGATGGCATTGAAACTGAATTGAGAGATGTAGATAGAGAAATTCAAGCTGAGACACCAAATCTTACCAAATTGAAAGATTCCATTAGCAATCTTGATGCAAGAATTGAATCTATTGAAGATTCAATTGCTAAAGTTGAAGAAGGTATTTTCACTGCCTTCTCCAAGAAGATTGGAATTGATAATATCAGAGAATATGAAAATAAGAGATTAAAAGCAGAAGAACATGCCGCTAAGGAGAGATCAAGATTTGAAACTATGATTTCTCGACTGACCAACCAATTAGAGCTCATTAGAAAGAGAGATGTTGCTACCTCACTTGACAGACTTGAAAAGGAGGTTGAAACCGAAGAGAAATCTCTCGATAAGAAGAAAGAGAGAGTCAAACAATTAGAGACAGAACTTATTTCTGTTGAAAAGGAGTATAAGAAGCTACTTGAAGAATTGAAGAGTTCCCAGTCATCCATTGATGATAAAAACACTGAAATGAATGAATTGAAGAAGATTCTTCAAACTGACATGGACGAGCTGACAAAGATTGCTAAACAAATTACAGCAAAAGAAAACCAAATTGAACAACTAAGAAATAAGAGACAAGAAATGTTTATGAAGTGTAAAATTGAAGAGATTGAACTTCCAACGATCAAAGGTAGAGTCACTGTTACACCTGAGGAAGAAGAATCCGAGGAGGAAGAAGAAGAGGATGGAAAGAAGAGAAAGCAAACCAGACCAGCAGGTAGAAGCAAGAAGAAGAAAAAGCAATCTGAAGAAGCTGAAGAAGAGGAACCAGAAGAAATTAGATTCAGTGAGTCTTTTACCATTTCCCAAACAACAGAAGAAGAGACTCCTGCTTCTCAAGAACTTGTCACACTTGACTTTTCTTCCATTGATAAATCCAAGAAAAAAGTTAGAGACTTGAAACACTATGAAGAAATTGAAAAACAATTCGAAAATGAACTGCAAGAACTTCAAGAAGAAATTGAAAAACTTGCTCCAACAACGGCAATAGCTGGAAAATATGATGTGATCAACAAGAAATATAAGGATACTCTCGAAGAATACAAAAAGACAAGAGAAGAAACAACAAAGATAAAGAAGGACTTTGAAGAGATCAAGAAAAAGAGAAAGGAAGCATTCACAAAAGCATTTGACAAAATTGCTGACTCTATTGATTCAATTTACAAAGATTTAACTAAATCAGAGAAAACACCAACAGGTGGTACAGCCTATCTCACTTTGGAAGACACTGATGAACCATATCTTCAAGGAATTAAGTACAATGCAATGCCACCACTTAAACGTTATAGAGATATGTCACAGTTGAGCGGTGGTGAAAAGACAGTTGCTGCTCTGGCTTTATTGTTTGCAATTCACAAGTACAATCCTTCACCATTCTACATTTTGGACGAAGTTGATGCTGCTCTTGACAACGTTAACGTTAACAAAGTGGCTGATTATATTAGACGCTCTGTGAACAAGCAAACAGATCTCTTGTGTCAATTCATTATCATTTCATTGAAAGAGAACTTTTACACCAATGCGAAATCCTTGGTTGGTATTTTCAGAGACATTCCTTCCAAGTCATCCAAAACGCTCACCATAGATATGAATCAGTTTGATGAAGAACAAAGGCATCATGCCGAAGAAGAATGATTTGTAAAAATGTAATTTTAAATTTAATTATTGAATCAAAACAGAAATAATAATTCTTTGTTAATTTATCAATCTGTTTAGTTCAGTCCAATCAGTTCTTGTGAGCGCTCGAAGAAAAAAATGCCTCCAAAAAGATCCCTTCTTTGCGACATTATTGTGGTGGAAGACGACTCGACCTCGGATAATCTCTCGGAGAAGAGTGATAACGATGAAGAGGTCGTTGAAGTAAAACAACACCTTTCCAAAACAAAAAACACACTCCCTTCTTCATCTGAACCCAGCACTAAAAAGATTAAACCATCCCCAACAACAGAGGCGATTCCCCGAAATGTGGCTTCTTCTATGAATTCAACAACGACACACATTCAATATCATGGAGACAAAATTTATTATAATCCTCTTGCCAATGAAAAACAATCCAATTCAGATCATTTCCTAACGATTTCACAAATTCTTGAAGTGAGAAAAGCTAAAAGTTTATTTCTTTCTTCATTTTGTTTAGATTATGAATTTTTACAAACCATCATTCCATTCGAGTCATTACAAATTCCGATCACCATTTCTCATCATTGGGATCAAAAACAAGAAAAAGTTGGGAAAAAGTTTATTCAACTTGGAAAATGTCCAGTCTGTGTTTGTAATCCAAAACTACTTGGACAATATTCAAACATGCATGCAAAATTATTTATCATTGAATTTGAAGAAAAGATTAGAATCGTAATAAGTTCAGCAAATTTAACTCAATTTGATTGGCAATATTTCAAACAAGCAATTTGGATTCAAGAATTTACAAAAAAACTCTCCACATCAAGTTGTAAATTTGAAAACGATCTAGTTGACTTTTGGCAACATTTGACAGGCATTCCAGGTAATTTTTTAAGAAAATATGATTACTCTACAGCTAAGGGTGAATTAATTCCATCCGTTCCTGGATATCACACCACAGACAAGTATGGTCATCTGGCCATTAAAAAGTCCATAGCTGCAATGAACTTTTCTTCAACAGAAATTCAACAGTTGAAAGATTCTCCCTTGTATTTTCAAATGTCAAGCATTGGATCTTTAAATGCAAACTACATTTCGGAATTGAGTGATAGTTTTTATGTGACAAAAAATAAGGATCTATTTCACATGGTATTTCCATCACTTGAGGTTGTCAGTCAAAGTCATTTTGGATTAAGATGTGGTGGAATGATTCATCTCAGAAGCAAAACTTATGAAACTTCTACATTTCCAAGAAATTTGATGAGTCATTATACTCCAACTCAAGGTAATCACTTGTCTCACTCCAAAATAATATTTCATCAATCAAACAATAATCCTAATGTTGGATTTATGGTCATTGGATCTCACAACCTGAGCCAAGCAGCATTAGGAAAGCTTCAAAAACAAAATTCACAATTATACATCTCAAATTATGAATTAGGAATTGCCTTGAAATTAGATGTGTTTTCAAAAAGTTCACTTGGTGTGACTGATTCCCAAAGTGATTCTCAAAGTACCTATTCATCACCTTCCATGTGCTCTCAAGGTCCGCTTACCAATGAACAATTGCATTCACAATTTGGGCTCTTATTACCTTTCAAAATACCACCAACAAGGTATGACCACAAACACGATTCACCATTTATACTTGAAACAGTTCAGGATTTGTATGATGATTAGATTGCAAATTTAAGGAGATGAGTGGTGGTCTTGTGTGAGATCACAAGGTTACACCAATTTTATAACCTTGTGACCTCACGTACGAGATTACGTTCCACTATTGAATGGTTTTAAAAAGTTTCAAATAATAAAAATGCAAAACTCATCAGTTGTGCTGCCCAACAACAATCAAAACAACAACAACATTACACAAGTGTGTGATGCGACGGCTTTACAGGAATGTTTCAAGCGGAACCCAACCAATCGACAAGAGAAATGTAAAGTAGAAATTGAGGAATTTAAGAGAGCCTGTGAAGAGAAAGCCAAGTAAGTTTGTTGGAATACATTCGGAATGACATCAAAATTTACCTCAACACAGAGAATTTAAACAACGAACAAGTAATAACGGATCTGGCTCTAATAATATCTCCAATGAAAAGGATTATTGTGAATCGGGGTATTGCAAAGTAGACATTAACAAACTGTAGTCATGATGTATGCGCGCCTCTCTAGTGCTCTATAATTTTACTACAAAATTGATTACTCTTGCAATAATTTACAAACAATTATTTCCATGGTTATTGATGGTTATTGGTATTCTCCTACTAATTTTGATGTCAGTAGTACTATCATCATCCACAATTCATTTCAAATAGTGTTGTTCAATCATTAATTACTGGTCAACAATTCTTCTATTGATCCCACTGTGCTTCATCTGTGCGATATTGAGCAGTCTTCTTTTCTTCTTGTTCCTTCTTCAGTCTATCAAGGTCCTCTTGCGACAGTCTATCATCCACATACATTAACTTGTGCGAAGCAACTTGTGCCCGAATATTATCCACATGAGTCATGGCTAATCTCACAGCATCTCTTAATTCATCCTCATGTTCATATTTGACTCGGAACATTTGAGCAGCTTTTTGTTTTACAAATGTTCTTTGAATTTTGTTCGGGAATTGATTGCCTTCTCGTAGGATGAGTCGATACAGAGAAAGAATACCTCGTTTTGAAATGTCCAATGTGCTGTGCGATTCAATCATTTTTTTTACAACTTCTAGCTTGTATCGTTCACAGCTTGTAAGAACAAGCTAAGAGATGATGAATGATAAACATTCTCGAAACAAGAGCCAACAACATTTGGTGGTGCATGTTGATGAAAAGATTCATCATCAAGAATTCTTGATGTAATAAAAAAATGTCTGGCTTCACATTTGGCAACGTTGCCTCGAACCCATCATCAACCACAACAGGAGGCACAACAGGAGGAGGAGGATTTACTTTCAATTTTGGTACTCCATCCTCTCAAGCTCCAGCTACATCCGTAACAGCAACGACACAGCCTTCCACTTCAACTGGTAGTACTTCTACCACTGGAGGCTTTACCTTTCCGACCACCTCGACAGCAACGACATCAGGAACCACAGCACCATCAACAACAACAACAACCACCCAACCAACAACAACAACAGCTGGAACAACTGGAGGATTTACCATTCCATCAAGTACTACAACAACAACAACGACAGGAACAAATCCTACAGCAAGTACCACTGGTGCAACAACCGGAGGCTTTAATTTTGGTGCACCAGGCTCTACACCCGGATTAACAACAACTACCACAGCGCAACCAGGAAATGTTGATGTTGTAAATATAACCCCAAAAACAACCTTTCAAAAACTTCCAGATCAATATAAAAAAGCATGGCAGCAATTTGAAAAAGAAAAGACTACTAATAGAGAGAAAGCTGTTGAAATTGTGAAACAACAAGAGAATGCAAACGATACTCAAAAGATTAAAAAACATATAGTGAAGATTGAAAAGAAGATAAATGCATCAAAAGTCAATATTGGACGTTCTAAAGATACTGTAGAAACTTTAAAACACGATGTATTGGTAGAATCAAAGAATGCTGAACAAGCTCAAAACAATTTTAACAAGCTTAGGGCAACTTATACTAATATTGATCCAAATTATTCTTCAACATACTTTATTAATACAGCCCAAAAATTAGAACAGCGGATGCAAGAGATTTGGAAAGAAATAGAAGATATCAGTCAAACACTTTCTCATGGGGATGCATATCAAATGCCTTTTGGACAACTCTTACAAGGAACAATAGTGTCACAACAACAAGCATTCTTTAATGCTGCTGCCAGACTTTCTGTCCTACATGAAAAGGTAAACGAACTAAAAGAGCTATATATTAGGACATACCAAATTAAGGGAGACCCCTTTAAAGAACCCTCTAAAACTACTAAGCCATCCTTTAATTATTCAAAATCATTGAATGCCTCTCTTCCAGGATTGAACATCCAACCAATAATTTCAAACCCAACCTCAGGTGTCACAACCACTGCTCCGACTACAACGACAGGATTTTCTTTTGGAAATCCAACAACAGGTGGCACTACTGGAGGTGTTACTACTGGAGGAGGATTTAACTTTGGTGGAACCACTACAACCACAACCACCACTGCTCCAACGACGACCGGTTTTAATTTCGGAGGTACTAGCACCACTACTAGTGGTACTGGAGGATTCAACCTAAATATCAACAGGCGAAGATGATAAATTAAGATTTATGTGTGATCCAATATTTTGAATTTCCACCTATTATCTTGTTACGAATGATTTGAAATTGGTATTGGTTGTAACCTCTTAGAGAGGAATGCGAAACATGCAAGAAAAAATGGCGGATTCCAACCATTTACGATTTTCTCTCCCAATAAGAATTTAAATTATTGGATTTTTCATGAGATAAAAAAAATGAACGCCGGCGGTTGTAATGACATGCTGCCACTCGAGTTAGAGGAAGACTCAGCAGCAAACTACCAGCATCAGCCCATCCTGCAAGATTTTTCATACTACTCAAATGTTCCTCCGAAACATATTGTGGAAGGTCAAAAAGCTGTTCGGAGAAGACTAAGAAATAAGGGGACAAAAGATTCGGCTGCTAATTCTTTAGGTATGAGTACTCTAAGGTATCGTCAACTCCAAGAACAATCCAAGAAAACAAAGGAAACCATCAAGAGTGATCGAGAGAGTGATATCATGCACATGTTACGAATTTTACGAGGTCCTGACATGGATAGACACTCTTGTAGTAATAGTTCTGATTTTTCAAATGCTCAGCAAGAAGAAACTCGATCAGATTCATCTTCTCTCAGCTTTTTAACAAAATGTGCTTCTTCTCCAGTCGCCAAAACTCGAGAGGCACAAGAACAGGAAGCAAAGCTTGCAAAATTAACTCCAAAAGAAGAGTTAATGCCTCCTAAACAAAAATTAATGATTATTGAAAATAGAATTGCTAGGTTGAAAGATTTACAAATGCACCAAGCGGTCATAGATTTGAGAACCTTGGCAATCGCATTAACACGATTAGTTTATGGATCTCAAACAGTTCGATTAGCTGAGCATTATATGGATATCGGAGACACGTATACAAAAATGAAAGCTTTTGAACAAGCAAGCTCTTATTTAAGGAAAGGTTTAATGTTTTTGACAAAAATTGTGACAAATATTAATCACCATCAAACATCATCAACCAGACTTATCAACGAAGACGCTCCAGAACCTCTTAACTTCGAACAGGAATACACAGACGCGCGTCGATTACTTCCACATGTTCTTCTTGCGCTTGGAAAATGTTATGTTGAGCAAAACTGTATGAAAGAAGCACATGGTTGTCTCAAAGAAGCAGAGAGGCAAAACGATGCGCTAAGAGAGGAAGACAGAGATCCAACTATCACGTTTGACATTTCTCTTCAGCTTTCATACTTGTACACGAGACTGGGGAGATACGACGTGTCTCTCAGTCATTTAATTAATGCATGGGAAACAAAATTACAAATGACTGGAAGTCAACAACATCCAGACATTGCAAAAATTTTTTCGAGAAATGGCAGCTGTTCACTTGAAGAATGGAACCATTAACGAGGCAATTGAAAACTATGAAAAAGCAAAAAAAGTGTATGAAGAAATTGGTACTCCTGTTGCTCTTTATAATGCAGATGTTATATCTTACACCATTGCAAACTTGTTTGACGAAATGAACAACTTTGAAAAAGCTAGTTTTTACTACGAAGCTTCAACTAGAGGAATTGAAAATTATTTCGGACCTTATGAAAAGAAAACGATCAAAGTGTATGAACGCTTCGCAAGAGCAGTTCTAGAACAAGCTCAATCTCAAAACGACGACAAAACTCTGTATGATAAAGCAACCTCTCTCTACAAGGAATTATTGAAAAGAAAGTTACGCGTCTATGGGAATGACTCTCCTGAAGCAGGTATTACTCTTGAAATTTTAGGAGATATACAATTCACGTTGGAAGACTATGCAAACGCTCTCTTGTATTATGATAAGGCATGGTTAATTGCTGATGAAGTTTATGGTCCTCAAGACGAAACAATCTCACTTCAAGAAAAACGAAACACCACCAAAGAAAAAGCAAAACAAAAGGAAGAAGAAGACTTAATGTCGTGACCACACAATAACATTTAAAGCAATTCAGACCTCTTGCTTGCAAATGCAGCTCCCATGATGCGAATATAATTATGTAACAACAACTTTATGGACAAGATCATGGAATGTGTCATTTTACAAGTTAAATTTGTTTTTGAGTCTATTGACTGCTAACTTGCAAAATGAAATAATAGACTCTTCAAAGTGTACGAGAGGTTGTCCGCTCGTGGTGTGGTCGTCTTGTGGATGCTCATGACGAAACAAAATGAAATAATAGACTCTTCAAAGTGTACGAGAGGTTGTCCGCTCGTGGTGTGGTCGTCTTGTGGATGCTCATGACGAAACAAAATGTCAACAGCCACTGAGGTGTGATAAAATTCTCTAAACATTTCGAAATATTTCAAGTGATTAGGATCCAAATGTCCTTCCTCAATCATTCCCCGTGGACAGGTCTCTTTGTATGCTTGCAAAAACACACCTCTGAATCGATCTGCATCAAATCCTTCAATTTTTCCAATTCCTAGACCGTCATCTTCGAAAAAGCGAACCATTTGCAGCACCACAGCAAGATCACAACCAAAATAGTTGCGTTGGACTTGATCAAAATCAAAAATCCATACTTGAGCATGCTCTTGTTCACTTGTTTTTTCTGCAAAGTAATTACTCACGTTAATGTCACCATGAATGACACCAAATGTGTCGTGACTTGGTTTCAATTGAGCCAAAAAATCTTTCAAATTCTCCCATAGATTTAATAAGATTCTAGATGGTTCATGTCCATATTGATTTGCTCGTTCTCTAATTCTCTCGATCTTGCATGCACCATTATGAGTGTCGTACCATAACGGAATATTCTCGGCCATTAATTTCCATTCCTTCGAAGATTGTTGATCATAACTGGCAACAATTCGATGCATCTCTCCGATGGCTCTACCCAGTGCATCAATAAAGGATTCATTGGTTAAGCCAATCCACTTTTCAAGTACTGAACTTCCTCGAGCATATTCAAAAAGAACTGCGTAATAGATACTTGAGTCATCACTCTTCGAAGAAGAATTTTCGTTTGCTTGTTCCTTGTTATCCCCATGATCAGTAGTATTATTTTGATAGGGAGAATGGAGAGTAGCAATCAATGGTGAAGAATACATATCGTCATTCTTATCGGAAGACAATGCTTGTTTACATCTCTGAATTGGAGGACAGACATGAAGGGATGGAAGTGAGTGATGATCCAAGGAGGTTTCCCATAAGACTTGTGATGCGTCATGGATTCGTTGGATAAAATCCAATTCTGCTTGAATAGCTTGCATGGAACGATGATGTTTAGGAGTAAGGCGAAGAATGTATATCTTTTGTAAAGAAGTGGACTCAGAGTTGATGGTGTTGTTGTTTTCTTGAGTTACACATGGTAACACTTGAATGAGATAGGTGTGATTTTCCGATTGCTTGATCACATTCACCGAGCACGAGGATGGCAAGTTCCATTCACTAAAAATTTGATGTTGGGCCTCTGAGGAAAGCACATAAGAAGGTGAAGACATTTTTTTGTGTTTTGGGTGAATTGAATTTTCAGTTTGGGTTTTGAAATTTTTGATTTTAATTTTCTCTTGATCTAAAAAATTACTGTTTCTCCAATTTTCTCTCAAACACACAAATCATTTCGCAATGCTCAGTATGAGGGAACATGTCAACAGCAACTGCTTTCACAGGAACAAAAGGAGGTAGACGTCCAGAGAAATTAGAAGAGGGGCTACATAATCTCACTGCATTTTCAACAAGTGTGTTGGGATTGCAGGATACATAAATTAATTTTTCAATAGTTGGAGACTTAAGCAAGGCTTCCAAAACTTTTTTGTGTAAACCACTTCTAGGAGGATCAACCACAGCAATACATTCAACTTCTGGAGAGTTCAATCGATGCTCTTTCATGTTAGTGGCAATGGTATCCTCTGCCTTTCCACAAATAAATACGATGTTTTCAATATTATTTAGCTTTGCATTGTTTCGAGCATCATTTACGGAGCTCTCTACCATTTCAATTCCAATAACTCTGTCTACGGATGAGCTCATCGTAGAACCAATAGTTCCAGTTCCACTGCATACATCCAATAATACTCTCTCTTTCTTTTTTTCAGAATTCATCGACTCTAACGTCCACTCTCTAACTTTAGAATACAAAACCTCTACTCCTTTCGTATTAACTTGGAAAAAGCTCATTGGAGAGATTCTAAATTTCAAACCTAGAACTTCTTCGATAATAGAATCCTCTCCATAGAGCAATTGTAATGGCGCATCAGTAGGAGCTGCATTGCTTACACCTGAATGTTTCTGTAAAAATAATCCCTTAATGTCAATGGCTAAATCATCCGTTGAGTTAAAATTTTTGTCGAACGATTTAAAGTGTGCAACAAGTTCTTCAGCAATAGATTGCAAATCTTTTTCTGAAATATGTGTTGGATCTACTTGAACAACAATTAACATTTCTCCTTTTTCATTTTCTCTAACTTTCATTAACCTCCACAATCCAGTATGAGTAGTTTGATCATAACACTTTGGTTATTTCACCATTTGAAACATTTTGTCACTCCTTTAAAATCTCAAATACAAACCTTGTGGGTATCATGGTGAGCTTCAATAAACAATTGTAAAATCTGAACTGCTTTTTTAGCGCTCTCTGAAACAATTCTCACTTCTTGAGGACTCTCAACATTAATAATACCTTGGCTGTAAAGCCCTTGTCTAAATCCTACAGATGGCTTCTTTTCACTATTATAACCGCAAGTAAATTCACAATTATTACGATAGCCTTCAGTTTTCGGAGATGCAAGTATTCCATGCCAATCTAAATGAACGCCCTTCAGCTTGTCATCTTCAAAAACCTTGCTGAAACAAGAGGGAAGGGCACCACGATCTGAGAAAGCATTTTTAATACCAGCAAACATGTTTCTCATACAGTCCAATGTTTCCAATTCTTTCTTTTTCAGCTGTTCCTCATAATCCAAACTACCCACAAATTTTAAACTCTCTTGCTCTCAATTTTTACTTACTGTGCTAATGGTGTTACTGCTTCAATCACATTGCTCGGAGCATCTTTTTTCTTCTTTTTGTGGGATTTGTTCGCATGATGATGGTTGAACTTTCTCTTTGGTTGTTCAGGCATTTTTTGAAAAAGAGAAACAGTGTAGCAATGGTGTTGAAGTGATGAATTCAAATTGTTTGAAGAAGAGAAGCAATGGTTGATAGAAGAAAATAACCCGAATGATGGTGGTGAAACATAATGTGATGCTACTCTCTGTGCATATAAAATCGGATCAATGTTGGAATAGAAAGGAAGAAACCTTGTTTTTGAGCATTTCATTAATTTTTTCATTTTTTGTGATGATCTTCTTTAATTCAATTTTAATAATTTTAATACTCAACAAGTTAGTGCGATGATTTGAGAGAAGTTAAAGAATATTATCGCTCTGGTTTTGTGGTTGATTTTTCTTGAGCTTCCAACAGCATGAAATTCTGTCGTGTTTGAAGCTTGGAAATAAAGTCTCGAGAGAGCGAAAGTAGGTTTTGATTATCGGAGTCGTCATCAAGAATACGAGGCTTTGTTATGTTTTGTTGTCTTTTCCTATCTTGAAATTGGTTTTCTTCTGCAGTGGTTTTATCATCATCGGAAGGCCAAACTCGTTGCAAAGTAGATTTTACGGGAGTCCATTCCTCTCCCAATTGTCTCATTATTAATTTCTTCGTCCAGTATCCCCCGATGGCGATGCCGCAAGCGAACGATAAAAGACCCATGATGATAACTAGTCAAACGAAATATTGATGGTGATGTTTTCTCTTTTTTCTTGATTTGGCTTTTAGGATTTTTCAAATTGATTGAATCAAGAGGTTTGTTCAACAAGAGACACCCAAATGATTCAGAGGATATCACCACCTCATTGAACAAATAGATGACTGTGTTTGTTCTTGATCCATGCATCACACAACCATGGATAAGCAAAATATTAATAGACAAAAACAAAAAAATGTCTTCTGCAAATCGGCCAACATTCAATCCAGCTAAAGCAACAGAAACTCAAGGAGGATTCAAACGATATGTTCCTTCTCATACACAATCCATGTATTTACTACCTGCACACACTGTGCTAAAAACTAGGCAAATCGGACAAAATAGTATTGACGAAGTCAAGCAAAAAGATTTAAAAAAGGAATTAGAGAATCGGGAGAAAGAATCGAAGAAAAAGAATACACTACAGTCATTAAAACAAGATCAAGAAGAAGAGACTAAAGATAAAATTCTATCGATACAAGAACAAAAGAAGGAAAAGGAGGATTTAAATTCCGAGGAGGAAAATGAAACAAATCATAAAAAACAAAAATCTAAATATGATGATGAAGATGAAGACCTGGATTCGTCATCATCAGATGATGAAAGTGACGATTCTGACAATTCTGATGACGAAGAGTTAATGAAGGAATTGGCAAGAATCAAAAAAGAAAATGCAGAGAAGGACAGGAAGGAACTTCAGCAAAGGGCTTTGACTAGCAATCCACTATTGCAACCAATTAATGTCCAGCAGCAAGATGAAGAGTCCTTTACCGTAAAAAGAAAGTGGACAGATAGTACAGTGTTTAAAAATCAAGCAAGAGAGGACAAACAACAAAAGAAAAAGAGATTTATCAATGACACCACCAGAAACGATTATCACAAAGAATTTATGAACGAATTTATGAAATAATTGCTTGCAATTTATTGCTGTCTCGTGGCTTCACTCTTAAATTGATGAGGATTGACAGGAGAGTTCAATGAGGTTAATACAGACGTCAATTTAGATGTCCAAACATTGACAAGACTCTCCAAATTCTTCCAATCACACTTATGGACAGCTCCTCGACATTTCACCGATTGAACATAAACACTTTGGTCAAGTTGATTCATCTTGCATTCGATCAAATTTCTTCCCATCAATTCACAAATAAAAGGTTCAACCTCTCCGTTTGGTGCTAATTTCTCAATATCTGAATAATTCAATTCAATATCTTTCTTTGTAGAGAGAAGCTTGGATGAGCAAGCAACAAGGAATCTCAAAATCTTTAGCTCAGATAAGAATGAAGCAACAACGGATTCATTCTTTTCGTATTGTGATAGTTTTTGTTTCAAAACTTCTGGTACTTGGTCGTTATCGCTCTCGAGATAGGTCAGCACGCCACCAAAGAGCTCTGGTTCAAACTCCTTCAATTCTTCTGCAGATTTTTCTAATGGATACTTAATGTAAAGATTGATCAACTGTTGTTTTTCATTGGCTTCATTGCTGGACTTCAAATTCTTAATAAGAAGATCAAAAGCCTCATTGCTAAATGTGTGATGTTATGTTAAACACAGACAATGTTTGAATGAGCTACTTACATTTTGGAAAGTTTGATGCAAAGGTTGGCCAGTTCAACGTAAATTGTTTGTTTGTCTTTCTTGGAAGAAATACCCCATTCATTCAAAGCAGAGTCAATATTTTCTGCAATTGGCAAAATGTTAAGACTTGTTGACAAATCTTCATGTTGTTGCATTTGTTGAATAATTTGAATAAATAATTTAGCCTTTAAATTTCCATTAGTGATAACATTGAAGGCAGAGACTATTTGTTTGAAAACATCTTGACGAGTAAAATCTTTGAGTGATTGAATCTTGGAAATCACGGACTCATAATTTTGGATCTGTTTGGCTTCATTCTTTTCTTCGGACACAAGTGTGAACAAATAAACAAATAGAGTGTCTCTATCATTCTTGTCGGATGTTTCCTCTACCATCTTGAGCAAGGTAGTAAATTGTTCACTGTCCATCCAAATGGTAATATAATTTTGAATAACACATTTAATGATGATGATAAGTTTTAAAATTTGAGTACATACACCTTGTTAATTCCGTTCAATCCTAAAGTTTCAAGAGCAGAATCGTTCAACAAAACAAAGGATGAGCCTTTTGCTGCCGAAGCAGTGTTATTTGTTGAAGCTGTTGTGGTGGATGATGCCGAGCTTTTCTTGGTCATTTTTTCGTCTTCGTTCAACAATTTCAAGCTTTGTTGGCTTTATCATCAAATCCCAGATGCGTCATGGACGAATTAGCAGAGGCAACAACTCGGATGAACGCAGAGAGAGCTTTTCAAAATATTGTAACTCAATACCATCAAACTCAATACCCTGAAACTATCAACAACAAGAAGGAATAAATTTTTCGCATGCGATGATGGAATGTTGGTGATAAGAATAGAACTTAAATTTAAAAAAATTGTACATCAACCTATTCATACTTTACACCACTTGAAAAACTCAATACAATCATCACAATGGGAGACACACTAATCGGCTTGAAAGGAAAAGATTTCACCATGTTGGCAGCTGATACAACGGCATCATTTTCTATAATTTTAATGAAGGACACCGAAGACAAAATAACAGCTGTTCCAAACCAGAATATTTTGATTGCGGCTCAAGGTGAGCAAGGCGATCGTGTACAATTTGTAGAGTTTATTACAAAGAATTTGAATTTGTACCGTCTTAGAAATGATACAAATCTTTCCGTGAAGGCTAGTGCTCACTTTTTAAGACAAGAATTGGCTCATGCTTTACGTTCTGGACCTTACCAAACGAACATTCTTATTGGTGGTGTCGATGATTTTGAAGGTAAGCTTTGGAGTGATTCGTCTTTTTTTGTAAATTAATATTATCAATGTGTTCGAATTTCAACAATTTAATCGATTATTGTAAATCTGAATTGTTCATATTGGACTTGTACAAAACAGGAGCTAAGCCAGAATTGTATTTCATTGATTATCTTTCAAGTCTTCAAGAAGTTAAATACGGAGCTCATGGTTATGGATCTTACTTTGTTTTATCTGTTCTTGACAAGTACTACAAGGATGATATGAATGTCAATGAATGTTTGGATGTGTTAAGAAAATGTGTACAAGAGATTCAAAAGAGACTTTTATTGAATACACCTTCATTCATTGTCAAGATTGTTGATAAATACGGATCAAGAGAGGTAGACTTGTACTCTGACCAGCCTATTACTGAGAGTATGCAAGAATAACTTATTCATCTGATAAAATAATAAACAACCATACTACTATCAATTAAGGAGATTGAACGTGTGTGTCAACTCCCTTATCTCCTTGTCATTTCATTAAATATATATATATATATTTACTTTCTGATCCGCTCTTTAACTGCTTCGATCAAACACGAAAAAATGAATGGAAATATCTCCTCCTCGAGAACGAACGATCATTCTTCAAGAAGAGACCAACACGCTCAGCAACAGGCAATGCTGAAGAGAGAATTCATTCCTTCTTCAACGGTTAGTCCGTCCCCAAGGCTAGTGGTAGACACTTCTTTCTTATCATCCTCAAGTGGCTTTACAACGAATCCAAAGACAATCTCCGGTTCCACTATTAAGGATGAATCTCATCAAAACCATAATTACCATGTAAAATCATCTCTGCAAATACCAGAGAGAAAGGACAACTATTCTCCTTTGCGGACTCCAAGTTTTTCAAGCACCAATTCAGAAACAAGTATTCTCATTCACGATAGCCATACTCATCACCAAGAATATAGATTTGAAGACGGCCTTCTTCTCGAACAACACTCTGTTTCGTATCCAAGTTGGCCTGTTTACTGGTACTCCGATAAGGGTGAGATATTTATGAGGGGTGAGTACAAACAAGTTTGCAATCGGATTTCAACACATCATCAACGAATTTAGTATTATGTATCAAAGTATCGTCCAAAGAGATTGTGGTGATTGATCCTTTTGCAAAAAGGATTGTTCTCCAAGGATTGTTTGTAAATTTGGCCAAAATCTCATATGATAACAACGAGGTTGAAGATACTCCTCTCAAACTCTTCCGAATGCAGTTCAAGAAAAAGGACGCCGTAAGTAAAAACAAATGTCTCTAAACAAGATCACAGTAACAGAATTTTAGATAATATTTCTAAGCAAGGATAGGAATGAAATTATCAACTGTTTATTATTCTATCTTAGAGAATTTAGAGAAACAGAAATGTTAGAAATTATCAACACGGGGAAAAATCAATCTCATCAAAATATGTTTTCACCAGATATGTCAGTAGGGCTGCACGAATTTCAGGTTTTCGGAATTGACAAACGAGGGCGATATTTTCCTCATATTTTAGGTTTATATTCCAATCATATACGCCATATTGATTCTGAGACACGAGATGCGTTTTCAATTCATTCGTATGCTGACATTGAAAATGATATTTTCATTGATCTTGAGGTGCCCACAAAACTAACCATCCATTATAGGGATGACAATCCATACACATTTCTGGTGTCCGATAGAGATAGAAGTGATGTGCTGGTGCTTCTACAAGGTCGATCTTTCATATATGGGTCATGCAATTCATCAGATCAACTTTTTGCGGAAAATATAGAACCAGCAGATAATACCTTAATAATTGATAAGGTGGAAAGTGGTGGACCTCTTGATTTTCCTCAAAAGATTTTTCAACATGTTCCGATTACATCTACCAATGTCATGATAAGTGACCCAATTGTAGATCAATCGGGAATTCTCATGCATGCGATTTCCAATCCTAAAGATCCAAACGCTTTGAGTGACTACCAAAGAGAACATATTGATCAAATTCAAAAGGGTATGAGAGTATACATGCATGTTCCTAAGAAAATAGTATTTAGAGGTAAAAAAACCTCCACCCAGCCTAGAATTGTTAGAATACATCTCGAAGCTTATACTGGCCATGTAGTTATCGAATGGGGTAAGACCAACACCAAATTAAAACATAAAGGAGTGATTGAAGGTATTGAAACCGGTCATACAGCCATTATTGAGACATCTAAAATTAGTCAGTTACAGCTCAGTAATTTTTCATTTGCCCTAAAGGTAAATTGTCCAGAAAAGTCGGTCACTGTTAATGGAAAACTATATCTGGTAGCATCTGGATCAACCGAGTATCAACATTTCATACAAGGTATTGATTTGCTTCTAGGAATGTGCAAAGTTATAGATCCAAAACATTTAATATAATTCTTCAAAATCAAAGGGTTTTTGTCCTTTGATTCGTTTTTCTTTGAGAAGTTTCAGTGTTTCTTTAGAAAATAAATAATCTAGAACCAGCGATTGAGAGGTGCAAAGGCGTCCATTGAGAGAACAAATCTGATTGAAAACTAAAATAATCTCTCTTACTAATTGAATCTTTGTTTCGTCTTCACTCTTAATTTCCACTAAAGACGACAAATGTTCGAGTTCTTTTGCCAATAATAAAATCATTCTATCGAATATTACTGTTTCTTGAGTAAACTTTGGTTGTTTTAACAAAGAAACCCCTTCTGGACATAAAAATGCAATATATGAAAATAGGCGCATTATCAAGAGTCTTAGTTTAAGAATATTATCTTGACTGGTGTTGGGATAATCAACATTGAGAAAACCGGAAATAATAAATAATAGCTTAGTATCTGATAATTTCTTGCGGATAGATTCAGACTTGATTAAGATAATTAGTGTCTCAATTTCCTTTTCCAAAATGCTTATGTTAAATACATGTTCAGTACCTTTTTCAAAAATTTCTAATAATGGTAAAAAATTTTCGAGAGCATCTTCTGAGGACCATAACGCAAGAACTTTGAGAATATCTAACAACACAAGACATGAATTATCTTGTAACACCATGGCATAATCCTGATGAGTTGATGATAAATATCCAATAAGTTCTGAAAGTAGATTTGTTTTGCATACAGACATTTTTGAAATATCTGGAACATTTTCAATCTTAAATAGGACATGCTTATCCATTTCAGAGTCAAAAATGTAATCAGGAGGATAAGGAGCTGTGTCTAGATAATAATACAGTTCAGATACCAAATGTTTTTTGTCTCTAATCTTTTTTGTGAGATTCTTCTTATTGGCCTCAACCATAAAAATGTTTGGATTTTTAAACAAAGCATGTGGGCAATAGCCAGACTCGGTAGTCTTTGCGTTGAGTGGACTATCGGAGGGTTCTTGGTTGTTGGTGAAGGAGGCAATGAAGGAATTTCTAAATATTTCGCTTTCTAGCAATAGCTTGTGAATCGTATCCAGAGTACAATAAAATAAATCTTCGTCTACAGATTGTTGTAGATATGCACTCAAGAGAGGAAGTAAAAGATGCATTTTGGATTGGTCATTTGAAATTATTCTGTGTGCTTTCCAAAGTCTTCTTGAAAGAGAGTTATCCTCTTCGTCTGTGACCATGTTATCACTGTCCTCTGTAATCTGTTTGTCGAACTGTTCAAAAATTTGAGTTTGGTCTGAAATTTCTCGATATGTTAACAGCTTGTAGAGCGCTTTGTGAAGGGAGGGATCTTTTTGCAACTCTGATATATTCTTATTTTTCCATTTTATCCTCTTCGATGTTTTCTTAGGCGCTGTTGGAGGCTTGGGTTTCTCAGACACAACAGTAATTTCAGTATTGTTCTGTTCTACAACAGGTGTCACAGATATGGTGACAGCTGCATCCTCAGGCTCTTTTTTTGTATCCTTTTGTGACTCTTGCTCACCCATTTCTTTTAAGACTTCAGACATGAATTCTTCGTCAAATTCAACATCATCATCCATTGTCTCACTGTTATGGCTTTCTTGAGGCATTTTGTTTTTCTGAGCCATAACTGTTAATTGGTCTTGTAATTCTTTGTTTGAACGCTCTAGTTCTTCTTTTTCTGCCTCAAATTTTGCCACTTTTGACTTTAATTTTTCTACTTCTGATCTATATCTTTCAAGTTCGTCTATTTTTGCTTTTAACTCATGAGATGATTGTTTATCAACATGTTCCTGGTTGTTTATGAATGTTTTGGCAGGTTTAATAAATATGTTGCTTTGATTACTTTGAATAGACGAACGTATAGGAGGATAGGGGAGTGTGTTTTTGAGATTCAGATTACTTGAATTTTGGAAGGAATTGTTCAGTGAGGGTATTGGATGGGAGGTTGCCACGTTTATGAAGTTAAGCTGAGGAGATGTTTTGGTTGGAGTCGGAATTAAACTGTTGGTTGAATTTTGTGTTGGATGTGTTGGACTTAAGGCTTGGACAAGCTTGAGAGGAGCTTTTCTGTGTGAACTTTTTTGATGTGTGCCAGAAGTAAGTGAAGAATATGGAATATTATTCAAACGACGAGGAGTTTGAGCAGTGACAGCAGATGATGAAAATTGAGTAACATTACTTGATGATGGAGGTTTGGTGTAGGCCACATTTGGTGGTCTCACAAAACCATTACTATTTGTTATAGTGCTTGCTTGTTGTTGTTGTTGCGGAAACTTTGGAAAATATTATCAATTAAATTATGTATTTGCAAGTTCAAAAACAAACCTTTGGAGGAACAACGAAATTTGATTTTGTTGATGCTACTGTTGGAATATGATTGATGGTAGTGATGGTATTTGTGTCCATTGTTGTTTTTTGATATGTAGCTGGCACTGGCCTACCAAAATTCATTGTAGTAGTTGTTGTCGGAGCAATACGGTTTGAAGAGGATGGTATTGTTTGTGCTGTTGTGCCATTGTGTTGATGACTTGCTGTTGTTGTTGTTCGTGAGTTATAGGCCGTAGTTGAAGTTGTAGAAGAATTCACTAAATTTGTAGATGATGTTGTGGATGATTTTGTGAGACTATTTCGGGATGATGATGCATTTGTGATGGTTCTCTTTCCTTGTTGTTGATTCAACATTTCGTCATTTCCGATGTGCTGCTGTTGGTGGTGATATTGATGATGATGATAACAAATATGTGAAAGGTTTAATCAATGATCCAGAGAAATTGTTTTTCAGAAAATTGTTCTCTATTTATCCACAAATAGAGAATAAATCATCAGTGAAATAATGATGAACGGAAGGAATGAATCAGAGAGAAAAAGCCTTCTTCAACAAATTTTCCAAGAGAAGAATTGGTCTGCAGATTGGACGATATTTTTTGTTCTCTTGTTGGTGCAGGTTCATTTTAGGCAATGAAGCTCCCAAGTATATCAAACCAAAAAAAAATATTTAGGAATTTGAAGCTTTGGTTACTCAGAATCTGAATTTCAAAGCTATCGCTCGCTGGTTCTCATCGGAGACTATTGAAGGATATAATAATTTCATGTTTTAGAAAAATCATTGTATATTAATTTTAACGATATCAATAATAATAATGAATCCATCATCACCAACAACAAGAAAGAGGTCATCCAGTAACCGATTTGAAAATTCTTTCATCATGGATCAAAACTATATTTCATATTTTCCTGAGAGAAAACGGAGTGGCAGGTTTTGGAGAAGATGGATTCGTTTCAAACCAACCAAAGTCGTAAAATATTTGAAACATGTTTTTAAATCAGGTTTTACACGAAGACCATATTTCGCTTTGATGTACACAATATTATCATTTCCTTTAAGCTTGCTGTATTTTACTATTATTTATGTTGGATTCTTGATAGCTACAATATTTTCTCCTGTGGTCATTGGCATGTTTTTGTTTGCATTTGTGGCTTTTTTTATTCGATTTTTTGTGGTCATTGAAGTCTACTTGGCAGGTTATTTGTTGTGTATGAGCCATAAGATTTTACCAAGATTTTCATTGGCCAATTTCAAAGAGCAATTTGTCGTAGGAATTAAGGCCTTATCGTCTAGATCATATTCTATTCCTGAAGATGATGAGCCCTCTTCCAATAACATGAAGGACGGTTTTGTCACATCAGTTGCATCACCAATCATCAACAAGAGAGATCCAAAAACATCAACTGAAATTTCTGTGTCACAAAACACCTACAGTTCATACAATATTTCGTTAGCAACACAAGAAACACCCAGAGCAATTAATGATCCTTACAGAGATTTTTTTACTACACCACCATCCAGAAGCGTAGAGTTCATATCACCAACCTCACCATTGAAACAAGCAGTTCAGAACTCAAATATGGATGAAGCTTTTCATCATTATGACTCTGATTATTCTGACGATTCGGTTGATTCTATTCATTCGCCCACTTCTCATAATTCTTACTATTATCAGCACTATGGTGCAATGCTTGGAAGATCATTAGATGTTCATGGAAGTGTCAGACCATTGCAAAGAAGCCATACCAATATTCTTCCAACATCTGCCTCTCATCAGCCCACTCAACCACAAGAAACTACTAATCTAATCCAACAATATGAAGACACAGAAACGAAAGTTGAAGAGAAAAATGAGGAGTCCCTCAGTTTGTGGGATAAGGCAAAAAGATTCTATAATAATTGTTATGACTTCACATTTTGTAAAGAAGTTGGTTTTGGGCTGCTGTACTTTACTATGAAAGTACCAATTTCACTATTTGCATTTTTTACCTCCTTAATATTAATTGCAATTCCTGTGTGTGCTGTGGCCTTTCCATTATTTCACATAATTTGTAGTGCGTCGGATGCCAGCAAATCAAATTTCTGTAAAGTAGTCATGTCAGAAACACATGAAGAACCGTATACATATATAGCTTGGACATTGTGGTTCTCTTATTCTATTGTTGGAAACGTTTTGATTGTTTTATTTGGTATTATTACATTCCCTTTCTGCATTTATGGATTGAGGTTTGTAACGAGGTTCAGTAGAGAGGCAATTTTACTTGTGAGCAAAACGGTTAATGAGTCATAGCAATCATTATATTCAATCATGAGTGCTAATTAAGGATGTTGTATTGCCGAACTGTCTTGTCCTTACTAACTGTGAAGATCTTTTTACCTTCAGAGGAACTGATTACCTTGAGTACGGCATCATTGTCAGGTCCTGTCAACTCAATACTATTTCCTTCTTCTGAATTCAAAAAACATCCACCATCAACGGTTGAAAACCATTTTCCACAATTTGAAAGTGACAATATAGGCGATCGAGCAGGATGTTTGACTTGTGGTTGCTGATTCGTTTTACGTAAATCCAAATCCAAAATGTGGCCATCATCTGAACCAGCCAACACTACATAACCATCCTCGACAAATGTACAACAATTTAATCCATAAGGCATGGTTTGAGACCAAATTGGCTGCCTGGTTCTGATATCAAAAATTCTTAATAATCCCGATGACGAGACAAGAGCACCAATTTTACCCTCTGTATCAAAATCTTTTTCATCCAGTGCAGGTGAATTCAGTGTTGATAATGATGTATTGGAAGCAACGGCACACCATGTTATGGATGATGATCCTTTGTACAGAGTCGTGATTTCTGATTGTGATGCACAGTCCCATAATTTACATGAACTATCTCTTGATGATGCTGTGCATGAATAATTTTAAAACCATGACATTAAATTTTCATTTAAAAACCTTAAGAATTTGCGATTCTTTTCAAAGAGACGAACTTACATATGAAATTTCTTCCTCCTTCAATTTTACAAGCATTACATTAATAATTGAAAAATTAAAATCATTCACAAAACATACTATTAATGAAATCAATACTGTTAATGGCTCCCCTATGTCCTTTGAGAGTTGAAGCACATTCTCCATTGGATAAATCCCAAATTTTAATCAAAAAATCAGCTCCTCCAGTCATGACAACTTTTCCGCTTGGAAGAAAACGAGAACAAGTCACATCAGACAAGTGACCAGACAGCTCTCTCTAAATTTTCCATGTTTCATGCAAATGTAAATGTGAAATTGCAACTTACTCTTACTGATCCAGATGCTACATCCCAAATTCTTGCTCTTCCATCTGCACATCCAATCACTCCTAATTGCCCAAGAGGTGATATGTCCAATGAATAAATCTTATATTTAAAAGTCAATTTCTAAATTTGCATCTCATAAAAAACATACTTTGTTGTTTGATAGTGATGAGTATGCACTACTTGGTGCCACAAATTTAAAAGTATGACCTTCAAATTTAAGAGAAAGTGTTTTAATTCCGACATTGGCGATCTCCAAAGATTCCGGTAAGCCATCCTTGATCAACTGTTTGGTTGCATCATATTTCAAAGATCCGAAAATATTTTCCTTTCCTGATGAAGCAGGATACAAAATATTGAGCCATATTTTGCTTCCGATCTGCCTCTCGGAGACTGTTGCTTGCCAATCAGGCTGTATTTGAAGACGAGGAGACAAATTGGATGTCATCGCAGCAAACACAAAATCTATTTTTTAAAAAAGTTTTCAAATTCCTCGCTTAAACATTCAATCTGGCTGTTTACTACTCATCATTCCAACAAAATCTCCAAATTCAGAATTGAGTCCATGTGAGAAATTTATTTTTCTAATTGATGCAAGTAATAATTGCGAAAAACGGATGTCAATATTTCCCGCTCGTTTTTTTACAAACAAAAATTTAAAAAAATGTATAACATGTTTCGACAAGATATTTCATCCATTGCCAAAACTAATGCATATCAGGAAAATGATTACAGCTTATATGTGAGTGCACAACGATTTCCAATACAAACCACCGGATTCAAAGGAACGACGGAAGTGAAAAGAAAGGAAATGGCACTAAAGGAAAAGTTCTCGACTACCGACAGCAGTATTATTCTTCCTCAAATAATGATTCATCTGAAGGAAATTTGGCATTTGATTCAACAGCAGCATTCATGTCTTCAACGGAAAGTCTGAACTTAACCAAATCGATCACATCACTTCCCGAAGCAACTCCACCTGCCGAACCACTGCAAAATGCCTTCTCTCCAATGAATCCACTCACGACACAACCTCCTCCTTCATCATCCGAGTCTTTCCGATCGCCACGAAAGAAAAATTCTGAAGAAATTATAATTCATGTCCATGATGACACCAACAAAATCAACAAGGATTTTTCATGCAATAGGGAATTACTCATGAGCGAGATGAAATATTTCAAATATTATTTAATGCAGCCAAAGGCGAAGAATGAAGAAATCGATATTTCAGTTCATTGCGATGTTAATATTTTTCAGTGGTTAATGGATTACATCAAGAAGGAAACAATAACACCTCCCAAACTAGAAGTGAATTGGGCAATATCAATTTTAATATCATCTCATTTTCTTGAAATGGATTCCCTTGTTGAAACAACTCTAGATTTTGTTAGAGAGAATATTGACAGTATTTTAAAACTTCCTATTGATTTGGATTGTATTCATACAGACTTGTTGGAAAAGCTGGCAATTCGATTTACAGATTATGATCTCGACGAAGTGAAAGATAAAAAGGATAAGATTTTAAGCAAACTATTTATGAAAAAGCTTGAGCTACTTTTAGAGGACGAAGAAAATACTCTTTATAAGTGCCAACATTGCCAAACCATGTTCACCAAATCTCAACTCGAATGGATGATTTGTAATAGTGAAAAGCAAAAATTCAAATTGATTTTCATGGTAGGGCAATTTCCAGACATGCCGTTGACAAGACATGGAATGTGGACAAGTATTTCTACAAGCTTAAAAAGAGTGGAATGACTTGGAGAGACATTTATTGGAGATTTTGGAGTTTAACTCATTCGTACTTTTGCCAGTCATGCAAACAACATTTTGTCGCTGCTGAGTACCATCATTGTACATATCACAAAAAGAAGCAGTGTTTGAAAGAGGTTCTATTGTCGGAGAACATCCATGCTGTGGAGCCAAATCGCTGAAGTTCAATAGTGGCATCATGATACCAAAGGGATGCTGTTCCAAGAGTCATTCAATCTTTGAGAACCAAGAGATTGACGGACTCACAGACAAATCTCTTATTGCATTACTCCAAAATCATGCTGATGTGTTATCGCCTTTCGTAGGCGTTCAAAGCTCAACTACCTCCTCTTTGAATGCAGATGATGACAATGAAATTGAATTTGAACTGTTGGAAAAGAAAGCTAAAAAGAAGAAGCAGAGGATGATGAAGAAGAAGATAAAGCAGAGGACTCGATAGATCTTTTCACAGAAAAATCATGTAAATATGTAAGTTATTGAGCTGACCATTTGAATGACTACTTATGGATGATTTTTAAAGAAAATATTTGATGACTTTAATGGAGGTGAAAGAACCACACATGAAAAAGCACAACCGACAAACGAAGAAAAGAAAAAAGTCAATTCCAAACGATTTCACAGCATGGATATTCAGAGAAATATTGATCGAGAGAATATGTATGAAATCATCAAGACTTTAAGGAAGTGCAGAAAAAAACAATCAATGGACGACTTGCCTCAAGTTTCCGCTCTCGCTTCAAAAACAAAACAAACTCCAAGCAAAAAGAAACCCTTTCCGAGTAAAGTCGTGGGTGTTACACCTGGTAGTAAGAAGCCCATGTCCACACAGAACAAGAAGAGGTAATGTTTATGATCAACTTTGGATGTTTGTATCGCGAGAGGACCAGGATGCTTTGACGAATCGATGGTCGCGACTATCATAAAATTGTATTCTCTCTCCTTTCGATTTATTTCAAGGTCACAGGTGTTGTAGTCGAGAAGCGCCAATCAAGTTCAAAAAAAATGTCTCTCAATGTTGCCTCCGGAGACGAAAATGTGGTCAATCCCAATGAGGGAGCACAAAAGGTAAAGGAAAGAAATATTGGAAGTGTTTTGAATCGGAGAAGAAAATACTTGCAAGAGCAAAAGCAACATACGTCGACAGATGAAAATTTGGATCATCAAGAAAATACAACAATCACGTCAACGGTGGCAGGAGTAACGAAAAAAGGATGGCAAGACGATGAAGAAACAACCAACTCCGCCAACAATAAAGAACAAAAGGGAGGAAGAAGATTGTTAGGAATTTTCGGTGGTAAAAGTAATAACAGTAGTAATATCAATGAGTATGTAATTATTGACATTGTTCCAGTTTGCTCAACCAATTAATTCGTCACAAAAGAAAACCACAGCAGACTGACAATGCGTACATTTTTCAAAACGTACCTCGACCTCTTGACGGAGACGAGGAAGTAAATGCCATTGATTCAATTCCAAGTGTTGATCAAAAAGGAATTCCTGGACTAGATCAAACGGTGGCTGATGCTCCAGAGGAATATGCATCTCAAAAAGTTCAAACACTCCAAGAGCTCGATCAAACAACAAAAGCAACTCTTCACCATTTCCTTAATATGAAATATGATGACAGAGGATTAGATTTATCATTACTTACAGGTGCTCTTTCTTATCCCTTGGACGAGCTGGAGCAAGACGAGGATTGGAGCAACCCTCAATTTGTAAGAGACCTGTTAAATTCAATTAAGGGTTCAAAGAAAGAGACAAGAAATACAATAGAAGACAAGAAAACTGATCGAAATTTGAAAAAAGTGATTGTTAATTAAAATCAATAACTTCTTTTTTCTCTGTAGGAATTGTTTCTCTTTTCACAACCATATTTGAATACTCATCAATGATAGAGGCAAGCATCTTTTGGGCATCTAATGACAGAGATTTTTTGACAGAGTCAAAATCCGTTATCTTCTTTTGCCCTCTTTTCCATATCAAATAAAATCGGTAAAATAAGCTCGAGTAGGAAATATTCAAAGCGTCAAGAACTGACTCATACTTGGAAATGATTCGCGAAAGTTTTCCATCGAGCATCATTTTAAGAACTAGCTGTGTCATGTTGAGCGACACCACAGCTAAAGGGAAATTTTGAGTATGTGACAGTAAATAAATATCTCGCAAAGTTCTTTCGTCACTGTAAACGAAGAATAACAGTTGCGTCAGTCCTAACATTCCAACTCCGCGCAAATCCGTTTTGGGGTCTGTTCTTTGAAATCCTATTGCTTCCCAATGAGGTCCAATTGAAGGGCAGTTTTGTTTGTCGCCTGTTATCTTTTGTAAATGGTGAACAGTATTCTTTCATGTTCTTCAATTTCATGATTGAGTTGGATATTCGTGAGGGCTAGTAAAAACACCTTCTCATTTTGAATATCTTCAGAGTCTGTCCCAAAGCATGAAAACAGCTTTTGAAACAAATTTCTTCCTTCGCCTCTTGTATTCAGTTGTTCATTTGCTGATTCACACTCTTTTTCTAAATTTAAAGATTTAAAATACTTGAGGGTTTCATCATACGTAATATTCACCTCACGTCCATCCACCTCACTGATTTGAACACTTTCCTTTCCATAATGTTGTTGCTCTCGCAACAGCTGAACGATATCCCATTGTGCCTTTGCTTTTTTCGTAAGCAAGTCTATCCTCTTCAGATAATTCTTCTTCCCCGATCATGAGCTCATTGCTAAGTTTAACCTCTTCTGCCAATTGTTCAAATTCTTTAGAGACGTCGGCATTGTTATCCCGATGTCTCTTTAACTCTGTTTCCCAATCATACATGTTATCACCTGAAGCAATTATTGGTTGTTGAGGAATTGATTCATCAATCATTTCGAGATGCAACTCTTCTTGATCAATCTGGCAATCATCCTCACCGAGTGGATGCATTTTTTGTAAGTTTATTGAGGCAACGCGGAAGAGACAAACATATTTTATAAACAATATTTAATTTTTTTGTAAGTTTGGGCGGTTTTTGAGTTCATATGTTCTTTTTCCATCAACCGTCAAACAGACCTTTCGCTTGTCAAAGCATCAAAAAAAAAGATTGTGGATAGCATCAGCCCTGTATGGTTCGCACCACTCTCCACATTGTACACAAAGCTCATCATAAACTACCATCTACTCGACATTTATAAAACATCCTCCACATTCACTTTGAATTTCTTCTGATACACCTTCACACTCATCATCATGTTAAATAAATTAAAAGGTGTCATTAGCAACAACAACACGGTTGGATCCGTGGAAAATCAAATCAATTCGACAGCAAAATCAGCCAAAGAACAAGTCAAGAAAAAGTTAAAACAAGAAAGACGCAACAAAAAAACTACAGAAAGAACGTAAACAACGAGCAGCCTCTTCATCACTCCACGATGATTCGACCAGTATTCATTCAAACACAAACATTTCAAGTAATATATGGTCGGATGAGAGTAGTGTAGTGAGTTATTGTGGTTCGGGTACTCTTCCACCAAATATTACTCCTGATCTTGTTGATGAGAAATATATGCAAATGTTGGTTGAGATTGGTGTTTCCGATGAAGTACGAGAATATGAATCAACAACTAAAAGTACACTTGCCAAATGGAATGAATGTCAAAGATATGAACAATCAAAACACGAGAGTGATGAACAAGAAAATAATGAACAAAGTGTTGAAGAATTAGTATCAGGCTGGGAACAACGAGGCTATGATTTACAAACATTGGAAACCATTCACGTACTCATTCGTACTGCTCCTACTAATTGGGTTCACCATTTCAGTATTCATAAAGGAATCCGAGCAATTGGAGAATGTTTGGCTCTTACCAACGTACTCGGAAAGAAACGTGATCAAGAAGAATTACAAAAACAAGCACTTTGTGTGAGTTCTTTAAGAGCTTTGGTTAACACTACCATTGGTGCCGATGAATTCTTGTCTGAAACGGAGGCAGTCAAAAACTTGGCCCTCATTCTTGACACTTATAACATTAACACAGCAAGTCAGTGTTTGAGAATTTTAGCAATTTTGTGTGGATGGTCCTTACAGGGATTCTCGCTCGTCATGAGTGCTTTTAACCACTACAAGTTGGTAAAGAGAGAAAAGAAGAGATTTTTCGATATTGTCCAAAGAGTGCAAGAAACAAGAGATTTAGAATACAAGCTTTCAGTGATGATTCTGATGAATGCATTACTAACCAATGCTCCTGATGAAGGAAGTAAATCTCTCATCAAGAAAGAAATGAGAAATCTTGGAATGGTTGAATTGGTGGATGAACTTAAGAATGAATTAGCCAATTCTCTATATGGAGGAAACGAAAATGAAGATACGTTGGTTGAGCTTGGAAAGCAAATTGAGAAATTCGAAGATAAGATGAGCGATCTTGGAGACGAACATGCTGTGCTCAAAGATCTTAGTGATCCTACTGAAATTGTAAAACTACTGAACATGATGTTAAACGAAGCATCCATGACAAGTATGCTAAATGTACTACAGAGATTGCTGAATATTGTTTTGAAAATGAAGGAAGGAGCTTTGGACAGAGAAACTGTGATGGAAGCATGGAAAAATATGTTGACATTGGTCAAGAGAAGTTTGAAACAATCACGAGAGACAGGAGATGTTGAATATTGGACAAATCTTGAAATCAAATTAGAAGAGCAAGTTAGACTGAACCAAAGTCAGATTATTGATCTTGAAGACTCACAATATAAATTTAAACAAGAACAAAACGAAAGATTGCAAGGAAAAGAATTTGAAGCAGCTCAAAAAGAAAAGCAAATGAGAGACATTTACGATCGACTTGAGAATGAAAAGAAGACCATTCAACAAGAATACGATCTGAACCAGAGAAAGATTGAAGAGATTAAACAAGAAATTGAAGCAGTACTAAAGGAAATTCAAGAAGCAGAAGAATCTAAATCTAAACTAGTTTCAGAACAAGAAACTTGGAAGAAAAAGTTGGAATCAGACAAAGATTCTCAAGATGATAATATCAAAAATCAACTCAAGGAACTTACAGATGAAACAGATAAAGTTGAAAAAACAGGGAAAGAGAAGTTACAAAAGCTTAAAACCGAACATCAAAAGCTAGAAGCTAACGAAAAATCTTTACAGGAAGCCATTTCTTCAATTCAGAAGGAAATCGATTCGATCAAGAAAAATCCAATTAAGGTACCTCCCTCCACTCCTCCTCCATCTTTGACTGATAATGTGCCACCTCCACCAGGTAGCACAGGATTTGTTCCTCCACCACCACCAGGCATGGGTGGAAATGTTCCTCCACCACCAGGTAGTTCAGGATTTGTACCTCCACCACCAGGAAGTACAGATAACCAGATTGATGTAAGTGGAGGAGGCAATGTCCCTCCACCACCAGGTACTACAGGATTTGTTCCTCCACCACCAGGCATGGGTGGAAATGTTCCTCCACCACCAGGTATGGATGGTAGTGTGCCACCTCCACCAGGTAGCACAGGATCTGTTCCACCTCCTCCTGGCATGGGTGGCGTACCTCCACCACCAGGCATGGGTGGAAATGTTCCTCCACCACCAGGAATGGGTAGCATCCCTCCTCCACCAGGAATGGGTGGTGTTCCTCCTCCTCCAGGAATGGGTGGCGTACCACCTCCACCAGGTATGACAGGTGTACCAATGCCTCCAGGTGTTCGTGGTGGAATTGGAGGCGGTGCTTCTGCTCTTCCAACTCTTCCAGACAAAGCTCCAAAAGAGGCTACAAGAAATGTACACTTTGACCAAATCAACAAGACCACCCTTAATAACACTGTATTTATGACAAAAGGGATTGCTTCAAAAACAAACAAGATTATTGAAGAAATTGATTTGGATCAGTTGACTTCATGCTTTTCTACAAAAAAGAAAGAAGATCCAGGAAAAGATGCAAAACCTTCAGACAAGAAAAAAGAAGTTAAATCTATGCTTGATCCAAAACGTAGCTATGCTGTGTCGTTGCAATTAGGTTCTTTAAGAGGTACAAGTTATGAACAATTGAAGAAGGCAATAATTGTTATGGATGAAAAGGTTGTAACAGCAGATAACATTGGAACGGTCAAGCAAATTGCTCCTGAACAAGAAGAAATTGACACTGTTAATACCTATGATGGTCCATTGGATGAGCTTGCAGAACCTGATAAATTCTTCAAGGTTATGGATGGTATTCCAAATTTGAAAGGAAGATTGGACGCTTGGGAGTTCAAGTTTAAATTCCCTGACATTAGCGGTAAAATTCGACCTGACATTCAAAATCTAACTCTAGCATGTAAGGAAATGCAAAATTCGAAAGGATTTATCAGATTGTTGAGTATCATTTTAGCAATTGGTAACTTTTGAATGGTAAACAAAAGAACAAGATTAGCTATGGTTTCAAGCTGAAATCTTTAGCCAAATTGAACGATACAAAGACAGGTGATGGTAAAAGCTCACTTTTGCAATACATTGTAAAATTCGTCCAAGAGAAGGAACCTGAGGTTGCAAAATTTGACACAGAACTTGAACACGTGCAAGCAGCAACTAGAGTTAATATTTCAACATTGGAAGAAGATTTAGAAGAATTGAGAAAAGGTCAAAATATTCTTCAAACTCAAATTCAAAAGGCTCAAGAAGACGCACTCGAAAACGATGGTTTTGTCGAGAAAATGCTACCATTTGCTGAAAAAGTGGAAAACACAATCATCAAAATCAAGGAAGATATGGACGTCATGAAATCTCACCTTGAAGAAGTTGCAGAATTATACAATGAAAGCAAAGATGACTTACTGAAAGAACCTGACAAATTCTTCCAAATGATTGATGCCTTTGTTCAACAATTCAAACAAGCAGCTGAAAAGAACGTTCAACAACAAAAGGCAGATGAGAAGAAGAAGAAAGCTGAGGAAGAGAAATTGAAAAAGGAAAAGTTAAAGGAAGAACTTAAAAAAGGTGGCACAACCTCCACTCGATTAGGAGGAACGTCGACGACTGCTGGCAGCAGTAACACCAAGCCAAGTGGTATTGGAATGTTTGGTCAATCTGTTGCACTCAAAGCAAGAAAGAGAGGAGATGATTTGCAAGGTGGAAATCTTGATGCAGGATCTCTGAATGCTGCATTTGTCAAAAAGTAAATTATTATAGAATATATTAATTTATCATATTTTTAGGTGTTCAAGATGATGATGAATAACAACAAAAAAAATGGTCAGCAAGAACTCAACAGGTTCAATCTCATCATCACAGCCCAACAACAACAGCAAACAGAGATCTAGAGAGGATAATGTACTGCACAATCAAACAACATCATCCTCGGACACAGAAGCAAAACCTCAAACAAAATCAACTTCGGATTCTTACAATAACGTTATTCGTGGAGCGTTGAAATTAAAGGGAAGAATTTCAAAACCGACTAAAACACAGTCATTCTCAAAACAACATGCGATGAAAGAAGAATTAGAACAACGAATAGAGATTGAAAAAACAGAAGCAGAAGCTAGATTTGAACAGAAAATGATGGAGACCAAAAAGAAATTGATCAAAGAAAAAGCTGAAAAGTCATACCGAGAGAAAATTAATGAATTCAATGAGAAGATTTCTAAATTGAGTGAATATCACGATATTCCAAAGGTGTAACATTAATTAATGGATTGTCAATAAGCCACAATTGATGCTAACAATTTTAAATCAACGATCGGAGCTGGACTGGCCTGATAGTTGACATTGGTGATGCACTCGTTTGAATGGTGACTCCCTCATGTTATGAAAGAGAAGAAATAAATTTGACTCTTGTAGAAATTGACCAAATTTTACAAATGAAGTAAAGTGAGTTTCTATTTAAGCATAAAACAACATCTTTTCCCATTCCTTAGATTCATTTAAACTGGTAAGAAATCCACATCGATAACCTCCACGTCCTGTGAGATGCCAACTAAGCTTAGCTGCTCCTTCTGAAAGATCAGCTGTACCCAACTGAACATTTGGAGTGTCACTAAACCCAAAGGAATGATTTTTCCAATGATAGAAATAGCAACCATTTTCTTTTGTGGTTTCGTGTTCAAACGTTTCGCGTAAAACTTTTGCTTCATACCCATTGCACAAAGTGCCAACGTGGATGAGTTTTTATGTCGTGCTCCAATGAGAATACGAGTGCCTTTACCAGCTTGAATATCTGCCTCGCTTGTTGGGTGATGATATGGTTTGTGATAATACAAACACCATCCCTTCAATTTGCTGATGGGCACATCCGTACAAACTCCACTCACATAGAACAAAGAGCCCTCTCTTACTTTGAGTCTTGCAGAATTAAATAAATCAATTCTATTCTGCAAAGCATGAGCTCTGTAAGCTTCCAGTAACAATTCATTGGGTACAACCTTTGAAATTTCTACACACTCATAAACTTCAATAGGATCCAATGTTGGAAATCTTACATGTTGTAATACATCGTATAATAATTTAGCTAAATGCATAACAAACTGCTTGTCATGAGTGTAATTGACAATTTTTGAATTCTCTCTCTGTTTTTTTTGCAACTCTCCTGCATCTTGAATTCTTGATTGAGCATTACTTGACAACATGGATGCTGGATTCAAAGTGCTATAGGCTAAACTATTAATAATTTCTTCTTCAAAGTCATCACCATCGTCATCCTCATCCACACAATCCTTGGCTGTCTCATCGTCTTCTTCATGATGTTTGGCGTGTTGCTCAGAAATTGAAAGTTCAGTACCTGTAGGCTGCGACTGAGGTTTTTGTTCTGAAATGGATAAATTTCTATCTGTTAAACTCTCAATGGCTCCAACTTTATGAATTGTTGAATGTTCACCCAATTTCTCTGTTTTGATTTGAGTACTTCCATCTACTGAATAAGAAATGACTGTTTTAGTGGCATTTCCTCCCAAAGAGGAGTTATTGTGTTGTGACGAACTTTGAATGGAACCACTCGATTGATAAGCATTGGGTGGAGTACTTGCTGACTTTTGTGACGACATGATTGGAATTCCCATTTTGTGAATGAGTTGATGTTTGCCCCATAAAAGAACAGCCATGAAAATTTCTAACTCTCCCAAATGAATTTTGTCTGATTTCAACAAATCAATGAGAGTTTCTTTTGAAATATTTAAAAACTCTCTGAAAAGAAGAGTTTGGTTGCATTCTCTTCAAGATATTCCTTACAATATTTTCTCAATTCTATATCGAGTAGTTGTATCAATTAAATATTATTTGTAACATTTCCATCATTGGAGTTCAATTGTTCAATAAAATATTATTTGTAACATTTCCATTGATCGAATAATTAATTGAATCATTGTCTCAAATGTGCTTTTAAAAACCTACCATCAAAGTTGTGGAAAGCGGACTCTTCCAAAACATCAAAAACATTGTCACTCATGACACATTCCTTGACATATTCAATACATTTTTCTTTGACAACTTGAACACCCAATTCATCACTCAATTTTAACACACCAAAAGCATTGGAATGATTAATATTAATGACAGCAGAATAGAAAAAGTCTAACAAGCATTTCATATCTTCTGGTCTCTTATCTGGAAATTTCAAATACATTTGTTTCGAATCTTTCATTTGAGAATGAAATAATTTGTGAAAATAGTCACAGCGTGCACATAAAATAGCTCTATGAACTTTGAACTCGACGACACTGCACTCATCGGCAGGATAATATTTGTTTTTCAATCGAATCTCAGAAGACTCGTTGTATTGTATCACTCGTGATTCACGAGTACTTTTACCACTCGATATTCTTTCATCTTCTTGAGTACCAATTAATTTAGAAGGACCAACCACAATCACCAAATCAAACATTAATTCCGTTTCAAATAATTTCATAATATCTGTTCGGTATTGTTGTAATAGAGCTAAATCAGTGGCAGGATCTTTGGTGATGGTGCTGGATGATCCTGGTTTTCCGATCACAATGTTTCTATTAGGATGGTTTTGATGGCTGTTGCTTGTTGTGGTTCCACGAGGTAGTTGAGTAGTAGCACTACTAATCGTCGAAGAAGCAGAAGAGGAGGAGGAGGAGGCTGAGGTCGACGAGACAAGGGCAGTGGTACCACCAACACCACCAACACCATTAGTACTACTACTCACCCATGTAGTGGATGATAATGCTGTTGTTGAGGGAGTGGTGCTGGTGCTGGTGCTGGTGCTGATCGTACTTGTTGGAAGAGTGGAAGTGGTTCCGGGAGAAGTGGTGGTGCTGTTGATGGAGGTTGAACCCGAGGAGGAGGAGGAGGATGATGAAGAGGATCCTGAAGGAAGAGTAGCTACGACTAACGATGAAGGAGATGGTGTGAGGGTTGGAATGAGAGAAGCACTACTAGTGCTACTACCAATGGTCGTTGTTGTGAGGGGAGTGGTAGTGGCAGTGATGGTGATGGTGGTCGTGGGGACTGTTGAAGAGGAGGTAGTCGTGGGAATCATGAGGGATTGAGAATGGTTGATCGATGCAATGAATTGATGGGAGGGTGCAGTGGATTTAATTTTTTAATAGGAATGAATGGCTCTACCCTACGATTCAGGAACTTGAGATTTACATTGACAGGTGAAGGACATCATGAAGGAACACAAAGAACTTGTTGAAAAGAGTTCATCGGAAAGAGTCTGCAGACTACCACTACAAGCACTCATCATTTGATTAAGGGTGAAGACAGGTGGTGTTATTATCTTACATCCCTCCATTCATTCTTCGTTGTCAGACTCTCTCAATCTTTCACAAACATTTTGTAAACGATTTGTTCAAAAAAAATGCAAACAAATACTTGTGTTCCAAGCTCGTGCTCCGATGAAGAAAAATCTTGCAGCTGCCGAAATGCTCTCTCGTTAGAGGAGTCAAATGCTCTTGTTCCAACCAATAATGAGAGTTCATCTAAAAACAACAGCTCACAATCATCCGATAATAATCCCTATGCAGGAGTGAATTTATCATCAAGTATTAAATTACAAAATAGTGTACCTGCCTCCATTATGGAAAATGAAGAACTGAATAGACTCATCAAAGAAACCTTACCATCCAATTATAATTTTGAAATTCATAAAACCATTCATAGAATTCAGCAAATTAAACCAAAGAGAGTTGCGCTACAATTTCCAGAAGGCTTGCTACTATTTAGTTGTGTGATTAGTGATATTATTGAAAGATTTTGTCCTGAAACTAGTACAGTTATCATGGGAGATGTTACCTATGGAGCATGTTGTATTGATGATTTTACTGCTCAAGCACTCGGAGCAGATTTTATGGTTCACTATGCACATAGTTGTTTGGTACCTGTGAGTGAATGTTGTATCAAGAACATTCTTTATGTTTTTGTAGATATTCAAATTGATATTAATTATTTCGTGCAGTCAATGATTAATAACTTTCCAAAAGACACTAAAATGGCCATGGTGGCAACCATTCAGTTCGTTTCCAGTCTAAGAACAGCCAAGGCGGAATTAGACCAACATTTTACATCGCCAGTTTACATTCCACAAGTGAGACCATTATCTCCTGGAGAAATTCTTGGATGTACAAGTCCAAAAGAATTATCAAAACTTCACGAAATTGAGACTCTAGTCTATTTGGGAGATGGACGATTTCACCTTGAGAGCGTCATGATTCAAAATCCAGAACTCAAATTCTACAAATATGATCCATATGGAAAAAAGTTAACTGAGGAATATTATGACCACACAAAACTTCACTCTATTCGTCAAGATGCTATTGAGAAAGCCAAGCATGCCAAAAAGTTTGGAATTATTCTGGGAACACTTGGTAGACAAGGATCACCCAAAGTTTTGCAAACCATTGAACGTATGCTCAACGAAAGAAATATTCCCTATGTCACCATTCTACTCAGTGAAATATTTCCAAGCAAACTTTCACTTTTACATGATGTAGAATGTTGGATTCAAATTGCATGTCCACGTCTTTCCATTGATTGGGGTCACTTCTTTGATAAACCTCTTCTCTCACCCTACGAATCACAAGTGGCGTTGCAAGCAGTGGAATGGAAATCTATTTATCCTATGGACTTTTATTCTCTTGAAGGAGGAGAATGGAGTGTCAAACATTATGAAAAGATGGCAATGTCAGTTGGCACACTCTCAGCCACCACCACCAATAGCAACAAACAACTTCGAGAACGAATGAAAGCTCTCAACAAAAAGTAAATAATATGACTAATAACACCTCTAAACACTGCCCTACTTTTAGAGGTATTTCTTGATATTGAACGCACTCAAAAGACTTGTTGGATTGCACGGATGATATGTCAAGGTGTTACGACGAGGTGACCATCTACCGCCACACCACTACAATGCGAAAGTGATTGCCATTTCCTCTACGTAGATTCTCATTGCCACTACCACTACGACACCTCTTTTCGAAGAACCACACCAAACAGCAGCAGCAAGAAGAAGAGAAGGCTTGTTGGTGGTGATGGTGGTGATGGTGGTGAGGATGAGCCTCATCCTCCTCCTCCTCCTGCTCCACTCAGCTGCTGAATTTAGACAAAAAAAATAACAACACACACCTCACACGCTTCCGACGACGAAGGCTCAACAGAAACCTTGCACCACGCTTTCGCTCTCTCATTTACGACGACAGGTTGCTGCTGGAAAGCCTCATCATCACCACCATCATCATTAAGGTAAGTCATGACATAGACATTTAAATTGTTTATCACCTCGCGTATACGTTGACCTCTACAATGATGATGACACACCATCAATGGTGAACGAATGGTTTCAAAATAATGCTGTACTGTGTTGACTCGAGACAGTCACAACCTACTCATAACGGTCATTCCGTACACTTGAGATATTCTCATATCATTGCTCGATTGACAAGACTGGGTGATCCTAACGACAAGTCTCCGCTTTTGAATTCATCATTAATACGTTTAGAATATTTTACTTTCCTTAATATCACCCCTACCATCACCATCACCCTTATCACCACCACCATCACCCACCACAACAATCATCATCACCAACCCTACCACCATCACCACCACTCTATTATAGATGTCATCAAACATTGCGTGCTTTGGAAAGGATGGCTTTGCTTTGTCAAGACCTTTTCCTTACAAGAATTCGGGAGGCGACATTTGTTGCGTCGTGTGTTGTCTACAGCAAGGAAGGCTTTTCTATCAAGCACCTTGTCACTTTAAAATATTTAGAGAAAGAGGAGCCAATATTTCTGATATTGGAGTGGATAGAGATGATAAGAGTTATGAGAGTTGTTGTTGTACATGGTAGTGGTGGTGCTATTGAGAGATTTCAGTTGTTGTTCGATGATACTCATATCATCAAAGTTGAACGGTTGTTGAACAATTTGGAAGAGTTCGTCTAAATTGTCAGTGGCCCGATAAATAAAGGGAATAGTGCTTGTTGAATGTTGTTGTTGAGATTCTTCCTTTGAATGATGATGATGATGAAGATGACCAACCGATACGTCCGTGTTGTTGTTGTTGTTTGTGCCAAGAAAAACGTTTGAATGATTATTATTACTGCCTAATGAGGTCGATGATGGAACCACAACCACGGTTGGGTGTTGCTGTTCTTGATGATCTTCTTTTTGCATGGTGTTGTTCGTTCGTTTCGGGTGTTGGAGAAGAAGTGCTCCTGAACTCACTGCGCAGGTTACAAGGAAGAAATTTTTGTTCACGATTTGTTCTCGGGTGTTCTTGCCACCCTGTTACTTGTTCTCATAGGCAAAAAAAAAGAATGACACTTGAAAGGAGATAGCAAAGATATCAATGATGAATCTTTAATCAATTTCTTCTTCAGCTGCTCTTCTATTTACATATCCACCAATGATATTGAAAGATTGAACGCTAATGTTTTTGGGCCGGTATTGGTGGAACTGTTTCGCGATTTTGACGTGTACCTTTCCATATCCTTAGATCTGTTTGAGGGATGAGGGTTGTGTTTTTGTGTGTGACGTTCAATTATTGTACTGTAAAACAATTCTTCCTCTTTGAGTTGTCTACTTTGCATTTCATTGACAAAATTGCTCTTTCCACTTGCCATCAACTCTTCTCGTTCAGCTTTTTCCTTGAATTTTTGATTGATGAGATCTCTATCTGGGGTTGTTGGTCTAATATTTTCTTGCTCTAACTCTATACAAATCTCTTCCCAAGCTTTATCGTGCAATATTTTGTCATATTGTTGGATTTTGGCAAGTTCTAACCGTTCGCTATCGGTCAAGGAAGTCATATCAATTCTAGGCCCTAAAAACGTCAAAACATGATAGATTTTTTCGTTGTAAGTCGTAGTCATCTGGATTGACAACAAGGTTTTCGAGAGTCCATAGCTCAGGGATAATTTTTCCGTTTTCATGGTGTTTCCATATCTTAATTAAAAAAGTTACTAGTCTTTCCTTTTCACGACTCAGCCATGACTCTGACTCCTCAATGGCATGTACATTTGACATCATGAAATCTGCCAAGCATCCAAGTATAGATAGTTGAATCCAGTTGTTTGATATGGTTAATAGTGTTAACAAGAAGTGAATGCCATCTCCATCAATAAATAACTGCTCACAGTGACTATTGCCGATCACACAACACCAAACACAATCTATGGTATTGAAGATTAGCTCGTCTAGGAAATTAGAAGGTAAGAATGGCCCTTAATAATACAAACAAAAGTGAAACCAACCTTTTTCAATGTACTGTGCCTCTGATATGCTTGTTTCAAGTAGATGTAACATTTTGCAACTCCTCCATTTTGCATGAACGATTCACTAGCATCTTTCACAAATGAACAAATATTGGAAATAATTCGTACAGCATCTGTTCTAGAACTCAACGAGAGAGAATGGTTCGCACATGCTTCAAGCATTGTTTGAATCGCATTTGCTTGAAACAAGTCTTTACAGCCTATTTCTTGGGTTGAAACATTCATGAGAGTGTTAAAACATGAGCTGATAATGGACTCTTCGTTTGAGTTTCGCAAAAGTTCTAAGCAAATTTCTGAGCCGTGGTCTTTTGAAAAACTTTCAGGTACTCGAACGGAGAGAAGAAACAAAATCTTCAAGGCAAGAAGTTTCAATTCAAAACGTTGGTTATCGTTCCATTTCCTCATCGCCACACTGTCGATTTTCATACACTCAAGTAAAATTGTTACAAATCCAAGCTCGATAGCCAATGTTAGACACTCATTGTTAAATGTTAGATAAAACAAAATGGTCCATGCTAGTTTCTTCATTTCAAAATCCTCATTAGAAATGGTAGAAACAGAGTATGATATAGTCACTGATTCCGGATACAGTTCGAGTCCAATAGAAATAGCAGCGAGATATTCCAAAAGTCCGCATTCCTTGAGAAGGCTTTGATTTTCAGGTTCTCTCGCTAGGAAGGAAAAAATAATAAGAATATCGTTTCTCAATTCTTTGTCTTTCGTCCTAAATCCTTTCAAATTGATTTCTTGAATCAACTTGAACATTGTTGTCACACAGTTAATCTCTCCAATGTATAATGTAGATTTTGGATAAATTTCTATTACGTTCCAAATAGTGTCAATCACTTTAAATACTACAAGATCAGAAAAATTTGCTGAGTTAAGTACATCGATTAACAACCTCACTCCTCCCTCTCTTGTCAGTTTTTCCGCATATTCTTCGTATCTAGATAAACTCCAGACAACATTCGTGGTTTCTATGAACAACTCTGACTCTACAGTCTCTTTTTCTTTAAGCATTTGAGAGATTAAAAACAGTGCATCGTCTAGAATGCTGCATTGCTTGACAGCCTTGTTTAAAAAATCTAAGTCAAATGATTTCTCAACCAATTCGCTTAAACACTTCTCACCATAGAACACTAGTTCTCAAATAAAGACTTACCTTTGAAACATTAACCAAAATTGGTTTGACACAAGCCACAGATAATCTTAGTAATTTTCCAAGGCATGAGAATATTGCCAAATATGAGTCTGACTTCAAGAATGAGTCACTTGCCTTTCTTTCTCTCAAAGGCATGCTACAAATTGAAACAAAACAGTCTAATAAATTTACAAATTCCTCTTTAGATTGCTGTTCCATCTCCGTATCCAAAATATTCTTGATGCAAT